TAATGAAAGAAGAAAAGAAAAAGAAAAAGAAAAAGAGAAAAGAAGAAAACAAAAATTTTGAATTCTAGGGGATTTCCAGGTCTATTTATACTTGAGATTTTTTTGCAACCACAAAAAATCTGCAACCAAATTTACATGATTTTTTAAATACTATTGCTCCATAACCACAAAAGTCCATACACAAAATAAAACTGAGGCGTTTTTGAAAAGAGGGGATTGTAAATCTCTATCAAATTTAACAACCACAAAAGACGATGCCTAATCTACTCTTTTTGTAAACTCCACAAATTCCTAGTGTTTCGATTAAGTTTCCACAATGTCCTTTTGATCATATTTTGTTAAATATTTTTATTCTAAGAAGTGTATTCCAAGTATACCATGCCAAAATAATATTAGATTATTGTAAGTGAAACATAAGAATAAAAACCATGCTCGGATCATTCTTGATTCTAATAACCAAGAATGGTGAATGATACCTAGCTCAACAGTTCACTGAAAATAGTTTTGACAATGATTTCCTACTATTGGTTTTCATAGTCTAACCTTGCTTCAACCCATTTGAAATTATAAGATAACCCACTGACATAACCCGATTCCTAGTCAATTAGCTCAACTAATGATAAACACAATTTGGGCGCTACCACCCGTCGACCTTCTATCTAGTGAGTATTATATGGGTTTTTTTGCAACCATTATTTGCAGCCACTTTTAGTAGTTTTCTAACAGAGCTCCAAAACCAGTTCAAATAGGCGACGATGAACTCTATGAATAGAATGAAATAATATTTAGATGTTAATTAAGCACTTATGCTTTGCATCTAACAGAAGCGTCTTAGTTAAATTTTTCAAGTTACGAAGATTTGTGTTTATATGATGTCTAAAAATGACCAATGGGTAGAGTATCCATTCCACGATAAATAGCGAAGCTATGGATCTGTTTGAGAGATATATGGCTATGACGATTCAAATAAATTAATTTCTATAATGTTATTCTCTATTTACATGAAAATGCAGTTAAAACCAATATGTACTTAAATTCTATTAACTAACCATTTCTCTAAATCAGGATAAAACTTAGCAACTACAAGTTTACTTTCATTTTCTACTTCTATTTCTTCATTCAATTTCTTCAAACCATGTTCAGGCAACTTCAATATTTTTTTAGCTACAAATTCTTGTTTCAATTGGATTAAATCTGGAGAACGGTTCATTAACTCTAATACTAATTTGGTTATATTCTTAGCAGTAACTCCAATCTGTTTAGACCAATCAGAACCCTTTCTGAGAGAACGCAAAATCCAATTATCATAATTTAGATTGAACCAAACATACAATTGATGAATATGTTCCACGTTCATTGAATACGTGAAACCAATTAATCCCAATTCAATCAATTTGGAATCAATATTATTCAGGATGAAGTTTAAAGTTTTATGAAGAAATTGGGAATTATTCGGGAATGATAAGGATGACACAGCAATTGTTTGCAATTCATTTTCAGATAAATTGGTTTGATTCAAGATTGATGAATTGGCGTTTTTGACAAAGGCAAGGACTTGTTTATATTCTTTCATGGAAGCTTGAGTCATCATAACATTAAACAAAGCAGGAATCAATTCTTTAGGAGTAAAGGATTTGTTTATCCCTGAATTAAGGAATTGGATATATAATTTATGAGCAATATCGTAAGCATGTTTGTTATGAAGATTTAATTGGAGTATAGAAGCACGAGCTTGGATTTCAATTGGGTCATAATCAATTGAATAAGTCTTGTTCCAATTAACTCTATTGAATAATTTTTCAGAATATCCTTGTAACCATTTTGAAAACGCATCACATTCCGTAAAATGTAATAAATTATGATTAATTGATTCCAAATATCCAACGGCAATTAATATAACTTGCCAATCCCATTTCCAGATCTTTTTAGTAAATGTTTCAATAAATTGAATGAAATTAATTAAATCGTTGCTGGTGGAATTGGAAGTACCCAAAATCTTACCCAAATCATTCAATACACCGATAATAGTATCAGGTTCCATCAAATGAATATTAGATAACCTGTCATACAAAACTCTATAATACCCACCGCGACCAGTGTTAATTGCAACAAATTGTTCAATTGGAATATCCAACTCCATAGAGCGATCAGTCAATACGATATTCAATAGTTTTCTTTCCCCATTATCTTTAACAACATCAATTAAAAGTGGGATATGATAAGGAATATCTTCAAGACCAACTTGTTCTGCGGTTAAATTGTAGAGATATGCATGTTGTTCAATATGAATCTTGCTTCCATCTTCATTACTAGTTACTTGAACCAACGGGAACCCATGGGCTCTAGACCAGGAATAAACAAAACTTGGTAAATCGATACTTATCTCTTCATTTAAAACTTGCCAAATATCGAATAATTTAATTGATTTATTTTGATGTTGCAGAATTACCTTAGTCATTGATGAAACCAAATCTTTATTTTCACTTTTGAAAACATGATGAATCATATTAAGTAAAACAATCCCTTTTTCATACATATTGGTATCAAAAATAGTCGAGGTTGTGGCATTTAATCCAGTATATACTGTCAGCATATGTTCTTGTATACTTCCAATACTATACTTTTCATCAACATAGAAACAATCTCTATCTAATAATTCCTCATATGAAACATCATTTGATATAAGAGTCTTGGCTAACCAAGTAGCAAATGATTCATTAAACCAGAGTAAATTCCAATTATCAAATGACACCCAGTTCCCAATCCATTGATGAACTAATTCATGAACTACTAACTCAACAACTTGATTCTTTTCTGGTTGTGATGCCGAAGCTTCATCGATCAACAAGCTAGAACCAAGAACGGTTACCAATCCCCAATTTTCCATGGCACCATCGTTTAAAAATGGTAATGTTACAAAATCAAGTTTGGATAATGGATATTTATGACCAAATTTCGATTCTAAAATCGGCAAGTATTTTTCAATTATAGATAATGCAAATCTAGCATACTTACTTTCACCAATTGATGTATAAATTCTAACATTAGATAATAATTCACTTTGAATATATTCGAAATCACCAATTACAAATCCCATAACTGCTGGGGTTATAGGTAAGTCATATTCAAATTTAGACAAAGTATTTTCATCAACATATTCTGAACTAACTAACCTTCCATTAGTCATTACTTTAAATTTAGTGTTGGTAGTGATATCCAACGCAATGGTTGGTTTATGGGTCAATTCATCAATGATCGGGAAAACTTCCTTGGCGAAATGAGGTTGGAAATGTGTTGCCAAAATGTAGTTGTTTGCTTTACCTGAAATAGAATCTAAGTAATTTGTCTTGAATAAACCCAGAGTATTATCTTTAAATGTTCCAATTGTTTTGATTTGTCCCATATATTTAATATACAAATCATCCAAAGTTGAATCGATGACTGCATCTTCTGGGGAAGAAAATGTTATTCTTTGATTGGGTTTATCATAAGTGACTTTCAATGGGACGTCTCCAATGGTCGCTTTGGTAATGATTAATCTGGAAGCATGCAAAGTTAATGAAAATCCAAAGGTAGCAACACCTTGTGGTTCTTCACTAGCATTCTTGTTGCAATTCTTTGAAAGTTTGATTATTGCTTCTCCAGAAAAATTCGGTTTCAAATGATTTATATTTAATTTGTAATGATAATGAATGGGAATTACTTCATTGGATATAGACAACGGAATGGAACTGTTGTCAGCCATCTTTAAATTCTCTATTTGGGGAATATACTCACCAACTGGTATTCTGATCCAAAAAGATGGTTTTGAAAATTTTTTTCTTCCCCAACAACTTCTTTATTAGAGAGAGACAAGAAACATACAGACAGACAGCGAAGACAAACCTTGTCTAAATAATAAATAATTTTTCTATGTACATGTCATAAACTTCTAGTGATAATGCAAAGAGAGAAAGACAACGAAACAAAGATTAAGCCGTTAATGTTCAAGAGCGTATTCTTTGGCATCCACTATTTTATCTTTGTAGCAAACTTTCCCATCTAAGAGAAGCTCCCTAGCTTTCTTTTCAAGTTCTGCTAATTCATCGGCAGATAACCTACGAAACCTATTCCTACCCTTTTCTATAGTCAATCCCTTTTCTAGACGATAAAACTCTATAAGCATGGGCTTTTGAATAGAATAAACAGCAATCACATCACCTGTTTCGTTCAATTCTAAATCTACACCTTTGTACATGCACCAGATTAACTCATGCTCAACCGTTCTTTCTTCGAACGGAATAATTTTCCCATATTCTATATATTTGCCCGCTGTTACTAATTTTGCAAATCTCTGTCCAAATAATCTTTTATCCCTGGTACTAGATTCTTTCCATTCTTGTTGAAGTTGGGCATCAACATCTTCCATAGTCAAATCTGGCTTGTCCAATTCTTTCTGCATTTCACTAAGTCTAGATTGTTTCAAATAATAGCGTCTTTCAAATTTTTGTAATTCTCTATCGAGGGTGGGTGGTTTACCACCACCAATCTTCTGTGGATTTTCAACTATTGGATATCCGTCCCCAACCATTTGTTTATATGTGGTTACAATCCTTTGCCTTGTTGTGCTGCCAAGTTCATTCCATCTACGTTCTACAAGTTGTTGAAAATCAGGAGGAAAAGCTAGTCCCACCTTAGTTACTGCTTCATGTCTCTTTGCACTGTAATACGTGAATGTCTCATTAGTCCCCACCAGAGCCACTCTTGCTGCTTTAGCTAGTGCAACAGCTTTTTCCTTTCCTTCAATTTCATTTATATGGTATATTTTATACCATTTAGAGACGAATTCTTGAATCGAATCCTTGGGAGTATCTTTAGTAAAGTTGTGCTTATCGAATTCTTCATTTACCAAGTCTGTGTATTTATTGCTAACATCGTCTGATTTTGGGATAATATACCATCCAAATTTGGTATACAATGGTCGAAGTTGATCAATTGGTAAGTCAAGTGAAGGTTTTACATAATTGAATCGTTTTGATAGTATAATACTGCATTGTCTTGGAAATGAGCGGATCGAGTTAAACATTATATTAAAAGCATAGGAATAAAGTAAATGAAAATAACAGTAGATATGGAGATGTGATAAATATTTGTTTATTATAAATTATTTCTGTATTGTTAATTATCCGAAAAATTTTTTTTTTTACAAGCGAGCAACTGGTAGCACTAAATCAGATACTCTAATGACATTGTATAGCTTATTTTTTGCCCCAGAATATTATATGAAGGATGAAGAGATTGAGCAAGTAGAGAGGTTTCATAGAACATGTACCAATTGATAAATACGTGATTAACTAATGGTACCAATGACAACGAAATTTTTGGAAAAATTTGCAGCCAAGGGGAACTCTCGAAGATCTAATAACACAACAAAAGAGACAGTATATGAACCAGATAGAATCAAAAATCTGGTCTTGTTTCTTGATTTTTGTGCAACTTGTTTCTGGGCTAAATCTTTTTACTTTATCTTGTTTCACAGTTTCTATAAATTATATCTAAAACCAAAGTTCTTCATCGGATTTGATTTTACTCTTTAAAATGACAAAGCTCACACTCCGAAATCGCGATAAAAGAAGTAGTGTATCTGGAAAGAAAGCCGAGAAATATCTAGATAAAGAGAACATTATACCCTAGTGATTCACGAGCTTCAATCAATGTCTATCTTCTGTCCACGCTAATAGTTAAGAGGCGTAGACACAGGTTGTATGATATCCGAAGACCATTCATCAAACCTCCAAGTACTGAATTTTTAAACAGGTTCAGGTATCCGGACTTCTGTCAAGTAGTTCCGACTTTTTGGGTTTTGCAGCCACGGGGAGCTGCGAAAAGGCGGTCATTGCATGGAAAAAGAGGAGGATTAAAAGAACATGATAGCAAAGCCAATTACAATACGGGAGAGGGTACCACGTACCGAACAAAGTTCCATGGCGAGTTTCGAATGTGGAGATGTGGGAAGCATGCATGTCGCTAATCCATATCTACTGTACATAACGCAAGGTATTCACTTCAATCTCAAACTTCAACAGCCGCAACCAAAAAAGAACATATCTCGTGTGACATAAAATTGGCTCTTTAATGATCGATAGGTTTATATGAGTTCTAACAGGTGTCACGAAATTGTTAGATATAGCAAATGGAAATTGTGTTTGAATGCTAGAATCTACTCCCACGAACTGTTGCAAAATTCTCGTCTATCGGGGCCACCGGAATTGTATAATCTGCAACACTTCATAATTATAAGAGATTGTACCTGCTGACACATTTAGACTTTTTTTTATAATTATGTACATGTCAAACTTACAAATCCGTTATCGCTCATCTGGCTGCCATGGCAGGTATAGTAGAATTAATTAAAGTGAAATACGATGTGAGGGGTTCTTTACGGACCTTATTAATCACAAAATCAAAGGTATAAAAGTCCTCACAATAGAAAACCACACAAGATCGGAATTTTTCGTTTTGGGTTTGGCTTGTTTATTCCGAAGTATTCCGTTCTCCGTGAGGTTTTTTTTTACCAGTGTACAGCATAAACCGATATTCGGGGGGACAACCAGCACAGTATATCATATTAACTGTAAGTAATCCTCGAGGTCTACATAGTAGGGATTGATTAGAATGAAGTTGGATAGCGCATTAGGTAACTATAAAATGAAATGATAAGCGAAAGGAATATACGCCCTGCAAAAAGAAAAGGCTGCTATTTCTTATAGTTTTATAGGGACTGTATATAGCTACTCCTCCTCCGCCCCTCACTTATATCTCTCAATAGCGTTTTTTAATGTGGCTTGTGTTTGTTTGCGTAAAGTGTTGGCAACAGTTGGTGTAAAGGATGGAATATCCGCAATGCGCCAACTAATTGGCGCATCTTTCTCAATTTCAGGAAAAACTCGGAAAAGAAATTTTTTTATTTTTTTTTTTTATTTATTTTTAGCTCAATAGAAAAATTTTTAAACGAGAGAGAAGAATAATAACGCATACACGTGACTTAACAGGGTCAAGAGGTCTAGACTTACACCTAATTAACTTTTTCTATTAACTTGTAATTAATACTTATATGATACGAGATGGACCACCCCAGGTGTGCATTCTAATAGGACATCTTCTTTAATAGAAGTTGCAGTTTGACCGATATATGAAATGTTTCTACGGACATCTTATATATCGCGTCTTCTTCCTTATTGTTTAAATTTGTGTTACATTTCCTTTTCACCAGATGAATTAGTGTTACCCAAAAAAAAAGTTGGGGGTAGTAGAAGTAGAAGAAAAGAGGGGAGGACAACCGGAAACAGGACCGTTTTCTCTTGACAGTCTTAGCATCTCATCATCCCTTGACGCCAATCTTTCTATCTTGTAGTTGTCGTACGATATAGACATATCTGCTACTATACATTCAATAGTCTAAGTAACTCCCCATAAACTATTGAGGCGAATTTCATTTATTTCTAGAAAGATGAGAAAGAGTTTATTATAGGCACAAGATTGAATTAATTTAGAATGAAATGAAAATTAAAATGTGTCAAAAAATAAAATTTTGTTATACTGTCTTTACATTAAATAAATTAAATGTATAAAGGATTAAATCGGAAACTCAAAAAGAAACGGATAAACCAATATTTTATTTTTTTTCATAATTAAAACAATTACGTTTAACATATTTTTATTTAAATACTTTCCCAAATTTCCATTCCAATAAAATTTTTAAATAAGAATTTCCTTTAATTTACAAAATCTAAGTCATATTTTATTTTACTTCTCAATTGGAACTTCAAATCAATTAATCAACATCCTACAACTAACAATGTTGAAAGTAAGTTATAGACCACAAATAAGATTTGCTAGATTTGCATCTAGTGTAGCCACCAAACCAACTCCAATTCATACTCATACAATTAAAACCCCAGTTGATGTACGGGCTGCTATTGCTAGTTTAAAACCAAAAACAACCAGATTATCCATTGAAGGTCCAATTGAATGTGATTTAGAAGGATTTTCCTTATTAAATTCCCCAATCTTTAATAAAGGTTCCGCTTTTACTCTAGAAGAAAGAAGAGCATTTAGTTTAAATGGTTTATTACCAGCACAAATAAATACTTTAGATGAACAAGTCGAAAGAGCTTATAGACAATTTTGTTTTTTGAAAACTCCTTTAGCTAAAAATGATTTTTTAACTTCAATGAGAATTCAAAATAAAGTATTATATTATGAATTAGTAAGAAGACATATTAGAGAAATGTTACCAATTATATATACTCCTACTGAAGGTGATGCTATTGCTGCTTATTCTCATAGATTCAGAAAACCAGAAGGTTGCTTCTTGGATATAACTGATCCTGATTCAATAGATCAAAGATTATCTGCATATGGTGAAGATAAAGATATTGATTATATCGTTGTATCTGATGGTGAAGGTATTTTAGGTATTGGAGATCAAGGTGTTGGTGGGGTTAGAATTGCAATTGCTAAATTAGGTTTAATGACTTTATGTGCTGGTATTCATCCAGGTAGAGTTTTACCAATTGTTTTAGATGTTGGTACAAATAATGAAAAATTATTACATGATGATTTATATATGGGTAATAAATTCCCAAGAGTAAGAGGTGAACGTTATTGGGATTTTATTGATAAATTCATTAATTCAGTTAAAACTAGATTCCCAAATGCGGTGTTACATTATGAAGATTTCGGGGTTAGTACTGGTAGAGATATGTTATATAAATATAGAGAAGAATTGCCTTCTTTTAATGATGATATTCAAGGTACTGGAGCTGTTGTTATGGCTTCAATAACTGCTGGTTTGAAATTTTCTAAACGTGAATTACTTGAATCGGAAATTTTAATTTATGGAGCTGGATCTGCTGGTTTAGGTATTGCTGATCAAATTGTTAATCATATGGTATCTCATGGTGCCACTAGAGAAGAGGCAAGATCTAAAATTCATTGTATGGATCGTTATGGTCTTATTTTAGAAAGTTCTACTACAGCCAGTCCAGCACAAATGAGATATGCTGATCCAGCTAAGGATTGGGAAAATGTCGATACAGCCAACTTAGTTGATGTTATTGCCAAGGTTAAACCAACTGTTTTAGTTGGATGTTCTACTCAAGCTGGTGCATTTACTGAACAAGTCATTAAAGAAATGTATAAACATAACTCACAACCAATTGTTTTCCCATTATCCAACCCAACTAGATTACATGAAGCCGTTCCAGTTGATATTATGAGATGGACTGATAATAATGCTCTTATTGCCACTGGATCACCATTTGAACCTGTGGATGGATATTATATTTCTGAAAATAACAATTGTTTCACATTCCCAGGTATTGGACTTGGAGCTGTCTTGTCAAGATGTACTACTATTTCCGATACAATGGTTTCAGCCGCGGTTGATCAATTAGCTAAGATGTCACCAAAGATGGAAAACCCTAAGAATGGATTATTACCTCGTTTAGAAGAAATTGATGAAGTTAGTGCATATGTTGCAACTGCAGTTATTTTACAATCTTTAGAAGAAGGTACTGCTAGAGTTGAAAGTGAAAGAAGACCAGATGGTGGATTTGTTAATGTTCCAAGAGATTTCTATCATTGTCTTGAGTGGGTAAGATCACAAATGTGGAAACCAATTTATAGACCATTGGTTAAGGTTGAACATGTACCTGAAATTCATACTTATCAATATTAATTGGCATAAATATTTATATTTTTCTTTTCTTTTAATGGTGTACTTTATAATTTTATTTAATTTAATTAGTTATTTTTCTTTATTTTTGGGTTTAATAGACATACAATACGATATTCTTTAATTATTCAAGTTGTAATGTAGAAGAGGCTTGATAAGATGCAATCTTACTTAAATACTCCCAACTAAACTCAGATCTAAATGCTTAAAAGTGAAGTTGGTTGCTAACGGTTGTCTTGGCTTCTAAAGCTCTTGACGATTCTTTAGTTTACGTACTCTTTCAGGAAGGTTATGTGGGGGAGTATATAGTACTTAAGAAGGGACCAATTAAAACACGCCAGAATCCCGGAGTCCAAATAATATTTTTTTTTTTTCTTTTGTTTTTTGCGGGTTCGAGAATTTTTCACTTTTTCTCAATTGGAGGTTGCATTTTATATTGTTCACTTCTCAGATTTTCAACAAAAACTTAAAATTGATTTCCTTTTTCAATTCCAATTCCTTTATCAGAAGAACTATAAACTAAAAACATGTCAGTTGAAGACTTAAAGCAAACCGTTGCCAAATTACAAGAACGTATCCACCAATTGGAAAAGAAAGCTGGTATTATTCCAGATGTTCCAAAGTCAATCCGTATGGTTCTTATTGGTCCTCCAGGTAGTGGTAAAGGTACTCAAGCACCAAACTTACGTGACAAATTCTGTGCTTGTCATTTAGCCACTGGTGATATGTTGAGAGCTCAAGTTTCCGCCAAGACTGAATTGGGGGTTGAAGCCAAAAAAATCATGGATCAAGGTGGATTAGTTTCTGATGAAATTATGGTTAATATGATTAAATCTGAATTGGAAGGTAATAAGGAATGTAAGAATGGTTTCATTTTAGATGGATTCCCAAGAACTATTCCTCAAGCTGAAAAATTGGATAAGATGTTGGAAGAAAGAAAAACTCCATTAGAAGCTGCCGTGGAATTAAAGATTGATGATGAATTATTAGTAGCTAGAATCACTGGTAGATTGGTTCATCCTGCTAGTGGAAGAAGTTACCATAAGTTATTCAACCCTCCAAAGAAGGAAATGACTGATGATCTTACTGGTGAACCATTGGTTCAAAGATCAGATGATAATGAAGCTGCTTTAAAGAAAAGATTGGTCACTTATCACAAACAAACTTTCCCAATTGTTGACTACTACAGAAAAGCTGGTATTTGGAGTGGTGTTGATGCTTCTCAAAAGCCATCCAAGGTTTGGACTGATATCTTAAAATGTTTAGGTCAAAACTAAAGAAAAGCCAGTAAAGCTTAAATAAGTATATTTATTATTGAACTTTTATATATATATATATTCTAAAATAAAAGAGAGTATTTATTGTTCTTGTATTTAAATGAAAATGTTAAACACTATACGGATGATCTATTAACTAAACACATAGCTTTTCTATTTGACTTATTTCTATAAAACATTGGTGAGTTCAGTATTTTCCTCTTTTAACATTGATTCCACCAACTTCACCCTCAGCTGAACGTTTCTTATTAGATTCATTAAAACAACTTACATGAACAATCTTTCTACTATTTTTCCCTTCCCCAGGATTCTTCATACATCCAAACCAACACCATTCTCCAATCTCATCATTATAACTAGCCTTCACTTGTTCACGACATATCAAACATCTATTATTCATATTAGTATCAGAACTAGCCACCACAACATATGGAACCTTATGATTCTTATCATATACATCCACATCACTTGCTGCTGCGGCTGCTTCCATTTCTCGTTGTGTTTCCCCCGTAGTGGCATATTCCAACAATGCATCATCCTTAAACTTAACCCAATCATAATCATCCAAATACCAGCCCCGAGATTGAACATTCGATCCAGCTGACCCGCCACCAGCACCACCACCACCCAGGGCGGATAATTTCTTATTGATTCTGAAATGCCAATCTAAATGCAATCTCTTTCTTGTGGCACTACCTTCATCATCCACGGAAAATCTCTTACCACATATGGAACATTTCGATGGTTTGGCATCATATAATAGATTAATTGTTTGTGTGGTTGGTTTGTTCCCATTGATGAAATCTTGTAGGGATGTATTGGTGATTTTCTTGGTGATGAGTAATAATTCACCAAATTTTAATTTTTCATATTCGGAACGTTGAATTGAAGAACTGGCATTTAAGATGTCTTCTAATGTATTATTTGATGGAAGTTCATTAGATGGCTTGACATATTTGATCTTAGGGAATACTAGGGAATAACTAGGTTTGGATCCAGGAATTGGTTCTTGGTGTTTTTTGATTAGACCGGATTGTATGAGTTGCGGGAAGATGGCAATCGCTGGGTTTATTCTGGGTTGTTGTTGTTGGACTTGTTGCTGTTGTTTCTGTATTTGAAGGGGAGCAGCATTCGCGGCTGGTGGTGGTGTAGGAGTTAATTCTTGTTCTTTGATGTTATTAAGTTGACTCTGAACTGCCAATAATTCAACTTGTTTCATTTGTTGACTATTTAATAATAATTTCAATTGTTTTAATGCTTCATATTTGTCTTTTACTTTTATATCATTACTTGATTTCAATTTTCTTTCAAATAATGGAATTAATTGATTTATATCATCAATCAATGATTTATTAGTCAATGACATCGTCTTTTTCCCTCCGCTTGAACTCTTGGGATATCCTGCCTTATTAAGAAATTGGTCAATCTTATCAATTTGTGATCTAGGAAACAATGGATCAGTAGTCCCTCTTACTTTTGAAACCTTCCAAGTTTCAAACAATCCAACTAATTTAGTTCGTGTTTGTTCATTTACCAATTGGAATACATGAGAATATAATGCAAATATGTCATCTCCAACTAACATACAATAAGGATTTCCTATGGTCTTACATATAGAATCTAATAAATATAATGCAAATAACTTTTGATCGGGTATGGCTTTATAGATTCGTTGACTAATTAAATCAATTATTCCATCTGCTATTGTTGAGTTTTCTTTGGCTATAGTTGTTAAAGTATCAATTATAGGACGTGAATTGAAGGTTAATTCACTTAGACTCTGTTCATATGCTTCTAATATATCGGCCATTCTGGGGTGAAGGATAGTGAAAAGGGGATGATGCTGTTTGATTACAATTCCATCTTGATCATTTGAAGAGAAGATTTTCAATTTCTGGGTTTTAGCAGAAAAGAGAATAGTTTGTGCGGCTCACAGAAAATTTCCCAATTGAGAAGAGACAACAGATCCAATTACTTTAGTGATAAACAAGATGAAACTACACAACTTGAATGTGCAAAACTTAAAGTGCTTTCATAGTACTAGTAAACGATTCCGTCTTCCATTAGTAACAAATAGGTTTGCAAAACGAGACAATCGCCTAAAGCTTTCGTGAGACAACACTCAAACTACCAGTGGTTACTTTGAGACACAGTATTTTTTTATAGTACGAAGATAACAATCTGACTTAATTGCTTATTTACATATTAGGGTACACTTGTATATCAATAAGGGTACCTTTATATCAATTATGCTTTTAAAAATTTGTTATAAGGATGAATTCCAGGATGATACATTCTGTGATTTTTAGGTCCGTCGTTTCCCAAGACGAAGTTAATTTAGAGTTTAAGCTAATTAGTAAACTAGAGTAATATTAGTCAGGATTTGCCTTAGGGGTTTGCTTAGGGAGCTTAGACGAGCTTTCTGGATTAATATTAATATGAGTGGATTTCCACCTTTTGGAATTGATATTGTTAAAAACTAGTTTAGTTAGTGAATTTCTATATATGTCATACAGGGAGGTGTTAGTTCATAATATCTCAGGTATCAAATAGATAACGCGTTTCCAGGTTTATAAAGCTTATTTCTCAATAACTGCGTTTCACTCTTACATTGTGATTGCGTCTTTTTATTGAGTTTAATATAATTGTTCAAACAAAATTTTATGCATTCTTTCTCAAAATGGATAGAAACATAAATCCTAAATTGAGGAACAGTTAAATTCAAACAAGAGAGGTACTAAAGTTACAAAACACACCGGAAGGGAAAATACGCAGTTGGTTCAAGAAAGTTCTTCAGAACAGGTTGGTTCAGGGAAGGGAGATAATCTTCTCCACCGAGATCCTGATCGTCAGAAAACTGGAGGATCTCAAGATGCTTATGATGGCAGTGGTGATGGTGATGATAATGCCAATGACCACAATGTAAGAGTGTAACGCAGTTATCGAGAAATAAGCTTTGCTAACCGGAAGCGCAATTATCTATTAGATATCTTGAGATATTATAAACTAATACCTCCCTATATAATTTATATAGAAATTCACTAACTAAGCTAGTTTTTTACAATCTCAATTCCAATGTAGAAGTGGGTTTAATGGTTGCAAAAATAAAGTATAAACCCAAAAAAAGGGAATTTGATGGCAAAAGATTTAGTGTTCAAAGAATCCCCGTTTAATGTATTTCAGGAACGGTAACAATCACATACCACTCTACTCATAATGGCAATGTTTCATACTTCATTATATGGCGATATCTTACATATGTTGGTGATTAAGTTATTTGCATGATTTGAATGACTGATCTACTAATCTACCGGTAGTGCTTGTTCTTGGAACATAAGGAAACAGAAGTTTCGCACGAGGTTGTTTCTAGTCATACGAACTAAGACGTTCTTCTAAATATCTTGGAAATGTATAATGAGTTTAGGTAATAGATTTGCAACATTGTCAATTCATTTATGCTTAGTATGTGACGCAATGGAGTGTACATAGAGGTTTTGTGACGTAAAAGAATTGACGAGGTTACACACTTCAAAATATTCATACCCCACAAAATAGAACACAACCTCGGAAGTGTCAATAGAGGATTTGGTAGTCAACATTAGGCTACACAGTTGTACTGAATTATAAGTTACCAGTCATGCATACCTTTGAGAAGGGTTCTCATCCCGCAGTATTAAACCTAACTAGAATAGTCTGAAAGAAAGTGTGGCATGAGAGATTGCGGAGTACTCATAGATACTTGTCATGAAATGAAATTCCTTTACTATTGCAAACAATGTAGAATGTGAATGTCTGAGAGTAATTTCCCCATTGTAGTATTGTTTATCGATTACGTAATTTTTCACAATATTTTTTTTTTTTCAGTTGCCTCTGTCTCTCTGTCAATCTGGTCTAGGTCTAGGTCTTATGAATCTTATAAAATTCCAAATAACTATTAAAGTACCAATTTTTCACTACTAACAACTTAACAAATAACTTATAGAAGGAGAGTGTGTGCATTGTATATGAAAGTTATCTTATATACAGTATTACTCTTACCATTAATGTTATTTATAAGAAATAGTAGTTTACCATCAATTGTATCTTCATTTATTACAACCAATAAATTATTTCCCATTAAATTTATTTACAACACTTTTACAACCTCAACAACTTTCAATACCACAATGAAAGATCAACAATTCACTTTATTGGCAGACAACAATGTCATTGAGAAACCAATTATAGACGACCGTTCTTATAGATTTATCAAATTAAATTCAAATGATTTACATGTTTTATTAATCAATGATCCAACTGCTGATAAATCTGCTGCTTCATTAGATGTTAATGTTGGTTCATTTGCTGATAAACAATATCAAATCCCAGGATTAGCTCATTTTTGTGAACATTTATTATTTATGGGTACTGAAAAATATCCTCAAGAAAATGAATATTCCAGTTATTTATCAAAACATTCTGGTCATTCAAATGCTTATACTTCATCTGAACATACTAATTATTATTTCCAATTAAGTTCGGATTATTTGGAAGGTGCTTTAGATAGGTTTGCTCAATTCTTTATTTGTCCATTATTTAGCAATAGTTGTAAAGATCGTGAAATTAATGCCGTTGATTCCGAAAACAAGAAGAATTTACAAAATGATGATTGGAGATTACATCAATTAGATAAACTGAATAGTAATCCAAATCATCCTTATAATGGATTTCTGACTGGTAATTATCAAACATTACATGTTGAACCAATTGCGAAGGGGATAAATGTAAGAGATGTATTAATAGAATTTCATAAAAGTCATTATTCTTCAAATTTAATGAATTTAGTTATTCTTGGTAAAGAAGATTTAGATACTTTAACTTCATGGGCAATTGATAAATTTTCAGCAGTTCCAAATAAAAATTTACCTAGACCTCAATATAACGGTTCAATAATTTTACAACCTGAGCATTTAGGTAAATTAACTAAAGCAAAGCCAATTATGGATAATCATCAAGTTGAACTTATGTTTATGGTTCCTGATGATTTAGAAAATCAGTGGGCAACAAAACCTCAAGGTTATTTCTCCCATTTAATTGGACATGAAAGTGAAGGATCTATATTGCATTTTTTGAAATCAAAAGGATGGGCTACTGAATTATCTTCCGGGAATATGAAAATTTGTGAAGGGAATTCATTCTTTATTATTGAAATACATTTAACTCCTCTGGGATTGGAGAATTGGAAACAAATTATTCAAATTTCATTTGATTATTTAAATCTTATTACAAAAGAACATGAACCACAACAATGGATTTGGCAAGAAATGCAAGAAATGTCTCAGATTAATTTTAAATTTAAACAAAAATCAGATACTTCTTCCACGGTATCAAGATTAAGTAGTACCTTATACAAATATCCTGCAATAATCCCTCCGGAATATATTTTAAGTTCTAGCATATATCGTGAATTTGATCCCAAATTAATTAAACAATTTGGTCAATATTTAAACCCGGATAATTTTAGAATTACATTAGTTTCTCAATCATTAACTGGATTAACCAAACGGGAAAAATGGTATGGAACAGAATATGAATTTGAACCAATTCCTCAAGATCTTATGAAAGCCATTCGTTCTCCAACTAAGAATCCAAAATTACAATTCCCAATTCCAAATGATTTCATCCCAACTGATTTTGAAGTTCTTAAAAAGAAATCACCAACTCCACAACTCGCTCCTTATGTTATTGAAAATAATAATAAGATGAATGTATGGTATAAACAAGATGATCGATTTGAAGTCCCCAAGGGTACTATTGAAGTGGCATTTCATATTCCTAGTTCAAATACTGACATTTATTCATCAACTTGCGCAGCATTAATGACGGAATTATTGAATGATGAATTGAATCAAATTACATATTATGCATCTTTGGTTGGGTTGAAAGTACATATAATTACTTGGAGAGATGGGATTAATTTTAAAGTTACTGGATATAATGATAAATTAGCAGTGTTGTTGGAAAAAGTATTACAAAAATTTGTTAATTTTAAACCTGACAAGGAAAGATTTGATGCAATTAAATTTAAATTACGTAAAGAATTTAAGAATTTTGGATATAGTGTTCCATATGCTCAAATTGGAACCTATTTTTTAACTTTGGTTAATGAAAAGACTTATCTTTATGATGATAAAGTAAAAATATTGGATGATATTTCATTTGAAGATATTTATAAATTTTCTACTGAAGATATTTGGAAATCAGGTATATTTGCTGAAGTTTTAATTCATGGTAATTTTGATATTGTAAAAGCAAATGATATTAAGGCTACAATCCAAAATGCTATTCAAAAAATTAAACCTATTGCTAATGAATATAATCAAATTGAAGAAGTTTTCAGAATGCAAAATTTCATTCTTCAACTGGGTGAAGTTATAAGATATGAACTTCCTTTACAAGATGATAAAAATATTAATTCATGTATTGAATATTATATTCAAATTAGTCCCGATTCTGAAGATCCAAGATTACGTGTCTTTACTGATTTATTGGCTACTATTATTCGTGAACCTTGTTTTAATCAACTTAGAACTAAAGAACAATTAGGATATGTTGTATTTTCAGGTGTTAGATTAGGTAGAACTTCTTTGGGGTTCAGAATCTTGATACAATCAGAAAGAACAAATGATTATTTAGAATATAGAATTGATGAATTTTTATTACATTTTGGAAAATATGTGAATGAAAAATTAACTCAAGAAGATTTTAATAAATTTAAACAAGCACTTAAGGATTTCAAATTAGCAAAATTGAAACATTTGAATGAAGAAACTTCTAGACTTTGGAATACTATTACTGATGGATATTATGATTTTGAATCTAGACTTAAACATGTAAGTATTTTGGAGAATATCACCAAGCAGGAATTTATTGATTATTTTAATGATTATATCCGGGCAGGAAATACAAAGACCGGGAAGTTATTGGTTTATTTAAATTCTCAAAATGCCAATGAAATTAGTCTTGAAAAGAGAGTCCAAAGTGCGGTGGTTAATTATGTTTATAAACATGATTATGAAATCGATCATGATATTATTGAATCTATTGTCAAAGAACAAATTCAAGAAAAGATCGATTATAATCTCGTTACCAAGAAATTAATTGCAGAAATTAGAAAAGTTAATCCAGATGCTGAATTGGATGAAGCACTGATTGAATCCGTAATTCAGATTATGGTTGAAAAACCTGTTCCTGAAGATTATCCAACTGGACAATTGATAACTCAAATTAATGAATTTAGAAATGATAGATTAACTGGTGGAATTCCAAAACCAGTTAATCCATTATCGAAATTTTATTATGATCAATCGCATTTATAGATTATTATTGTACTTATTTATATAAAAACTATTCAATGCTATATTAGACTGTCTTTTTATCTGATCTCTATCGGCATTTCCTGTTACCAGTAGATTGTTGGGAATGTACTGCATATAACTAATCAGTCACGTGCGTGTTGCCAAACCTTAATATTCAGGGAAAATATTATGACGATTCATATTTTACAACTCTACTTGTTGTTCCTCTTCTCCTATTCATCAGTGGAATTGAAAAGTTACAAGATGACATTAAGTTTATTACAAGTTAAGGATAGTTATTTCAATAAGATATTCTCACCATCAACAACAACCAATGCAAAGCTGAATACTGCCGGTGGCACATTAACATCAAATGTCAAAGCTAAGGTATTATTACTTGATAAACATACAACCCTGATTATATCAATGTGTTTTACTCAATCTCAATTATTAGCCAATGATATCATCTTAATTGAATTAATAGAATCACAACTGCAATTGGCTACCATGAAACACCTTAATTGTATTGTTTATATTCATCCATGTAAAGAATCAATTCAATATTTAAATTCAGAATTACATTCACCACATTTTGGTAAATATCAATTATATTTAAATAATTGTATTTCAAAGAATCAAATAGAATCAATTGCTGAAGCTGATGAATTTGAAGTTATTGAGAAAGTAATGGAAATCTTTCAAGATTATTTAATTGTTAATGATAATTTATATTTGATTGAAAAGCCAATAACTGGAATATTAAAAATTAATCCTGCAATTGAAGAATCTAATAGATTAATTAGTTTGTTGTTATCATTAAAGAAAACTCCAATTATCAAATATGAATCGAATTCACTTGATTTGAAACGATTAAGTTCTGAGATTTTGTATAATATCAATTCCAATTCAAATAATAATTTATTTGATGATTTGAATAGGAATTCAGATGTTGCTCCAATATTATTATTATTAGATCGGAAAAATGATCCAATCACTCCATTACTTTCCCCATGGACTTATCAATCAATGATACATGAATTTGTCGGTATATCCAAGAATATTGTTCAATTACCAGATACAAAGGAACAAATTATTTTATCAGAAGAACTGGATAAATTTTATCGTGAAGCAATGTATTTAAATTATGGAGATTTAACCGAAAAATTTCAAAAATATGTTGAAGAATATAAAACTCAAACTAAACAATCTTCTTTAGATAATTTAAAAACTCAAAATTTGGTGGAATTAAAACAATTATTAACTAAATTTCCTCAATATAGAAAACTTTCCGAAAATATTTTAAAACATTTAAATCTATTATCAGAAATTGATAAACAAATCCTGAATCAAAGTCTATGGGAAGTTGGGGAATTACAACAAGACCTTGCTTGTGGATCAGGTGAATCAAATCATCTGGAACTTAAATCAAAACTTATGGAAATCCTCGAATCAAATAAAACAAACACCATCAACAAAATCAAATTGATTTTATTATATTCAATCAGATTTCATAATAATCCTCAAGAATTATCATTATTTATATCAAAATTAAATAATCCAACCTATACGAATCCATTACCAACCCTGGCACAAAATGAATTAATGAAAAGATTTAAAACATTATTTAGTTCTGCCATATCTTCAACCCATCATAAATCAGACAATCAACCAGTATTGAAGAATATCTTTGCCAAAAAGAATATTCAAAGTTTATTTAATCGTGATAGCAATAATTCTGGAAATGATAATATTTATTTACAATATACACCTAGATTGAATGATATTCTTAATGATTTGATTAATCCAAATACTGATTCCAGCGGTCATCGTTCATCAAGTCAATTCTTATCCACCTTGGTTCCGGATACGGTTAGACGACAGTATGGAAATCTGGTTGGGAATGGCGGTGGTGGTGATGTACAAGATATAATTATTTATATAAAGGGAGGAGTAACTTATGAAGAAGCAAGAGTGATTCAGGAAATTGGACAAGTGAATAAAAAAGTTCATTTGATAATTGGTGGAGATGATAAGATATTGAATAGTAATACTTGGATATCGAGTCTTTATGAATTAGTTAGTCATGAAAGTGATGATGATGAAGGAGATGGGTTAAGAATTGATAGACAAGCACAATTACGGGAGATTTTATAGGCGGCTATTTCAATACATATATATAATAATACAATTACCAATTATGGAGCATATTTCCCGAAATTTTGTTCCCAATTAAGGATTTTATCAGTTAATTTCTCCATTAATATTAAATTTTCATTAAAAGTAACTTCTAAACTTGCGGTATCTTTTATAATCTTTTGTTCATCCCCAGATTCATTTTGTTGAAAATTGAATAATTCAAGTTTATGTAGTTTTTCATCTTCTAATTCTAGTTGTGATCTAGCTAACCATTCCAATATCGCTCCTGTTCTCTTACGTAATTCATATATGGAAGATCTATCACTCACAAATCTAGGTTTTGATGGTTGATTAATCAATTCTTCTCGAGAAGGTAATCCTTTACCATTGTTACTATTCATTGACGTAGTTGTAGCGGAAGTAGAACCAGACGCAGCTGAAGATGAAGCGGAAGATGGTTGTAGGACAGGTTTTTTCTTTTTTGACTTATTATTAGCCCCCAGTTTCCCACCACCCCGGGTCTTCCCACCTCGTTTGGGTTCAAGTTTTGATTCATCAATCCCAATTTCGTCTTCTATATTTGAAGCCGTATCTTGATCATTCATATCTGAATCTGTCGCCCCTTCAATCTCGATCTTGGGCTTTTTGAGTTCAGGTATTGGGTCATCTTCATCTTTGATTGGATCATCAACATCATTATTGACAGTGGTGGCGGTAGGCGGGGTGGAGTTGTTACTGCTATTCCCACGAGATCTTCGTTTGGAAGCATTATTATCAGATTCAACGGCTAGCCCTGATTCTTTTGCACTTTCTCGAATGGCACGTTGTAATGCTTCTTTATATTCGTCGTCTTCTTCTTCATCATAATCATGGTGATGATGATGTCTTCTTTCTCTTTCCTTTCTGTTTTGTTTTGCCGAGGATGCCGATTTGGTAGAGGTGGTGGTGGATGCAGTTGACGCAGTTGGAGAATTTCTCTTTCTTTTATTATTATTGTTGGCGGTGGTTGTGTTATTATTGTTATTATTGGTGGTGGTGTTGTTTGCTGTTGACAATTGTTCAACTTTCCGTCGACGATCATTCACCGGTTTATATAATGTTCTTTTTGATTTAATTGGTGGTCCTTCAGTAATCAAAATATGTAATTCCGGTTTACATACTTCACACCAATACTTTTCCGGTACATCATCATTTTCAAACAATCCAACACAATAACCATGTTGCCAAACTCCACATCGATCACATTGAATAAATAATCCATGATCAATCTTGATTTGGAATTCTTTATTGAGTAATGATTCTAAATCTTTGTTGATGTAGTTTGGTTGAAGTTCATCATGAGCACATATACATCTTGTGACTTCATCATCTTCTTCTAATAATTCTTCATCTTCTTCGATTGAATCTTCTTCTTCATCGATGATTAATTCTTCTTCTGGAGGAGGTGGGGGTTGATCAGTTAGAGTGGTATCTCTGTCTGTTGTATATGCTTTTCTTCCTGATCGACGTGACATTATTACTTGTTTTGCGTTGTGTAAGGAGAGAGATGAAAGAAAGATGGAAAAAGGTTATTGATATGTGAAAATGGAGAAACCTTAACAAGGATGAAATTGAAAAAAAAAAATAACAGATTACATACAGGAATATCGGGATTTCCAAAATAAACACTCACATCTAGAACTTTACATGCAGGAGACTATTTTACAATAGGCGCTACCAATAGTATTATAGATCTTAATGAAAGTTGGATCTGTGTTTCATTGCTACCACTCTAGTATAGTGGTTTTGTATAAGTTGACATAGTTATACGCATTTGAAACAACGAATATCTTTTACAATTTTTTTTTCCAAACAAGAGCAAGCATGGAGCCCATACGACATAGTAAAGATCCAGCATCTGTGCGGGTAAAGTGGTAATAGTAGATTGCTGGCAACTGAATCTATAAAACGGAAGAAAGCAGCACCTTTCTTCAATTGATTTCTTCTAACAAGTCAATGCTTCAAAAAAACGTGCATAGATCCCTATAGAACAAGGGTTGGACATGTTTCAAACCAATGCGCTGGATGTAACGTAGTGTTATGCATTTGGGAGCCAATAGAGTCTTTAAACGTCTTTCTATTTGAAGAATGTGTCAATGGATGGGTAGGTTAGTACACATCGAAATGAAGGGGTGGGGAGGAGGGGGAGGAACGGAGATTCCATAGATATTATGGAGAAGGGGTGTCGTATGAAACGCTGTACTTTTGCGATCATATCTAACTACATAGCATAGAGTTTGACATATCCCAGTTCAATGTGTTTTCTCTGCTTCATAACGCCTCTGGTGTGAGTGAAGCAAAACTATTTGAAAATTTCATTATTGTGGGGCTATAGAACCTTACGCAATAAGCGGTGATATGTTCACATGTACATAAAGGAATATTAAACACATCTCATCTCATCTCATCTCATGACTTAGATTCAAGAAAAGGGGGATATGTTCCCTTAGTGCAGGGTTTCATTTATGGCTAATGAATCTTTGAAAGTTTTGCAACCTAATTGAACTTTAAAAAAGAAACTTAAAAGAATCGGCACATGGGAAATTTTTTTTAATTTTTAATTTTTCCGGGTCATTAAACCGAGGCACTTTTTTTTTTTTTCTGAGAATACCATTTATTCTAGTTCTTATACATAATAACATACAGAAATATAATAAACAGATATACAAATAGAGGAACAAAAAAATGCATCAGCCAATGATTCAAAAAACCTCATATAAGCAACATAAATTAGTAGGTGTATAGGGAAGGAATTGTAGTTAGAGTGAATGTTACCCAAATCTTAATAAAGGAAGTGGAGAGGTCCACCTCCAGGCCAACATGCCGTCGAAAGTATAAGAAACGGGAGACAACATAAAGGTAACGATTAAGGACAAACGATTGGTAAGGTGATAAAGCTGCATTGCAAATAAAGTAGCGAAGTTTCCTTGGAAGATTCGGTGGGTGGAGCTGTGCCCAAATAGCATTAGTAATTGGACATTTAGTATAGACAGAAAAAAGCAATTAAACGAAAAGAGGAGAAGAGGGGGGTCAAGTCAATGGATGTATATATAACCAATTACTCACTAACTAAAGTTAATCCGAATGATCTCGTCTAACCTTTATAAGTATCACCAGTTTACTAAAATCCATATGCTTTATAGGCAATTGATATTGTAGATAGTAAAGAGTAAGTGTAGATGTAAAATGTAAAATGTAACAAAAAGTTACTGTAAAGATATATAAAATGTAACATCTATACAATCAATCTGAAATCTATTACATGTATACTATATAATTTATATATTGAAATTGGGGTATAACCTATTCAACACATAATAGAATGATATCACCTTATTCTTACATGTACATACACATTACTTGCATCTGATGTTGTAGTAGCAATTGCGTCGTTAGTTACAGGTACCTTGCGCTTCAATGTACCGAAAATGGAGTGGATTAACAAGAGGTTGGCGGATTAAACTAAAATTAATTAATTAAGTATTATGGAAAAATAAAAATAAAAAAACAATAAACCCATTGAACTTATAACTAAAGATTTTATTTATATAAGCATTTAAACATTTCCCAATCTTCTTTTTCATTTACAAATATTCTTTCTTTTCTTTCTTCTTTCTTTCAATATGGATGATAGTAGTAATAATAACATACTAATTACACCTTCACCATTTAATCCATATAACTCACAACATCAACTACCCATACATTATTATTCAAGATCACCATTACATCCATCATATCAATCATATTCTTCTCAACCACACACTAACCAACAACAACAAATAGATTACAACTTATACAACTCAGAGTGGAAAGATACTTCAAGCTTAACAAATAGACACCCTAATAATAGTAACAACAACAACAACAATCTACTAATAATGCCGTCGACTATTGCGCCTACCATACAGCAGCAACAACAGATTCCTGATACCCCAACTAAATCTATAGATGCAAAACGCTTAATCTATACAGCAGACCATAACATCAATAACAAACCAAACACACCTAATGACTTTAAACGAGATGATTATATTAAAATAGAAACAGTTAGTATTGCTTCATCTACTTCATCATCATCAACAATCATCAACAATGTTCCTCATATAAAGAATTGGGATATATTTTGGGCAATGTTAAATGATATTGTTGGTAAAGATAAATTAGCTAAAATTGGTCAATATATTCTTCGATTATTATTACATCATTCAGATCAATTACAAACTTATCTTTCAGATGATAATCATTTAAATATTAATATTATTCAATCAAGATATAATGATACAACTAAAAGATTAAATCTTATAAAGAATTTCATTAAACATCCTCAAGATTTCATTAAAATTGTAGCTATATTATTTTGTTCAATTTTCGAACAAAAATTTAATGGTGTTATAACTGGTTTATCAATGTATAGACAATTACTTAGATTTGGTAAAACTCCATTTAAAATTAGAGAATTATTAAATAAATTATCCAATAACATTTCCATTACATCAAAACAAGGTTTAACCATAAATAAATCAAAATTATTTAATAAAAGTACGTTAGGGAATGTATTTTCAATTTATTATGGGATAAATGATGAATCATTATTATTATATAAACTTGGAGTATTAAGTAATAAATCTTATAAGAAATTTGCCAGTAGACATGAATCATTTGGTTGGTATTGTGAAACTTGGTTAGCAATGTATAATGCTGTGGATAAATTAAATATATTATCTCAACAAGAAATGGATATTAAAATATCAATACAAGTTAGAAATAAAGCAAAAATACTTTCAAGACAATTATTAGGAGTAAATCCTAATTTATCAAATCATAATGCATCATCAACTCCAACTCCAACAACTGATGATTTAGAAATGTTGGCAGAAATTAAATTTAAAAAAGATAATTGTTGGTTAGATATTTATAAGAATTTAGCTGATTTAGCATTTAATAGTTATACGGTATTTAAAATACCTTTACCATTTGCTACTTGGCAAATATGGATGGGTATTAGTGCTGCTTTATTAAGTACAACTAAATTATATCGTGAAACTAAAAAGAAATTGATTGAAAAGGAAATGTCAAAAATTAAATTTGATTAGAAGCAATTAATTAGTTTATGTCCTCCATTTTTATTTATATACATATACACTTGATTAAACCTTACCCTCATGCCTCTTGTAATACATCTTCTAAGGTAATATCATTAGGAATACTACTAGCTTGTTTCCAAAACTTAGATAAATGTCTTGAACCCGAATCACATGCAATAACAACAATCTTTTGCCCCGGGCCATACTTGAAAGCAGTCTTAACAGCAGCTACACAATTAATTGCTGAAGAACTACCCCAAAATAACCCATCATTAACACATAAATACTTCGCCATCTTAATTGCTTGTTCATCACTAACTCTAATTGCTTCATCAATATATGTCTCCCCCTGTTTGAAATTCCAGGTTAATCTATTCAATCCAATCCCTTCTACTAAAGTATCCACCTGATGTCTTCTTCTCGTCCCTTCCTTCTCAACACTATCATACATCACCCCAAAATTAATCCGATTAGCCAATCCACTTCCTTGGGGATCAGCAAGAATAATCTTGGTATCCGGGTTTTGTTCCTTAAGATATCTCCCCACTCCAGCAATGGTCCCACCGGTTCCACTTCCATTTATGAACACATCCACCCCATCCCCACATTCCCCCATTTGTCGAATTATTTCTGGGCCCGTGGTCATATAATGCACTCTCCAATTCGCATCATTCTCAAACTGATCGGCAAAGATCGCCTTTCTCCCGCTACTTTCTCTTTCGTTGTTTAATTTATCGGCCCTACGCTTGGCAGCATTCACATATTGGTTGGGATCGACAATACTTGCCGGCTTCACCTTCTCAACCTCGGCCCCTAATGCCACCAACGTCTCCACTTTTTCCGACGACGTATCATCAGGCAAACAAATATGACAAACATATCCTAAAGCATTGGCTAACGTCGCGATTGAAATCCCCGTGGATCCACTGGTGCCTTCGAATATGACATGGTTTTGATGGGGTTGGATCTGGCCTTGGGATTCGGCTTGACGAATAATGGCGAGGGCGACTCGATCTTTAGCCAGTCCGGCGGGATTTGTGAGTTCGAGTTTGGCGTAGATCTTGCATGCTGTGAGTTTGGAGAGGGATTTTATTTCGATGAGGGGGGTGTTTCCGATTTGTGATTCTATGCCTCGGGATCGTGGTGGGAGAGGGGTGAGTTTTGATTGGTTGGTGGAGGACTTGGTGGGTTTGGTGATGATGTGGTGGATTTCTTTGATGATTATGAGGAGGGATATGAGTGAGGCTGAGGTTTGTAGTGCTGATTTCCAATTGATTGACATGGTTGAATTGAGGGTTGCTGGTTAGAGATAAAGAGAAGGGAGTTGATGGGGTTGGTTTGGAAATTTTCGATGCGCGAGTTTGATGTGGTTGCGAAAAGCGCAAGTTTTTCAGATTTCTAATGACACACCATTTCTTATAATATACACATTCTATACATAATATACATATGGGTACCGCACTCAAGTTCATATAAAGACAAGTACCTATGTCCCGTTCATTGTGGGAATGCCGTCGAAGAATATAATTACTAGCCTTGGAAGTTCTGGTAGGGTACTATCACACCTTTTCAATTGATCTTTTGAATAACTTTCTTGTTGTCACTAAAAATTTAACAAACTTCTGATGTCCATTAAACTCATCTTGTAAATATTTCTTCACATCATCCCCCAAATCAGGCGTTGAATCCCCCACACTATATTCCGATCCACCTATATCCAATTCAATCCAAAATTCTCGATTATAATCATCAGAATCAATATTTATAAACATAAACCTCATCAACGTCATATCCAATACTTCAATTCGTATCCCTAAATATCTTTCATATCTTGATAATTCCGGTATTCCCCGACGCATCTCTCCATTTAATTGATCTTGTAATGTCTTAAGTTTCCCAGTCAAAGCACGATGTTCTTCACCTAATTCCCGAAGTCGGGTTTCTCCTTGGCTATTTATCAATTGTGCCTCGTGTCGTTGTCTCTCAAGTTCATCGACTTTATTTTTGCCTTTGTCTTCTAATTCTGATAATAATATATCCAAATTCGATGATTGTTCAGAATATTCCAGTTGGATAGTTAGGAGATCTTGTCTCAATGTTTTGATTTCGGAATTTAGATCCCTGATTTGGGTATTCTGGTCATTGGATATATTTTTGACCTTTTGGGGGATGGCTGTTAATGCATTGGCGAGATTCTTTTCTAATTCAGTATAGGTTTGTTGAAGTTGGTCAAAGTCAAACACGGTTGGGATTGGGTCTCGAGGAACTGGGGGTTGGAAATTGAATGACAGGTGGTTATTGTAGGACAGATGCGGACCTGATGGTCCACTGTGGGTACTGGATGATACGAAGTTAGACATTTTGTTCTTCAGAGACAAGGGGGTTGATGATTGTGGTTGATGATTTGATATTTTGTTTACGTTTTTGTTTTTGTCTGTCTGTCTGTCTGTCTATGTTATTTTTTTTGTCACACATTTACGCCAAATACCTATGAATGCGACATGGCGACATGGATGTCGCAATATTTTAATTCATGGAATTGGAGTTACATGTAAGTGCAGATTCTTCCCCATGTCCATATATGTTAAGTAAATAAGATTCTAAGAATGGAACACCGAAGAGTGAGTACCATTTTTCTGTGTATCCATGGTTCATAGTTCCCATATTTAAGGATTTTGTTTCTGCAGATTATTTAGTTTTTAAAATGTTATCAATAAATTACATTTAGAACTATCACTTCGACGATATTGTCATTACAATCATTTCACCCATATCAGCACCACTGAAATTATAACCTTGAATAAGCAAATTGCTTTCCCAGTTCGGCATAGTTGTGACAGTCTCAGATAATTTTTGTCCGTCTGTCTCTGAAGAAGTTGTAATCTAATCACTTTCCCGGTGTTGCTACCAATTGAAAAGATACTAAACGCTTTGACTCCTTGGCAACCAGAAGTCCTTTTAGATTCTCGGGTCATTCATGGCAAGAGTCCTTTAGAATATAGTATGGGGGGAGTGGCAAGATAGAATTCAATTGGTAATTGTATTTTTGTGTAATGTTTCTAGTCGTGCAAGTTTTCAAAAACAATTGCAAAATTTGTTGCAATTCCACAAGCAAAAAAACATATAATTCCAACTGAAAACAATACTATTTGTGTTTTCTTCGTCTTTTCTTTAACTACTACAATCATTCATATCTCAACCAAAGACAAGACAACAGTATGTATTCAATCAAGTTCACTAGCCTGAAGCTAGAGAGGGGGCCACTTTCAAAGCCAAATCCCTTCAGATGGGCATCAGTAGTTGATGTCTGTCTAAATGTGAGTCATTACCTGGTCTAATTTGCTAAATGCATAGCTCGTTTGAGCATTGACTGGGGGGTTAAGAAAGTGTCACAGATGCAAGGTAGCTGACTACCATCATACCATGTACATGACAATAAACCTAAATATGGAACCTATAGATTCAGCAAATACAGACCAATCATTGTTGACCTTTTTAGTTATGTCAAGAGAGAAGACACATATAGACTAGATTTCTTTTTAAAATTATTTAAATACATCTGGAACGTTTTTAACAAAGTAATGTAAAATTGTTATAGGTTGTTGCTTCTTGAATTTATTGCTGATGTTGAAGTTTGTGCATTGATTATTTTTTGCTATGACGAATGAGATTGTCTCCTTGAGGTGTATTTTTGAAAGGAACAAGGATTTCTATTGCTTAATGGACATATATAAAGTGGTAACTGGTGGCTGTGGAATACCAATTGGTTATGGAAGGTCCTGACACCTAATTTTGACGGAGAGGCTTGCAAAATTGGATCCTAGTGTTGGGTGTACATGAGGTAGTGCTTGGCCATATTTGAGGAATAATGGAAATTTGCAATCATCTTGGAATGTGGGATCGTACTCATGGATTCTGGAATTCTAGAGAGCATGCCCATTGATTCGAAGATATCTATTCGATGCGGGAATTCTGGCTATAGAACTATAAGCAAACTTAGATTATAAAACAATTACGAACAAAAGCAATAAGGTATTCTTGTCCTGTATTTTAAAGCACTGATATCGAAAGGATCGTAGGTACTTTACTTTAGGAGGAATAGATAGTTCGATTTTAAGGTGAATGACAGATTGAACCTGGAACCTAGTGTATCACGTCTGAGAAACGTAGTATTGATACCTCTCTTCTTTGTTATTACAATAATTCAGGGTTGATTACCTTGAGAATTCTGCAGTCGCTATAGAGTTACAATTCCAAACTATTTGGTTTCATTCAATGATTATTATGTTAGATAAAAATTTTCTATTAACAATATTATATCATAACACTCCTAAATATAAATACGCAAGTTGATTCTTAAATAATAACTAGTAAATATAAATAAATATAGTAAGTCATCACATATCAACACTCCAAGCATACGGACTTCTGCTCCTCAAATATTCACCATACTTAAAGAACAAGAATGGAATAGGTATCAAAAGAATAGAAAAAAACGCCAATAAACTAGTTGCCCAATGTATACCCATTTTCTCATACATCCGCAATCCAAACAATGGAAGTATCCCCGACAAAACTGATCTCACAAATGAATTGGTAGCCATTGCCAGGGCAGCATATAAACGATATGCTTCAACTGTATAAGCAAATATTCCATTAAATACCAAAATAGTCCCACAACCAAAGATCGCTGATCCGATCATGGGGACAATCCAGTGTATGGACGGATATGCTGTCCATGCGATGATAAAAAGTCCAACGGGGATAATGAATACTCCAATCATGAGTGATGCGAATCTGAATTTGGGTTTGGGGACTCCGTTGTTTTTGCGAAGCATCCTCATGTATATTCTGTTGATATAATAGGGTGAAATTAATGCTGTAAGAACCATTCCAATGACCAATGCAATAAATGACATACCTTGTTGACTTAAGGAGAATCCATAAACGGTCTGGAACATATATGGGAATGCAACAAAGAATAAATAAACAACTGCTAGTGTAAATGCGGTATAGAAACATAATACGAATGTCATATTATCTCTAAACATCAATAAAAGTGGTCTTTTAGGTGATGTGAGTATACTTTCATATAATGTAGTATTAACCCTTTCAACGGGAGCATAACATTCATCATTTCCTGTTTCTTTTCTTAATCTTTTGGCTTTTCTCTTTAGGTTTATAGGTTCATAAGTTTCTGGCACGAAAAACACAACCAATACCAATAATAACACTGACCAAAGTAACATGATAATAAATGTCCACCTGAATTCCATATTACTATTGACAAACCCAGAAATCAAAGGTCCAAGCCCAGGACCAGCAAATGGTGACACTGAATACAAAACCAATGATAACGCCAATTCTTTATTGGCATCTTTCTTCCCCTTATCATGATCCTTTGCTTTAAATAAATCAGAAAATGATCCAGAAGCAACCCCTAAAAAACTTGATCCAAAAACACCACTCATAAATCTTCCAAATAACATACCACCTATATTATCACAAAATGAGGTCAAGATTTCAAATGCAATAGTTAAGGATAAGCCGAATATATAAACCATTCTTCTTCCATGAAATTCACTTATTGGACTCAAGAAAATAGCTCCAAGACCTACACTCCATACATACAAGGAAATACCCAAAGTACTTACTTCTTGACTAACACCAAAATGGGACATTATATTTGGGGTAGCCAAAGCCCAACATGAGGAGATACAAGTAACACATAATGAATCAAAAGATATAATTGAAACAACTATCCATTTATGAAACCGCGATAGTCTTGATGCATCCTCTTTATCGTCAACAGAGTCATGATCAGGATGGAATGTGACTAAGTAAGGATCGACTGGTAATTTCACCACAATTGCATCTTCTTCTTTTAGTTGATCATCGTTAATTAATTCTAGCGACTCTTTTGAATTTATTGAAATTATTTCCTCTTCAGACATATTTTTGGAGACGACCTGTTATTGTAATATATAGAGAACGTTGAAAAAAAGTGATGAGATGAGGGTACTTTCTCTCATCATTATATAGATAACTGACGGGTTTATAGGGGTTTTCTTTCTAAAATGGTGTAGTAACGGAATTTGAAAAGACAATTAAAAATATAAAAGCCAGGAATATTTTGTAAATTATAATCTTCTTTGTTTCGATTCGCTCATACGGTCCGGTTTGAATTCCCAATTAGGAAAGACCGAGAGTTCCCAATTAGGAAAGACGGAGAGTTCTATTTCCAAATAGAGTTAAAATCCGAAAATCACCCCTCGTTTTATTTTGACGGCTGATGGCGAACTCCGATTATTACTAATTCTATTGTTGGGTTTGTAATTTATGACACTAAACGGACAAACGTCGGTTGCCAAGATAATTTTGATTATCTACTACAAGTGTATAATAGTATATGTGCGTTCTTTGACTCAGTCTGTAGAAAGAATCTGAAGGTAATTTCAAATAATTCCAATACAATGCATACTAGACCCCATATATCTGCCCGTTCATCCGCGGTATGTTTCTTCTATGACTGACTTGAACAAAACATTGGACGTACATGCGTAATCTTGTTTCATTCCACCGGATCCATTGTTGATATAGGATTATCGTAACCAATCAATTTGCTTTGTGGTGGGAGTTGATACAGTTTGTCTAACCGTATTCTTCACGGTGCGATATTCGGATTGTAGGTATCAGATACAACCATACATTAAATAACTGGAGACAAGCAGAGAACAATTAAAATTGGCTATTTTCGGAATATTATATGGACATAGAATTCCGAGATTGTGTGTCTGTGTTAGTGCGTCCACTGAAACAACTGGTCGTAAGCATGTAGGTCTAAGCAAGAGAGATCATTTTCTTTCAAAGTGTCCTAATTTTACAGACTTTCAAGTTTTGAAGTTGGTTAGGACAAAGCAAGCAAGCTTACAAGAAGAAGTCGTTACTAACACTGTTTACAATCAAACAAGAACGTCGCTTGATTGAGGATGTAAGTAACGCGTCATCTTTTATGTTCTAATGCTATCGAATTATTATGAACAGTGTTCACGAGGCATACTTTGCGTATCTAATCAAAATGACACACAAATCTTGTAACCTAAGATGTGATTAAAAAACGGTACGCAAATTCCCAGGGTTCTGCTTATAAGAGTTCAAATCAGTGCCAGTTTGTAGCGAATAGACGTAGCAATGATTCCATGTAATTGGATCGGAGATAGGAATAAAATTGATTGTGTAATAAGCAAAAGTTTAGAAATTGACGTATATGTGGAAAAATAGAAGGTCGAATGAGTAACAAGAGTGATGATGAATAATTCCTTCAGATTCTCCAGCTTGTTCAAATACTTGTGGAGCTACAATTGCTTCTCCATTGATCCTTCTTGTATCCAAATTTGATGATTCCTCAGGATATTGCAATTGGATAGCTAGAAGATCGTGACTCAATGATTGGATTTCGGAATTTAGGTCCCTGATTTGGGTATTCTGGTCATTGGATATATTTTTGACCTTTTGGGGGATGGTTGTTAATGCATTGGCGAGATTCGTTTCTAATTCAGTATAGGTTTGCTGAAGTTGGTCAAAGCCAAACACGGCTGGCATTGGCTCGCGAGGAACTGGGGGTTTGAAATTGACTCGAAATTGGTTATGATAGATGTGGACCTGATAGTCCACGTGGGTACTGGATGATGCGAAGTTAGACATATTCCTCTTGAAAGGCAGAGGCTTGCCGATTGATTTGATATTTGTATTTGCATTTGTTTTTGTCTGTCTGTCTGTCTGTCTGTCTGTCTGTCTGTCTGTCTGTCTGTCTGTCTGTCTGCTGTCTGTCCGTCTGTCTGTTGTCTGTCTGTCGGTCGGTCTTTTTTCTAAGTCTCGTAATTTTTGTCTGTCTGGCCGTTGGTGTCTGTCTAATTCAATAAATAGTCACTGTCCGGCTGACTACAGCCATCCCAAAGAAGCTGCAATTCTGTTTAGCGGGTATACCCATTAGTGCGCTGCTGGCACAACATGGGGATTAATTGTGCTTGGATGTGACCATTTACCTAATTTGATTATAGCCGCCCCTTGGTTGATACAAATCGGAAGTATAGACTTCTTGATAAATGGTCAACCAAGATCGTGTGAAACAAACGAATTTCACAACCAGATCTAGTCTGATTCAAAGCTTTTCTGCTCTTTTCTTGATCCAAGCAAAATATGCATCCCCAAAGGATACTCAGGGAGATGCGCTAGGACACGTGTGACGAATGAGATTGCCTCCTTGAGGTGTATTGTTGAAAGGAACAAGGAATTCTGTTGTTTAATGGACAAGGATAACCTGGTAACTGGTGGTTGTGGAATACCAATTGGTTATTGCAGGTAATGACTCCTAATGTTGACGGAGAGGTTTCCAGAATAATATCCTGGTGTTCGCTGTATGTGAGCCATATTTGAGGAATAATGGAAGTTTGCAACCAAGAGCTTCTTGGAATGTGGGGTCGTACTCATGGATTTTGTGAGCATGCCTATTGGTTCAAAGATCTCTACTCGATGGGGGAGTTCTGGCTAAACTATAGAGCTATAAACAAATTTAGATTATAAAACAATTTCGAACAAAAACAATAAGGTATTCTTGTCCTGTATCTTATCGATCTGATACGGCAAGGATCGTGTGTACTTTCGTTTAAGCTGAATAGATAGCTCCATTTTGACGTGAAATGTAAGAGCGAAGCTGGAACCTAGTGCATCATAACTGAGAAAGGTAGTATTAATTCCTTTCTTCTTTGTTATTACAACAATTCAAGGTTGATTACCTTGAAAACTTGCAATCGTTATAAAGTTACAATTCCAAATTCGTTCAATGATTATTATGCTACATTAAAATCTTCTATTAAAACTACTCTATAACACGCCTATGTATATATGCAAGGTGATTGTTAAAGAATCAACTAATAAATATAAATAAATAAATGCAATGAGCCATCACATATCAACACTCCAAGCATAAGAACTTCTACTCCTCAAATATTCACCATACTTAAAAAACAAGAATGGAATAGGTATCAAAACAATAGCAAAAAATGCCAATAAACTAGTTGCCCAATGTATACCCATCTTCTCATACATCTGCATCCCAAACAATGGAAATATCCCCGACATAATTGATCTCACAAATGAATTGGTAGCGATTGCCAGGGCAGCGTATAAACGATATGCTTCAACTGTATAAGCAAAAATTCCATTAAATACCAAAATTGTCCCACATCCATAGATCCCTGACCCGATCATGGGGACAATCCAGTGAATGGAGGGATATGCTGTCCATGCGATCATAAAGAGACCAACTGGGACAATGAACACTCCAATCATGAGTGATGTGAATCTGAATTCAGGTTTGGGGACTCCGTTGTTTTTGCGAAGCAACCTCATGTATAATTTGTCAATATAATAGGGTGAAATTAATGATGTAAGAACCATTCCGATGACTAATCCAAAAAATGACATACCTTGTTGACTTAATGAGAATCCATAAACTGTGCTGAAGATGTATGGGAATGCAACAAAGAATAAATAAACAACTGCTAATGTAAATCCAGTATAGAAACATAATATGAATGTCATATTATCTCTAAACATCAATAAAAGTGGACGTCTAGATGATGTAAGTACACTTTCATATAATGTAGTATTTACCCTTTCAACGGGAGCGTAGTATTTATCATCCCCAGTTTCTTTTCTTAATCGCTTAGCTTTTCTCTTTAGATTTATAGGTTCATATGTTTCTGGCACGAAAAATACAACCAATACCAATAATAACACTGACCAAAGTAACATAATAATAAATGTCCACCTGAAATTCATATTACTATTGACAAACCCAGAAATCAAAGGTCCAATCCCGGGACCAGCAAATGGTGATACTGAATACAACACCAACGACAATGCCAATTCTTTATTGGCATCTTTCTTCCCCTTATCATGAGCATTTGCTTTGAATAAATCAGAAAATGATCCAGAAGCAACACCTAAAAAACTCGATCCAAAGAACCCACTCATAAATCTTCCAAATAACATTCCACCTATATTATCACAAAATGCGGTCAAGATTTCAAATGCAATAGTTAAGGCTAATCCCAATATATAAACCATTCTTCTTCCATGAAATTCACTTATTGGACTCAAGAAAATGGCTCCAATACCTAATCCCCATATATATAAGGAAATACCCAAAGTACTTACTTCTTGACTAACACCAAAATGGGACATTATATTTGGGGTAGCCAAAGACCAACTTGACGAGATACAAGTGACACATAATGAACCAAACGATATAATTGAAACAATTGTCCATTTATGAAACCGTGATAATCTTGAGGCATCTTCTTTATCGTCAATGGAGTCGTGATCAGGATAGAATGTGACTAAGTAAGGATCAACTGGTACTTGAACCACGACTTCTTCTTCGTTTTTTAGTTGATCGACATCGTTAATTAATTCTAGCGACTCTTTCGATTTTATTGAACTTATTTCTTCTTCAGACATTTTTGTACAGTCGACCTGTTAAGATAATATATAGAGGATGTTGAAAAAATATGATGAGATAGGAGTACTACTTTCACTTATTGTTGTATAGATAACTGATGAGTGTATAGTAGTTTGTTCCTTAAATTGGTGGAGTAAAAATAGGTTTTGGTTAGTCATTTGGAAAGCAAACTAAAAAATTTTGTTTAAAAATCTTTTTGGTTCGGTTCGAGTGTGCGATCCGGTTTTTCCATTCCCAATTAGGAAAGACCGAGAATTCTTTTCCAAATCGAATTAGAGTCCGAAACCCCCTTCCCCCCCCATGCTGATTCAATTTCTTGACATATGTGGTCGATTCAGATATTCGTATATTCTATTGTTAGTGCTAGTATCAGAACTCCGAAATAATTTATAAGGACTTGTAGTCGGGCCTTGGTGACAAGTGGCTGATATTAGTAATTCTATGGTTAGATATTTGTAGTTTTATGACATATAAACGGATGAACGGCGGTTGCCAAGCTAATTTTGATCCTCAATTACAAATGTATTCCTTATAATGGAACTTTTGAACAAGTATAGTGTGATCTTTGACTATGGAAAGAATCTGAAGATAATTTCAAAAATAATTCCAATACTATGCATATAATGAGTCGATATAACGGGTCTAGTCGAACATATCAACCCTCCATCCGCGATATGTTTCTTCTATGACTAACTATTCGTAATCAACACCATCGGAAATGGACTTGAACAAAAAATTGGACGTGCCTGCGCAATCTTGTTTCATCCCACCGGTTCCATTGTGAATATGGTATAGGATTATTTTAACCAATCGATTTGCCTTTGTGGTAGAAGTTGATACATTTGTCTAACCATATTCTTCATGGGTAGAGTTCTGTTAGTAGGTATCAGGAACAAAATTGGCAAATGCGATAACTTGAAGAACTGGAGACAAATAGAGAACGATTAAAATTTGCTATTTTCGGAATATTGTATGGATATAGAATGCATTTTCCGAATCAAGATCTAAACGTGTGTTTGTGTTAGCACATCCAAGCAACTGTTCGAAAGCATGTTGGTCTAAGAAAGAGAGATCATTTTCTTTCAGATGCTCCTGGTTTTACAGAGTTTCATGTTTTGAAGTTGATAAGAGAACTTAACTATAAATTTTTGCTACAAGAAGAAGTCGTTACTAAACAATAACGCCGTTTGATTGTGGGTGTAAGTGACGCGTCATCTTTTATGTTCTTCTTCTATGAAAAGTATTCACGTGGCATACTTTGAATATCTAATCCCAATGTTAAACAAATCTTGAAACTACAGACTTGTTCATTTTCTAAAAATAGGGTTAAAAAAAGGGTACGCGAATTGTTAACAATAGATATTGACACGTGCATAATCTTATTAAACTTACCAAAGACATGTGTGCAATATATGTAACATACATTATTGTAATTCACGCGACCGTTGAATTCTCGTTTTCAATACGTTTCTTCCAATTTGAACTCTTGTGACACAAGAGTGGGGGGAGTGTTTAGTAGAAATTTGTTGTTGAATATAGTTATAATTTTGAAATTTCAAACGAGATTTACGGTATCACAAACGTGTCAAAATTCTCAAGAAAAGATCAACAGCCACATAGCCACATACAGCCAATTTATTTAACTTCCAACACTTCAACCAGGTACAATACGCTTTGCATTTATTCATAGAAATATAATCACGTGTAATCCAAATCTCCATAAAGGTCAAAACATTTTATCCTATCTTGCATTACCTAATTATTAATATTATAAAGCCCAGGGCATAGTTCAAAATATAAAATATGTCTCTTCCATTATCATCCAAGGAAAAGATTAACTTCAATGAAAAATCACCATCGCCATTCACACCGGGTGGTAGTAGAAGTAAGACTAGTTTAGAGAAATTAATTATAACTATGTTAATAGAATCAAGCATATCATTAATTGTATATTATAATTATGATAAATTAAATTTTATAAATCCAATGTTAGCACCTACATTATTAGGATGTATATCAGGAGCATTAGCACAATCAATAAATCAATATTTTAAGAGGAAATTTTATTTAAATAAAATCATTAAATTTATGATTTGGGGAAGTATTAATGGATATTTTACAGTTGCTTGGATTAATATTTTAATTAATAAAATTGATAATTTACCTTATAGAATTATGATTGATCAATTAATTGGTGTACCTACGTTCCAATTGATATTTAATGTTTTAAATACTTTATGGGATCAAGGAGAATTGTTTACGGAGAATACAAGACATTCATATATTAAATCATTAAAATATAGTTATTGTTATTGGCCATTCTTTTCAATATTTTCATTTATGTTGATTCCACAATCTTTAATGTTTCCATGTAATTGTTTAGCTAATTTACTTTGGAATATCATATTAAGTAAGATAGCTTAGACATTACCAAGAGAGAGTATATACAAAACACTTAGCATTTGATAGACGTTTATATATATATGTCTGTATTATTATAGTACTATAGCATATACACATATAGAGCATTTACTTCTTAAACTTCTTTAAAGGATCAGATTTCTTTCCTCTTTTATTATGCTTATTTCTCTTTTTATGAACTTTATGAAATGGAACAAATCCAATATTTTGAGTATCACCTCTAGCACTTTCAGGTAATAAATATTGAGGAACCCTCTTTAATTGAGTTTGAACTCTAGCTGAATATAATTCTTTATCATGTCTTAAACTTGATAAATCTTGAGGATTTTCTTGAAAGAATCTTGTCAACTTTTCCGAATTCATTAATTCGGTTTTCAACTCTTTTATTCTTGCTTCTCTAATTGCAGTTTGAGTAACTGCTCTAAATGCATCTTCTGATCTATATCTAAACCCTTCTATTTGTTTCATATCAAATTGATATGGTTTGATTTCAAATCCATTCTTGGATTGTTGTTTAACTATACGATGTAAAATCTTTTCGTCTTTCTTGCATGTTGCCAATGTAGCAATCTTATGTTTTCCTAATTCTTTAGGTGGAATTACAAAGGAAAGTGCCATCCCAGATTTCCCAGCTCTCGCTGTTCTACCAATTCTATGAATATATGATTTTGAACTAGTTGGTAAATCAAAATTTAATACACAAGCAACATTTTTGAAATCAACTCCTCGACTTACACCATATTCTTTATCATTCTTGAATTTAGATTTCTTATTCTTCTTGCTTGACTTTTCTTTTGGTTCGGCATTGTTGTTCTCTTGTTGTTCATCATCTGATTCTTCATCTTTTTCTTGAACATATTCATTGCTTTCATCGGTAGCAATTAATAAGTTATAAACATTCTTATTAAACTGTTCGACTAAATGTAACCGAGAATTCATCGGTAATTCACCATTTAATATACAGCATTTAACTCCAAATTGTTCTAAAAATAATTTTAATCTATAACCACGATCAATATTATTAACAAACACAATTGATTTACCTTTAATTAAATTCAATTTAAAGATAACATAAGTTAATAAGAATTTATCAAATTCAGTTGTTTTTACATAATATTGTAATAATTTCCCTTGTTTATCGGCATCATCTTCATCATTTAATTTTATAATTGCTGGTTTTGTACAATATCTTGATTTCAATTCATTTAAATCATCAGTTAAACTGGCAGACATTAAATAAGTTTGTAAATTATTCTTATGAGGTAAATAACTTTCTAAATTCTTCAAATCATCAAAATATCCAAATGAAAAGATTAAATCAACTTCATCAATAATAAAATATTTCATTGATTTAAAATTTAATTTTGATAAATTTGAAATTAATTTCCCAGGAGTTGAAATTATAATCTCCGGTGATATTTTAATTAAAGATTCAATAACAGATTCATTCAAATTCCCATCACTAAGATTTAAGATATTAAGTTTCTTTCCATTAAACATTAATAATTTTTCAATAAATTGATAAACTTGATTACTTAATTCTCTAGTTGGTACCAAAATCAAACATTTAACTCCCAGTTCGTTGTTCTCATTGTCTTCTTGCATCAAGTTATGTATGACAGGAATAGCATATGCACCAGTCTTACCTGATCCAGTAGATGCTTTAGCTATGATATCTCTTTTTTCATCAATGGCAAGTGGAATAACACTTGATTGGATTAAGGTGGGAGATATGAATCCAAGTTGATCTATTGCTTGGAGAAGACGGGCATCAAGATTGAACGAATCCCATGTTGTTTCTTCATCCAAGTAAGTCTGTGAAACTTGTGTATTATCTGACATTTGTTAAGTGTGGAAAGGATGTAGAATAAGGATAAGAAAAGAAGAGAGAGATGAGATGAGCTTTCTTTAAATTTTTTTTTTTTTAGTCTTAAGAATTTTTATTTCGGTTGCAAAAAAATCCGAAGAAAATAAAAATAAAAATTAGTTTACAAAAATGAATTGGCGGCAATCATCAAACAACAACAACAACCCCATATCAAACAACCATATTCATAAATATAAAGAGGAAAACCTCACAGTATACAACACTATCAAAAAACTATTGGTAAGCAGATACACAAAAAAGAAACATATCATGAGCTTTGGCAAACTTCAACAATAATTGAATCAATTTAAATATGCATACCAATAAGCAAAAACACAACTTTCTTCCATCATTTCTTCTGTTTAAAAGAGATTTATTCTCGTCCAATTCAATTGGAAACACTCCCACTCCTATTGATTCATCAAAATTCAAGCTGGTGAAGGAAACAATCAAGCTGAGTAATTATCAAAGAGGTTGTCCTCCCTCTGAAAAAGAATTCATGAATAAAGTTTCAAAACGAACTAATGAGAGAGATAAGAAGAAAGAAGCCGTTTCTACTAAGAAAAGGTCTTTTGATAAAGTTAACCAACTTCCATCACAAAGTAAAAGTGTCCCAACTAAACCGGATCAAGGAAAGATTGCTCAACTTTCATTGCATAACAAACGACACATAGAGAATGAAGTACATTCCAAAGCTCTTGGTAGAACTATGTCTGAGTTCACATCAGTTTCTAAGCCAGATTTTCCGAAACAACAATCAGGACTTGAAAAGCAAAGAGAAACCCCACAAGCCAAAACAAGAGATGAAGGCATATCTGAAAAGGGTGAACATGACCTCGGCGTTTTCCATGCTGTCCCGCATTTACTGGCCCGGCCTGATTTGGTCACCACTTCTCCTATCAGCCAACACAAATACCCCAGAATAAACCAATCCAATCAACCTTCCACTACTAAGGACAGAGGAAGTATGTATGACAAAACTTTCGGGAAAAATTCAACAGGATTGGCTTCATATGGAATCAATGCTGGGGTTTTAGAGAGGAGTATTTATCGTTCTCCAAATTGTACCCCAGAATCACTAATCCGAAAGGAAAAAATGAACCCGAAACAAACAAGAAGTCCAAGAAATGACAGAAGGAATAGAGCAAGAAAAATAAAATCAAATTACCAACCACGAACTATATCAGAGCCTGAGCTCAATTTACTAGTTGAACCAAATCTCATTCTACCTCTTGACAAGGTTTATAAAGTTGAGCCTGAATTCAATTTTCATGTTGTCCAAAATACTTATGTATCTCCACTTGAATTGATATTATCTGATACCCAAAATATAGACACATATGACCCAGAGGTCATTGTACCTGTTACCCAAAAGTCCAAAATATCTGAACCCGACGTCAATATCCTGGAATATCGACATCCAAAAAGTCCTAGAATAAACCGAACAATCAAGGTGAAGCATAGTGGAAATCCCCAAACAAAAAGCATCCGCTATCCTTATTGGCCTAACAACAAATGGTCTCAATTTACAAAAATCGTCAAACTGAGAAGAATTACAAGACAACAGGCAATAAATTGTCGGTTATTGGCAAGGATAATGGGATGTAGAAGTAAGAAGGAATTAGCAAGGAGATATGATTTTATAGTTGCCTTCGTGGTGAAAGGTAAGAAATTTAGATTGAGAAATTATAGGGAAGTAAAATATAAATAGTAAATAGGTTAGTTGTGAATTTTCTTTGAAATTAACTGTATTGTTAGTTCTAGAAAGATTTAATTGATACGCTTGTCAAGTGGTCTATACACACTAGTTTTTAAAGATCTCTATACCAAACCGTTTATACCTGCCGAAGACCATAGACAGACTTGGGAGTCAGTGTACAGTCGTATTACAAATAACACAAAGTCTGTCTCGGTGATAATGCTGCAACCTAAATTTTGCAAGTATCAAAAAAATAATTTGTGGCAAATTACATACATAAAAAATACAAGAAAGCGCAAAACTTGCAGCAACACAACATATTTTACTAGCCACATAGTTCTAAATGTCGCACTCCCCTCGTTCGTTAGATTAATTGCGGATCTATGCACAGGCAATGCAAGGTTATCCTGATAAGAGAAGGCTTCTTTTAGATATCCGCAGATGTTATTTCTTTGATTTTTATGACTCTGGTATTTTAAGTACGCACTAAACACCGAAGTAGAAAATTGATGAACTTCGGTTGACGGAAATCTTACGTAGGCTCCATTACTAGTAGAAATTTCTAAAGTAAGATATGGAAATCGAAATTAACAATCTAACAAATGAACTGACTAGTGGAGTCTTACCGGATGTAGTGTTGTCCATTTTGTCATGGTAGATAAAAGAGAGTTCTTGATTGCAACAAAAGTTTTTTTTACAACCAAACGGGATTTGATCCTAATTCTTTTATATCCACAATAGATCAATTAGCTTGTGATATTGTACGGTCAGTATGGGTGACCCAATCTGTAGTCGACTATACAGGTTCTTCGGAATTTATTGTTGCACTAGAAAAAATGGCTGCAAAATATCTCTGATAAATAAACAAAAATTTGCAATAAATATAAATCCTCCCCAGAAACAACAACAAAATTTACAAATCTCCACGGAAAAGACAATATATCTTATGAATTCGTCCCTTTCTAGAACTTCCAAGTGACTTTATGAGTTTTTAAGAAAGAATTGCCCATCGAAACACTCGAAGAAATTATTACCATACAAAACAGAAATTCCGGTCTTTGGTCACATGACAATTTTCTAAATCCTGGAATCTTTGTCTCTGACAATCAGGCTTCTATCATCCAATAGACGAATCTATGAGCCTTCGTTTTATATAAAACATATGCCATCAAGTATTCTCAAGCTATAAATAATCCAATAAAATGAGAATCGGGATTACGTAATCAAACCCGGACCGGGCTTGCGGATCGATGAACAAAAACAACCAAAAGGGCGTGTGGCGTAGTTGGTAGCGCGTTTGCCTTGCAAGCAAAAGGTCACTGGTTCGATTCCTGTCTCGTCCATTATTTTTTTGTATTTCCAATAAAGGTTGATTTGATGGATTTATGAAGCTATTATTTTTAGTGTCAATTATATTGATGGTCATTAATATGCATAAAATAAATAAGGTATATACGATTCTAACTCTAATTGCTCTATCTAAATGTTTGCTTTGAAAGTTTAATTTTCCTTCAGTGTACTTGGAAGACCTACGACTGATAAGTCCTGTTCGAAACTTACTTTCCTGGGATGTTGCTGAGATTGATTTATGAGACTGGGCTTCGTACGAGGAACACCTGAAACTGAAGAAGCAATTGATTGTGTTTCCAGCTGCAAATCATCTGCATTTAGGGTCCACGAGAATCTTGTCGGCGGTACTTGTGACGCTCTGCGATTTGAAGTCGATTGTCGTGGGCTCCTTGCTTTTGGAGGTCCAGCTTCTAGATCTCGCTGCTTTGTTGATTTATTGCTCAAGATTTTTTTCAACTTTTCTCCGATATATTCAGCCTCCGCTTCTGTATCTTCCGGTCCCATGATATCTGCGACAAAATTCTTCGGGACTGAGTGCCGCCTTCCATCAGCAATTGTGCGTTCTCTGGCTAATGGTGGGCCCATGCCGTATACTGGAAAAACGTTTTTAGGTGATCTGTGGTTGCGAGAGCGTATGGTTGATGTAGAATATGCCGAACCGCGCGTTGTGGAATAACTTAGTCCCCGGTTATCTTCGTAGTATGGTTGTGGTTGATAACTTGCAGAATCTGGTGAGTCTGTTCCTTCACTAGCGTGATTTCTCGAATCGTCATGTTTCTCATCGGTATCATCAGTGTCACTTTCCTCTACTTCATCATATGTAGGACTACTTTTTTGTCTTACAACTCTTGAATCCATATTCAATTCAGGTTGTTCATCTCTGACTTCATACTTTGGTAATTTCAATTTCTTTCGATCTTGTTCAACAACGTAAATATGTAAATACCATGTAACTACAATTCCATAAAATGATCCTCCTACTATGTTTCCCAAAGTGGCTGGTATAAAAACTTTCCAGATTGTCGTTGCAACTGATATTGGAGCTCCATTGATTAAACCAACAATCATAATATACATGTCAGCGATACAATGGGTGAAACCAATAGTGACAAATGTGAGAATAGGAAGTAACAACATTAAAAACTTAACATGAATTGGTTTTGCCATTAATTGCAAGAAGATACCCAAACAAACATAGAAATTTCCAGCAATTGCTCTAATAAATATTTGAACAAAAGAACCGGAGCTTTTTGCAACAGCAATTTCAATAGTCCCCGTTATCATACTTTCACTTCTAGAAATGCCAGAATAATGACTGAATATATATACAACGAAGATATTCCCAACAAGGTTAAAGGTCCAACTAACAATCCAACTTATCAACAAATCTAAAACTGATACCGCTCCTCTACATAAGGCTGTACTGAAAAACAACACATTTGAATTAAATAAATCAACCCCGATAATCACAACATAGAATAGCCCAATAGGATAACAAAACCCTGCCAAGATCAGTATAATTCCAGGGTTATTCTGATAAACTTCAGGTAATGTGGACCCAACTGTTGTATGTAGCATTCCACCAGATGCAAACAATATTCCTCCAATAAGGGAATTAATGATTAATGTATCTATTCGCAACCGTGATTTCTTCATTGCGGTTGCAACCACTGCCAAGGCAGCTTCATAAGTGGTTAAATATAGACTATCATCCATGGCGATTATTCTATTAATAGCGAGATGACTTGATTCTTTCTTTGAAATCTAAGGATGATAATGAATATTGAAAGAAAAAGAAATGACAGATCCGAAACTAAAAAGAATCTATTTTTGAATCATTTTCCGTTTTCGTTTAAAAATTGAATGATAATCTGACAGATTTTTGAAATTCCAGTTATTCCGTTGAAATTCAAAATTATTGCGGAATTAATTTTAATGATGTGATGTGTGGTTTTTTTTCGGTTCCAAAATCGCGCGGGTTTGGGTCCGAGACATCACACCAGGAGATTACCCTAAAGTGGTTTTGATAAGGCAGATCTAGGGCTAATGATATGGTTCAGATACGTATTACAATTAACCTAAATATGCAAGATAATATATATACAAATTACTGGGAAACAAACGGATCCAAATTAGAGCGGGAGGTGGGAAGACACTCTATAAAAAATATGTCAACCGTTATGTGCCTTTGTTTTTGGGCCCGGCTAAGTCATCCATTACAAACAATGGACTCTCGGTCATATCCAATTTAAGCTCATTTTCTGCCGCAGAAGATTCTATTTCCACTGAAGCTAGACTTATTTTTAGTATCACTTGTTCCTGGGCTGGAGCTATCTTCAGTCACATCTTCTTTCTGTTGACTACTAACTGTGGCACGTTCAGTGCGGGACCGCTTGGCAGATTTTTTAGCCACCTTAATCAACTCTCTGAATTCTTGTTGATAAGCATCCATCCATTCTTTTACCAGGAAATTCTTATCAGTAATTGACTTATTGCTAATGCTACTTCGACTTCTAAACAAACCACCGTTTTGGTTATTAAATGCCAGATGTGATAATTCCCATTGATTCAATCTTTGCCTTAAAATCTTATCGGAAATTGGTCTATTACTATCAAGATTCGAATTATACAACACAAAGTATTGATTATATCTTAATTCTAATTGATTTCGGGTACCTTGTGTTGGTAGTTTCAATGCTGAAAGTTTCTCCTTGAGCTTTGGTGTAGTTAATGACAGAAAATCAAGCTTCGAAAGTCGTTTTGTCTCAAGAGTTTGCTTCGTTGTTTCATTAAAATAATAGTCCGCATTACCTAATGTTGTCGGTGGACTAGGGGAGGGCGATGATCGTACTGGTGTACTTGATACAGGCTTGAAGAATGATGAGATCGAATTTCTAGGTGACTGCTTCGTTTTGGAGGTGATCCTAGTGATACTTCGTCTCGGAACTTTCCCATTCAAACAATCATCAATATGGCTGTTTTGCAAGACTTCAGCAGACATCTGCATTTCACATACAGGACATGAAACTAAATCATCACTACTAGGGATGCTAGGAATATCTTGTAAATCACTTGAGGATGGTTCCATTTTCATTCGTTTATTCTCATCACTACTTGCTCCGTCATCTGATGCAATTTCTATAATATCCACGTCTTCCAACTGTCGTTTCTTAGTACTCGCAACTACTTCTATTCTCTCATCATCTTTTATTGGATCCTTCTTTATCAATTTTAAAAGATGTGGTCGTATCTTTGAATAGCAAGTCACGATTTCTTCCAACAAAACATCGCGTCTCAAATTACTTTCAAATACTTCTGATTTGCATAAAGGACATAGATTATTAGTTATTAGATATTCTCGGATACATTGTGAACAAAAGGTATGATTACAGGTTGTTGAAACGGGAGCTCGGAAGAACTCTTTGCATATATAGCATCTCTCAAGGACATCAAGTTCTGCAAGTACAGGGAGTCTGGTATTTCTAAAATCTGTTGGATCTGTAACATCCCCTAGATGCTTTGTAAAAGGGTTAGCACTCATATTAACATAGAGTGCAGGTCTATAACAATAAAACTATGGATATGGGCTCTTTGATAAATGAAGATGATCTATTCATTAAGAAAATTATTTAAGTTAATTTGATATCGCGCGTCTTGGAATCAACAGAGGCAAAGAAGAAGCCAAAAAAAATAAAAAAATAATAAATTGCTAACAATTGAAATTGCTATAATTTGAATCTAAAAATTAATTAATTAACATTAGAATTTCTAATAAAATGGTAAAATGCCTAATTATATACATATATAAGTATGTAAATTAAAATCAAATATAATCTCAAACTAACTTTTTATTTTATTCCAAAAAATCAATGGTTTTGTATTTTTTATAATTCATCTTTTTCAATTGGGACTTTCTCAATTGGTGGTTTACTTTTTGGCTTTTTCACGGTTCTAGTTCTTGTTACAACTCTTCCTTTCCTTGATCGAGATGACACACTGGTAGATTCAGATGTGGTATTTTCTTGAACCTGTGATGCTGGTGACGATTCAACACTCTTCGACGATTGATCAACGGAAGATTTTTCTTCAAGCTTCTCGGCTGCTTCCTGGGATAAACCTGGGGAAACATGTAAAATAGATTCAGTAGATGACACGACGGTACTAGTTTCAACTGATTCGGAAGATTCTTCGATGGATGATATTTCCTCAAGCTTTTCAGTTGCTTCCTTTGACAATCCCGAGGACACATGCAAAACAGATTCACTCGCTGGCTCAACCGTACTAGTTTCAGCCGATTTGGAAGATTCTTCGACGGATGATTTCTCCCCAAGCTTATCAGCTATTTCCTTGGATAAGCCCTGGCGTACATGTAATAGGGTCTCGGTAGATGGTTCAACTATACTAGTTTCAACCAATTTGGAAGCCTGCTCGATAGATAATTCTTCCACAAGCTTTTCAGCTACTTCTTTTGACAAACCAGGGGACACATGTAATATGGTTTCAATAGAAGTCTCGGCATCAGATTCAGATGTGCTTGAAGATGAAGCTTGAACAGTTTCTTCAGTCTTTAATGACGAAGCTTGAACAGTTTCTTCAGTCTCAAATGACGAAGCTTGAATAGTTTCTTCAGTCTCTAATGACGAAGATTGAACATGTTCTTTATCTGCAACAACTGGGGTTCCAATTGGTTTAACTTCAGGCTCACGTAATGGTTCAGCGTTGGCAACCAGTCCTTTATCTGGTACTGATGCCTCTTCAGAAACCTTAGCATCTAACTTTTCTTCAACGGAGGGTTCATCTGGAATTTCAGCATCTTCATGAGAAACATGGGAAGGTTCAATTGATGATGTAGAAACGGTATCAGGGATTGCAACAGCAGAAGAAGGAGCCACGGTACTTTCAATAACAACGGAGGATTCAACAGAGGAGCTTTGGATTTCTTTTTCAGTTCCAACAGGAGATTGTTGTTCTTGAGAGACTTCAACAACTGGGGATACAGTGCTTGATTCTTCAACGACAGGTTCTTCTAATTTGCTTGCAGAAATAGATGGTGCAACTTCGGATGTTTCTACTTTGTCTTCTTTCTCAGCTTTGACATTTGATTCAGTTGGGATATTAGAAGAGTTCGATTCTTGGATTTCTTCACTGTTGTCAAGTGGTGATTCTTTTCCCACATCTTCAACCACTTCTTCAATAAATTCCTCAATGACTTCTGTATCTTCATGGTCTTTTTCAACGGTAATTGACGTAGTTTGATTCACTTGAGTAGTGGCTTCCACAGATGATTCTACAGAAATAGGTTTCTCTGGTTCTTCTTCGTCCTCCTCTTCCACTTCTTCAACTACTTCAACAAATTCAATCTCATGTTCTTCTTCTTCTTCATCATCACCACGAGGTACTGAGTCGGCTTGGTTGCCTTCTTCAACAATCGTATTTGGATCCACGAATGACAGTTCAGAATCGATTACTGTATCATTATGTCCAGGAATTTCTTGTTGTTCTTCAAAATGAGGTACTTGCGGAGATTCCGATGGAACTTGAACCAGGGATGAAGATTGGATAGTAGGACTAGTTTGAACTGATTTGGATGAAACCGTATCTGGCTTGATCTGCGACTTCTTTTCAATTTCAACAGATTTTGGAGCAGGAATGGTAACACTGGTTTGAACTGATTTGGATGATGTTGCATCTGACTTGGTTTGAGACTTATTTTCAACTACAACTTTTTTTGGAGCTGGAATGGTAGACTTTCTTTTGTGGATGGAAGAAACAGGCGATTTGGTCGATGTTTCAATTGATGCTGGAGGAGTAACTGCTTCAGGAATATTGTCTTCAATGATTGATTGTTTAACATAGTTATCTTTGTCTTTGAATAATGTTTCACTCTTAAACCCAGACTTCTTGGTATCCGCATCAATATTTCTGGTAACTTCAGTTACCCTATCCTTCAAAGTTGATGCTGTAAAAGTTGAATCTTCATTCCATTCATCCATTGTGAAATATTCTTTAGTTTGATCATCTCCATCAATATTTTCACCTTGGAATTTTTCTTTTATAAATTGATAACCTTGATTACCATACCTTTTGGCATATTCTTCAGCAATACCAAAACCAGTTTTACCATATTCAAAACCAAGCTTACCATATTCCAATCCCATTTGTTGAGAATATCCAACCAATCCATCCAATTTACCATTTTCATGGGCATTTTGAATCACAACACCCAAAGCTGCAATCAAAACGATAGTGAAGAAATAATGGATCAAAGTACCAATAGCACCAAAGACAGATCCACTAGAACCATAATCGCGTGGTATTTTTAAAACATGCAAAGTATTAGCAGCACTACCAGTTGCTAATTTGGTTCCATTGGGTGAAAATGCAACACTTGTAATTGCAAATTCATGCAAATTTTTCATGGTAGTTAAAACATTAAATGTAGATAATTTAATCAAAGTCAAACTCAAATCATTTCCCACTACAGCAATTAAATCTCTAGCTAAGGAAATGTCTAACCCCACGATATTATTGAATTTTTTGGATATGATTTTTGCTTTTATGAGTCTATTTGTTTTGATATTATACTTTAACAATGTTGCCCCTTTTCCACCACGTACACTTGCTGTTATGATCACTTCATCTTCATTAATAAATTTCAATTTAGAAAGTATATATTGTTGCAATTGTTTCGCTACTTTGGGAATTTGGGTGGTAGTGGAGATTAATGTCCCATTATCGGAAGAAACTGTGTCGATAGACGAGGATGAGGAAATGAAACATATGGTTTTCCCAGTCCCAGGACTCAATGCCACATCTTTAATTTCAACTTGTCTTTCTGGTTTGTATTTATATTTCAAATCCAACAGATCAGGATTGAAGATATAAAGTTGAGATGGAACCGTGGATGTTAAAAGACAAGCTATTGAGTTATCATTTGATACCCTCATGACTTTTGGATAATCTCCAGCATCAGCATTGATCTCTTCTTCAAATTGAGCTGCATCAACAAATCGTAAATGCTCATCTTTAGTATAGATATATTTCCTAACATTATTATTAATATTCATTTGTGAAAGTAATTCATAACTTTGATTACAACCAATTAGAATATTGAATTGTGCCTCTTCATCCATTCTACAAGTATCCAAACATTGCGGACTATCTTCATTTGCAGGTAATTTGATTTCTCTAAACTTTTGTAATATTCTTCCATGATCAGAAACTTTAAATCCACATCTAATGGCAGTTATATTGTTTGGTACTCCATGCTTACCTTCACCACCACCACCGGCAACTAGTATTGTTTTATTATCTATAAATTTTGTAGCAAGAATCGGATATCCAACATTGATATTTGCCGATTGTTTAATTGACATTATTTGGGTTCTTCTTGCTTTTGAATGAATTATTTTATTAACAAATTGGGTGTCCTTTTGGAGGATCAAATATTGAAGTTAAAGATGTTGGTTGTCAAAAAAAAAAGAACAACTGAGCTGTTCGGTTAATACACGTCGCAATTTGAAACTGCAAAAATAAAAAGAACAACAAACAATGAATAATGTCGTCCATTGAAATTTCGGTCATAGAATGTCGCAATAAATGTCTCATTATCTTGCATCCAAAATTTTCATCGTTTGATTAGATTGTTGAACTTCCATCTCTTTATCCAGAAACAGAGTATCCACAATGAACAAATCTCTACTATCTATTCTGTCTCATGTCGTTCATGGATATGTAGGAAACCGAGCCATGGTATTTCCACTACAATATACAGGATGGGATGTTGATGCATTGAATACAACCAATTATTCGAATCATCCAGGATATGGATCATTCAGTGGTACAGCATCACTGGCAGAATTGGTTAGTGATATCTTAGCGGGATTATCCAAGATTCTTAAATTCAATCATTATGATATTATTTTAACAGGTTATACTCCCAATGCAGATGTTTTGGAAGTTGTTAAGAATGAGATCTTAAATATTATGCATGGTCCCGAAAAACCGAAATGGATAGTGGATCCAGTACTTGGTGACAATGGACGTTTATATGTTTCTGAGAAAGTCATACCTGTATACAAAGACATATTTGCAAGTGGACATGTTTCATTGACTACTCCAAATCAATTTGAATTTGAAACGTTAAGTGGGGTTAAGGTTACTAGCTGGGATAGTATAAAAGAGGCAGTTAATAGATTTAATGAATTATATAAGGTTGATAACCTTGTGATATCATCAATACATATCGACGAAGAATTGTATTGTGTATCATATTCAAAAGAGTCAGGAAAGACGTTCTATATACCCATACGACAAATCCCGTGTAATTTCAATGGATCTGGGGATTTATTCACTGCTATATTGGCCAATTCGTATTATGATAATGAATATAGAATTACTCCTGAAGTAATTTCAGATACTGTTACCAAGTTACATAAAATACTTGATTTCAGTTATCAAGATGAATTAAATCAGACAAATAATCAAGATAAAGAAGTGACATTAGTTAAAGATATTCGAGTAATTGCAGCAAAGGATGTCTTACTTGAAAACCATACTTTGGAATTAATAGAAGAAGTAGTTTATTTATAAATACAACAATATATAAAAAGCATAGATATATAAATACAACAATATATAAAAAGCATAGATATCCCTATTGTAATGTAACCTCGATCTTCTAATCCCAACAATTCCAAAAATTTGGTAGCGTCATCTTTTTGTCTCCCCGCCAACCAGAAAGAAAAAAAAAAAGAATCACAGCCAGATCTAGACACACATGACCGATCTTTCTTATCTTTCCTTCTAAGTTGATTTGCTTCAACATACTCCTACACACACTTACCTTACAACTTCTTTTTAACAGAGACTTGCCACTTCCAAGATTATAATTAAACGATACAACACAAACAATATTCAAATGCCACAAGAGAAACAGACAAAACGTACCAATAATTGCTCGTGGTGTAATCGATTGCCATCCAAAGGAATAGTATGGTTTATATTGATATCATTCTTATTTATAATTACAACAAACCACTCCAAGATCACTAATAAGCTTCAACAAACTACCTTATATCAAACCTATATAGCCTCAGATAATTTGGATGCATCTGAAACACTACAACTAAAGCATATTTTCCATCATGGAACAGGACCACATAATAACAATCATAAAATCCATCGTCGATTAGATATTACCCCAGAATATATCGCTAAACATTATACTTATTTCACAACACTAACTGAAGAATTACAATCTCTGGGTGGTGATCAACATATTGAAGGTATGAATGATTTCGATCAAGTCTATACACAAATGGATTGGCCCAAAGTTCATCATGGTAAGAATCCATTCACGATTCAATTACCAATCAAGAAACACGCAGGAATATCTACCAGATTAAAACATCGTCATGAACCAAATTTTGTCAAATCATATCTTAATTATGTCACCGACACCAGCATTAAGAACAAGGTTCCAATTTCTTTGGAATGGATAGATGAAGAAATCAGGGTCCCGAATATAACTGATCGTAATACTCTTATTTCTTTAGCTACCATTTCTTCAAATGCATATGTTCGTCTTCCTTTGAATGAAGATGAGAAGAAGAAATCGGATTGGGTGGATTTGGGTGATTATATCCCAGACATAAATGGCGAGATTGATTTTGGGTGGAATGATGTCGGGATTAGAGGACATGTGTTTGTTAGTAAGGATAATAAAACCGTGGTGATTGGGATTAAGGGGACTTCAGGTGCCGGGTTACCGGGTGGAGGTAGTGATGAAACTGCCGTCAATGATAAATTAAATGATAATTTATTATTTTCATGTTGTTGTGCCAGGGTTGGATATATGTGGACAACCGTGTGTGATTGTTATGAAAAAGCATATACATGTAATCAAGATTGTCTTGAAAAGGAATTAGTCAAAGAAGATAGATATTATGCTGCAGTTTTGGATTTATATAATAATGTAACTGCGTTATATCCACCCGATAAACATGATATTTGGGTAACTGGACATTCATTAGGTGGTGCACTTGCATCATTATTAGGACGAACATTTGGATTACCAGTTGTTGCATTTGAAGCTCCTGGAGAAATGTTAGCTACTCAAAGATTGCATTTACCTTTCCCACCTGGAATTCCATCATATATGGAAAATGTTTGGCATATTGGAAACACCGCCGATCCAATCTATATGGGAGTTTGTAATGGTGCATCAAGTACATGTAATGCTGGGGGATATGCTATGGAAACCTCCTGTCATACTGGTTTACAATGTGTTTATGACGTGGTTGGTGATTTAGGTTGGAGAGTTAATATCCTAAACCATCGTATTCATACTGTGATTGATGATGTGATATTGGCATATAATGATACTGCCAAATGTATAGAACAACCTCCATGTCGTGATTGTTTCAATTGGAGATTTGTGGCTCATGATGATGATGAAGATGATGAACCGGAGTTACCTAATCCATTAAAACCACTTCCTCGTAGGAAGAGTTCTACGTTAAGAACATCAAGCACAAATGAAGGAGATGGGACGAAGACAGGAACTGAATCTACTGTGGTGCCAACTTCAAGTGAACCTCCGGATGAACCAGAAAAGTGTTTAAAGAGAACATGGTATGGCTGGTGTATTGAATGGGGACATGAAGCTGATGGTGAGGGTGATGATGGTGATAAGAAGAAGAGAATGGTATGAAATAATTTATTAGATGAACTTATACAGTATGTGTGAACGGATTTTTTGGGTGAAACAGGGTAAGGAGAAAGGTTATTATTTAGTGCTAGGTTTTATACAATTGCATTTATATACGTTTTGGAATTGGGTTTGTTTTTGTTTTATACAACGGGAATACTATGTAGATCGTGTTCTCTGTATTCAGTTTTCACAGAATAGATTGATACTGCAAAATGATTCTTTGATAGTCGGCTGCGAAAATTTCATTCTATCCTGTAAAAAGTTCCTCTTGTAGGTCTATGGCCTGTATATACAACAGTAATGATAAGCCCAGACTGGATTCATCCATCCCATAGATCGCCCCTTATTCCTTGAACTCTTCTCCTCTGCTCTAAGCTTGAGGTACTTACCGCATTAGGGGTGTAGGAGACATGAATAGCACAATAGCAGTCAAAAAAAGGTTATTGATTTGACGAAGGCTAAAAATAATAACCGCAATTTAATGCACATGACCCAAAATCATTACGACCATTTGGTTTAAGTCAATGATAACAACTAACCAACTATTGCAACCATTTTTTATTATGGTTATGTAGTCATCTTGTAAGGTATTCAACTCAAATGGCCTGTTTAAAAAGAACAATAGTCCAAAGTAATACTATATGCAGTACACAATTTCACTGTTCCGTTCCGTTTTTAATGTAAGTGAATGCAAATAGTCATTTTTTTTTTGAATTTCTTCTTTAGCCTCGGAGGAGATTTTTTTTTAACGAAAAATTAGATATAGCCCCCCCCACAGGTCACTCTCTCTCCTTAACATACTAACGCATGAGATTAAGTAAGTGGGTAATTGTAATTATAATAACATCATTTTTCTATATATAACCCAATTGACTGATTTTAGAAAAGCGTTAGATAGCACTGCCCTTTTACAAAAGGTCATGTTACTCTGTAATTTATTTATTCTATTCGGTTTGTAGTCATTTTTTCTTATTGTTCAATTTAAAAGAGTTTTGAAATTCTTCTTTTGTTCAAAAACAGTACAAAAATAAACAAAGGGAAACCTTAAATAGTTTAACACATAATAATAATAATAATATTCCAATAGAAGAAGAAGAAAAAAAATCATAATAAATAAACTCATCATCCCTTTTTCTTATTTAATTCTCTCAAGGAAAAATATCAATTGACTTTTAAATTAACACTTAAACTTAACTACCAATTATATAATATTATTTCAATTGAGTTTCTATTACTACTACTACGTTAACTATTAATTAGAACTACCACTACCACAACCACTACCACTACCACATATACAAACAAATGAGAGTAATTCATACGTTTTTCAATCTATTCTTCTTAGCCGGAGCAATATTATTATTAATTTTAACAGTATTATCTGGGTCAATTAACAGTGGTACTTTCCGTACTTTCTATTGGCTTCGAGCAGATACTGCAGATATACCAAATGCTCCTGCAGATACCAGTGTATGGACATTCTGGGGTGTATGTGACCAACATAACTTTAATAATTGTTTATTAGGTCCAGCATATCCTATTTCACCAGTTGATAATTTTAATACTGATACAAATATTCCAGCAAAATTTATTGATAATAGAGATACATTTTATTTCTTGAGTAGATTTTCATTTGCATTTTGTTTATTAGCTTTAGGATTTGCTGGATTAGCTTTTATTATTGATTTATTAGGATTTTGTTTTGAAGCAATTGATAAAGTTGTTGTATTTTTAATTACAATTGCTTTATTTTTCCAAGCTGGTTTTGCTGCTTTACAAACTTCAGTTGTTGTATTAGCTAGAAGTGCATTCAAAGATGGAAATAGAAGTGCAAAAGTTGGTCCTTCATTAATGGGATTTGTTTGGGCAACATTTGCTTGTTTATTCATTTGTTGGGTATTGACATTTTCATCAAATATTGCTCGTTCTTACAGAAAACATATGGATAGAGTTAAAGCTGAAAGAGGTGAAGAAGTTGGTGGTGCAGGAGTTGCTGGTGATGAATCTTCTTTTACTAGAGCTGCTGCTCCTGCTGAACATAAAGATGAAGAACATACTGGAGGTATTAGATTCTTTAAGATTAAGAGAAATCAAAAGGTTTCTGATGAAGATTCTGAATAAGCCTAGCCACTACTACATTCTCCCCACTGCTTCATTCAATTGAAATACACAAATCAATTGCAATGTTATAAACGATTTCAATGAACATCCATTTCCAAACAAAAAAAGAATTTTTGTTGATATTTGATATTCTTTTATTAATACCGTTATCCCTGTTATTATTTTCGTCCTATTTTTTTTAATTATTAACTTTTATAACCTTTTATATATATTTAGTTTTATCTTAATCCTTGATTATGTATTTACAATTTATTCCAAACAAATATACAATTCTTTTTTAAGTGAAATTCAATTGGTTAATGTAGCCTTACAACATGAAAATTTCAGAGTGAATTTTGTTCTTAAAGTTGCTATAAATTTGACGAAAGCAACGAGGAAAAAAAATTAGACAACCGTTACGTAAATGTTAAGAATATCCCTCGACGATATTTCTGCGTGGTTCTGCCGCATGGAACCAAAAAATCATCATAGGAGGTGACAATTCACCTAATTGAATAGATTATAAATTTCAGATATATGTAGCTTTTTATGTATTAGCAATCTAATAAGTAATTTATCGAGACTACAATAGACTGGAACCAATTTTGACTTGGGAACCTTAATTTGATTAGAACGGAATTAAACTGGAGATATCGAGGATAGGTCATTCTGGTTCGGAGAAAGTAACTACTATTACATTATATGCATTGGGAGACAAGTCACTCCGTAAATTGATTGGTCTACAGTAACACCGAAAAGATAGAGCAAATAGGAGCACTGATAAAAGCCCAATTATGAACATTGATTATCTCAATGCTTCAAACTAAGAATTTTCTAAAATCTTAAAAAAAAGGAGTCACTCTTAGGGCTGCCCTTAAATAACAGAATGTTAGGATTGTTAGCAACGAGTAAATTGGTTTCAAGAATTGGTTTGACTCTTTGTACCCTGGCCAACTCCACTTCTGGTTACATTATATTGTCAATCCCAAAGAACTGTAAGGAACTCAATTAATCTACTAATACTGCTGCGCCATTGAGATATTAATTTTCGTAAATGAAAGTAAAAATCACAAGTTGCTGTTCCCATGACTATTCATCATATTATCAAATAATAAAAGTGGCTGCGAAAAACGGATTTACTTCTCTTAACAAGTGAATAAGATCTGTTCAACAATATTGTTCGTTTTTTATTGTTTTCTATTTGTTGAAAATTTATTTCAAACTCATGCAAATATCTTCAAGTTAATGCTGTAGCTGCTATTAAGTAAACTTAAAACACGAAGAGAAGTCAATTAATGAATGCCCCATAATAAATATTAATTCACTTTAAAAATTTATACTTGCTTGTGGCTTACGAACAAATCACCTAGAATGACCTTAATTTGCTTTTATAAGCCTACACAATGCCTCTTTTTGATATCTTGTGGTGAATGATCTTGTATAGTCATCATCTAGACCAAACCGAATTATGATTAGAGACGTTTGGATAGAAATGTTTTGGTGGGGTGGGGGGAGGGGTTGTCTAGAAAAGAAGGAGTCAATACCAAGAGAAATCAGAAAGTAGTCAGTGGAGTCAGTTTACCAATCGCTTAGGTATACTAGTTTCGAATCATATATGACATAATAAGTTTTAGATTCTTTTTTGATTGCCGTAACGAAAAGTTTAAATTCTACTCCATAATTTTCTCCACATAAAGTCAATATAATTTCCCCCAGAAATAGAACCATTTTTGTCTTCTGCGGGTATGCTATTTTTATATTTATTTATTATAGGGGTTGGTGGTGGTCAACAAGAATATGATTGGTTTAATTTAGCGGTTGATATTTACCCCGTAATCTAACTTTATTAACTTATTAAGGTTATAATTCGTAATTATATTTGCACATAAGTAAATAAAAATAGACTATGGTGTGTGTGTTTCGTGGTGGTGAGAGGGTAATTTTATTTTTAGTTAAACTCTTCCGAAGTTCCGAGCGGTTTTAACGATTTTAAAAACTAAAAAAATAAAATTACGTAATGGCTAAAATCATCATTTATTTCAAGTAAACCATTTAATGTATATGAGATGATGGGATGATAATAACACCACTAATTCATTAAGTCATATGATTTGAAACGTGGTTAATAATATATGAAATTACTTAACTAAGGATTAGAGATACCTTACCTCATTATTATTATTTACTCTTATTATTATTTGCTGAGAGAATGGGATCCTATAGAAAAAAGCGTTGAACTAAAATCAAAAAAAAAAAGAGAGAACAAATGTAAATCGTCGACTTAAAAAAGAAAGAAAGAAAAGAAGAATTTTTAATTTTTTTTTTTTGGTTGTATTATTTAGTTGAAATAATGATCAGAAGAATTGTTTCCCAATTGCTTAGAATTATTTTTAAATGCAAATACATAGAACAATTGGATTGAGTATGTAGGTCCTTGTAATTATACAGGTAGGTAGTTAGTTAGTTAGCAATTATCTTTTTTTGTCTACTGTTTTTAAAAGCTATTCGTTTCATTCTTACTTTTTACAATCTTTCATTTGATCTCCAATACTTTTATCAATAAGTGTGTGTATAAAGTATAATAAATACCCAAACTCCCCACCTGGCTGTCTCCCCCCTTAACGAAAATAATTTTCATCTTTTTCTTAGCGTCCCAGGAGTACCGACATTCTTCTATCATCTAAAACTACACTTAACACCCACCCACTACAACTCCATTGAATACATTGTTGGTTACAAAGAGATTGTTAGGTACCGCCACCTTATACTTGTTTCAGTTTTTAATAAAATTAACATAACTTAAATTCATTGTGAATTAAAATATTCAATCAATTATTCTATAAGCTAATTACAACGATTAATAACAACAACGCGCCCTACAAGAAGTCTTGCAACTACTACCCCTCGACCTAATAATAATATTTAGAATTCATCCCCCTCCAACCTTGTCTTGTCTCCTATCTTTTCTTTTTTGATCAAAAAGAAATCGGAAAATTATTTTTATTCAAATTATTAATTATTATTATTATATAACCCATTCATAAGTGTTCAATCATCATCATCATCTTGATTGTTCCCTCCCCCCCCTTATAATTGAAAATTTAAAAATTTATCAATTTATAATTTATTTATTTTATACATCCATTACCATTAGTACTACTACCATTGCTAGTACCATACTATCCTAACAACAACTAGATTCAGCATGCCATTAGCAAAAGTGCGCCTGCACCATTCTATCAAGAATATTTTCAAAAGAGAACCAACGCCCGATAAAGATGTTAATGAAAGTGGCGGTGGACTTAATTCTACCTCATCATCACACGTTGGTCTTTCAAAATTCTTTCATCATACTAAAGAATCACCTCCGACTGATGATTCCCTTTTCCAAGCACCAATTAGATCACCTTCATTGTCATTAAGAAGACAAAATTCAACACCCAATAGATTACGAAGTCAATCTGAACATATACCGTCAGCCATTTCTCCGCCTACTTCAAAAACTCATCATCATCATCAACATAGTCATAGTCAAAATCAACCCCAAGTTCAACATCAACCAGTACCTCATCATCCTAAAAAATTATCAAAAGCACAAACTTTTGCTCATTTACAACAAATTAATACTAAGAATGCAGCACAACAACAATTAAGAAATAGTAGATTAGGCTCTAATCAATCTACAACTCCAACCGGTGGTGGTGCTGGTCACGCTGAAAAAATTGTTTATAATCCTTATGGACTTAATAAGGATGCCTCAGTTGAAAAACCAAGAAATACCAGTTTTTATCTTTCTGGAGTCATTGATGGTGAACGAGTTTTAGCAAACCCTGTAGCTGATCCTAATGATTATCTTCCAGAAGAATTAAAACAAGAACATGTTAATTTATTAGACGATTTTGATATTGATGTAAGTACTAAGAAATTAGGAGCTGGTGGATCCTCAGATGTTAAAGTTGTTACATCGGCAAAGAATAAAAAATTGATATTTGCATTAAAGAAATTCACATTATTATCAAAAGAAACAGATGAAGATTTTTATAAACGTGTTCTGACTGAATATGTCATTCATAAACGTGCTGCAATTTGTCGTCATATTGTAGATACTATTTCCTTAGTTAGAATTCAAAGTCAAAGTAATTTTAATCGAGGTTGGGGAATGATTATGGAATTTTGTTCAGGTGGTGATTTATTCTCATTAATTATAAAACCAGGTTGGAAACGAACTCCAATAGCTGAAAAATATTGTTTATTTAAACAAGTTGCATATGGATTAAAATTCTTACATGATCATGATATTGTTCATCGTGATATGAAACCAGAAAATGTTTTAATTGATAGTAATGGATTAGCCAAACTTTGTGATTTCGGGGTTAGTGCATATGGTCATGTCATCCCAGGAGATTTTACCAGTGATGTTCATCTTTCTTGTTCTTATGTTGGTTCACCACCTTATTCACCACCAGAAGTTATGCTACTTAAAGATAAAACTCATACTCAAGCAAAATCATTCCCATATAATACATTCAAAATGGATCATTGGGGTTTAGGAATGTTATTATTTTGTCTTATTTATAGTGGTGTACCATTCCTGCATTCTTCTCCCAATGATCATGCATTCCGAGAATATAATTTCAGTCATAAGAGATTTTGTACCGATCATCATGCATTTAAAAATAATGTTGGTTACCCCAGGGGACCAGGTTCAGAATTTAAATTAGCGGCAAAATTTGAAAGTACTGGTGCTGCAAGAGTTGCTTGGAAATTATGTGATCCATCACCTGAAACTAGATATGATTTAGATTTATTATTTAATGATCCTTGGTTCCAATCTTTAGAAATGTGTATTTATGAACATCCTGATCAATTAGTGAATCCATTTGTCTTGCCGGGCACAGGTGAGAATCCTACTGTTTTACCACAACCTGGGTCAGGCTATTCTTCTGCTCCAGGTTCGGCCGTTCCTTCAAGAAAGGGAACCATTAATGCTCCAAGAAGACATAAAGAAGAGGATTATCCTGAATATAACACCTCAATTAGATCGATGTTGGATTTAGATGATAGTCCTTCATCAGCCTCACCCGCACCATCAAAACCACCACACCCACCACAATCACAACCACAACCACAACAAGGTGATAAACATCCGATTCATACAACTACAAACAATACCCCAATCCCCCATAGTTTATTCTTACATCAAAACCCAAAACTTGAAACTGAAATGCGAGCAGAATCAAATAGTGTCCCGCTTCCAAAAATAAAATCAATGTTAGAATTTGGTCCAGTATCACCTTCACAATCACCAGTTATGGGAGGATTACCATTACCACGTACACCATCTCCACCAATGAATGTACAACCGCCACCACTGCTTTTGCAAACTATTAGTGGTAGTAGAGGTGGTAGTGGTCCTACTACTCCGGTATCACCAACTAGGGCGTCGCTACCTTCGACAGCATTGGATTTGAATCTTGGAAATGGGTTGTCTGCGGTGGAAGAAGTGGGGTTGGTGAATGAGGTATTACATGAAGAGGATGAGGAAGAAGAAGAGAGTCACGAGGAGGACGAGGAACCTAAGCCTGACCATCATGAAGGTTTGATTATTCCGGAACCCAAGATTGAAGAGAAAGTGAAGGACGAAGTAGAAGAAGGAAAGGTTACTCCGAATTTGAAACCGGAAGAAGAGGAACAAACGTCAAGTAGTAGGAGTACACCTATCCAAAAGGAACTATCTCTGGAATCTAACAGTGACAAAGAATTAAAACCACCAGTTTCACCCAGCCTATTAGCAGAATCCTCATCTCGAGACACAAACACCGACGTGAATACATTATCATCAGGTGAAACCGCCATCACAAGATTTAAACGCGAGATAATTTCCAGCAAACTAGAACATGATATCACACCCTTGGAAAGATTTGGAGCAGATCATGAAAGTACCTTATTACAACGAAATATCTCAAGTTCGTCTTTGAATTATGAACAAATATTAGGATCACATCCACAAAGCCCCATACTGAATACTGAATTATTATTGGGTCCGAAGGAATATCGATCGGCGGAGGATTTGGTGATTGATAAAGATGGCATGTGTGAATTGGGGTATAAGATTAAGAAACATCATCATACTGAGGTGAGTAATGTTGCTGTTAGTGGTTCAATGTCTAGAAGACGATGATTATTATTATTATTGTGTTAAATTTGGAGATGTATATATATATATATGTGTTTTATGAGTAAGTTTTATATTTTGTGTATTAACTAAGTTTGTTATTGGATACAGTGTTTATTATTTAACAGAATTTTGAATTATTTTATGTTTTAATGTAGATGAGACGATTCAATATCTTTCTCTATGGATCAGATGGATATTACGAGTTTGTCTTATCTTCGGTCATAGAGTACAAATAGTTTGTAATTGAAAGAAACTTGGATCTTGTTATCGCCAGGTAATAAGAGATACATTCGCTAGATGTACTGTAGCTAGTGAGACAGATGAAAATAGAGATAAACGATTACAAGTACTATTAATCACTTGTATGATGATCATTCGGGAGATCCAGATACACTCCCTAAATGAGGTAGACTACAAATATATCCTGTTATTCTCTTATTAAATCACGTAAATGTACATTAGGTTGGAATTCCAATTTTTAAAAAAACTCAGAATGAATGAAAATGAAAAATAACAAAATTCTTATATAAATATATTAAAGCTGTTTTTGTCTTTGTAAAGATGTGTGTATATTTTTCGTTTATAAACTCATTTAAGCTTCTAAAGAAACTCTACCCTTTGGATTGGTAACCTTAACACCGTATTTCTTAGCCTTAGCAACAATTTCAACTCTGTTCTTAGCAGAAACATTGTGAGCAATTTCAGCAGCATAAGATTTAGTGTGTAATAATAAAACTTCCAAATCCTTAACGTTCTTGACTAATAAGACCTTGTGACCAGATGGAGTCATGTGCTTGGTCTTCTTGTTGGAACCATAACCAATGTTTGGTTGAGGAATGGTACCTCTGAATCTTCTTCTGACACAAGAGTCAATACCCTTTTGCTTTCTCCAGTTTTCGGCAACTCTGTGGTATCTGTCAGAGTGATGTCTCTTGAACTTACCGGTGTATTTCTTAACAATCTTTGGGTGTTGGATTGAAGCAGCCACTAGAAAAATATTTGTTAGTACATATATTCATGATACGGTTTTCTTTAAGAAGGATAGATTAAAAGATGACGGGATTGCTTGAAAATTAAAACGTCTGATGATATATATTCAAATGACTTGTAGTATGGTATAAATCGAGTTGTTGATTCTTTGAATAAAATTTCGACTGATGTTGGTGATATTATTTTCGAATATTAATCACTATTGAACATCGAGTTTCTTGATATAAACAGATCTCAACGTTGATTTAACTCTTACTGAATCTTCATATTATCGTAGTAGTATATTCTTATTTGATTTCAAATGTTTAGCATCAGTCTTCGATGTCTGACTGAAGTACGCTTGTGCTGTTCCCATCTTCGATGTCTTCAATATGACTATGTCTATTCAATATGCTCTATTATCTCATTCCATTTGCTTAGATATAAATCTATCCTTCTTTTTAATCATCTATATACGATGATCCCCCCATTCACAACATACTTTTTGATCTTGGTGTTGTTCTATTGAAAAGAGGACTATAAAACAAGAAGAGGTTTCAATTTTTTTTTTACTCCTTACAAAATCAGTATGGTTCAAAAAATTTTTCACTGTGAGACTGTCATTGTGCGAAGCGTACTCACTATGGCACTAACCAAAATTGATGTACTCTCCTATACAAACTGATAACCAGCAAAAAAATGAAATAAGTGTAAACTGTAAAAAGTGGGATTTGTTCGTTTTCGCACTACCTTTTTTAGCTTGTGGGTGCTAACAGAAAAAATGTTTAGGGACATTAGGTCTTAGCCCTAATCCATCGCACGTGATCAGTTATTTTGTAAAAGAACTGCAAATTCGATGAGAAATAATTGTGGTTGGTTGCAAAAGAGACTGGTTGAGAATTAGAAAGCCAAAAACAAACACAAAGATACTACAATAACTTCACCCTTCCGTCGAACGAAACAATAAGGGCTTCTAAAAGAGAAACTAGAACTTACCCACAAAAGAGTATAGAAGTATTAACTGTGGACTACGAAATTCATACTATCATTGCTTACCAATCAATACATCGGGTGAAAGTCTGTATTTTATCATGTCACATTACACATAAACTTTTTGATTCTATTTACAATAACAAAAACAACCAGTGCTTTTCCCATATCTTAAAGCCGTGTCCTGTTAATACAAACCTTAATAAGACTTCTTGTAACTGCCTGATAAACATTTGGACCGGACGCTCCGTGGCAATCTTTATAACTCGATGAATATCCTTTAAGTTGGACCAGCAACTACAAACTCTCTTTGTTTCTATACTGCCTATTTTCATTGGTTTGACACAAATGGAAAGCCTCAAAACCACGATTCTCTTATGAGAGGAGGTGTCGGCTTCATAGGTTTCGGTTTTGGTTCTGGTTTTGGTTTTGGTTCCGGTTTTCGTTTTAGTGTTGGATGTTGACTTCGAACCGCCCAATCTAAACAAACCCTCCTACAATATTCTGCTTCAGGACCCTTTAAACTTCGAAATTGACTGGGTAAATACGTAAAATACAAATAGTCATAATTCATATTCAACGGAAGATATTTAACCACTTTCCACCAAGAATAGAATGTTTGTTGAGTTCTACTATTTATCGTAAATTTATCTATTTCGACTGGAGGTTCAGGTTCTGGTTCGATATATTCTTGATCACGGTGAAGAAATGGCACATCTGTAAGTGGCACGATCTTACCCTCGAACATATCTCTACCTGAACTAAGCAAATCTTGATAAGCGGATTGATATCCTTCTTTTTCTGAATCAGACATACTCTCCCAAGAAGGGGTATCTAAATTACTGGGCCCGGTCAATTCTTCATAATACTTCTTTGCATGTCCCAAATCGGGATTTTCCCAAAGTTCAACCCCATAAGGATCACAGAATTCGAATCTAATTCCACTAAGTACCGACCTATTCACCGCCAATGTCAATTTGAGATCCACATATTGTCCATCCGCGACATCTTTCCCACACAATAACAACGCATCATAACTTAATCGATAATCCTCTCTCATTAGATCAGTCATTGAAAGCCATTGCGCTTTTATGGAAGGTGTACTTCTCCGATAGGTGTTTTGAAAGTTTTGACATAGCGAATAATAATAATTCCAAGCTTGTCTTTGCGTGATTGGGGAATTCAATTTGATATTGTTGTTATCATCAATCATTATATCAAGTTCATTGCATGGGATTATACGCTTTGGAACCATGCCAAGGGAGCATCTATTTGATTTATGCTCTGATTCTGGCTTTCGTTTTCGTTCTCGTTTTGGTATTAGTTTTGATGGCTTATATCGGACCAACCAATCTAAGCATATTTTCCTATAATACTGCTCCTTGTTCGTTCCTTTTATAGTGTCATAAAATTGACGTCCTAAATGACGCTGAACCTCGCGGGACCAACCACCAAAATAGGGAAGATATTCAACAGTTTTCAAACTTATGTAGAACCTTTCTAATGTGTCTGTGTTGACTTCGAAGTCTTCTGTTTCGACAGGAGGTTGAGGCGGAGGTTTGATATATTGATTATCAATGATCTGTGTTGGTTCACATGTAAGAGGAATGATTTTGCCGTTGAAAATATCCCTACCTGATCGAAGTAATTCGCTATAGGCATCTCGATATTCTTGTTTCTCGATATCAAGCAATTCTTCCCAAGCTCTGTTCTGGTTTTGGGATGTCAATTGTTCATAATATTTCTTTGCATGCAGCAACGCAACATCATCTTCAAGTATAGTACCATTAGTAGTATCATTTTTGAATTCGAATCTAATTCCGCTAAGTACCGATTTATGTGGTGATAGCACCAATTTAAGATCCACAAATTGTCCATCCACAACATCTTTCCCACTCAATACCAATTCTTCATAACTCAATCGATATTCTTCTCTCATTAAATCGGTCATGGAAAGCCATTTCCCCCTGACATGAAGGACATTTCTCCGGGTGTGCCATTTATAGTTTTGACATAATGAATAATAATAATTCCAGGATTGTCTTAGTGTGATTGGGGAATTCAATCGAATTTGGTCGTGCTCGTCAATGGTGATATCGTGTTTATTGATGGGGATTATACGTTTTGGAACTAGTGGAAGGAAGAACTTGGCTTTTGTGGGTTCTTGATCAGATGTTAAGAATATTTCTTCGAGTGATTCAAAATCAAATTCAGGTTCAATTAGGATGGGAGCGGGGGTCTCAATTGATAATCTTAGTCGGGTCGATATTCCGAAATGTCGTATTCTGACTAGAGTTGACCATTTTGTAAATAGTGACATTGACTTCTAATGCATATCTAGATTTGTTATTAAAGAATTGTATAATTTGTAGGAGGGGGTTTGGCAACAGGACGCGATTTGTAGATTATATTTTAATCACGTGAAGGAATAATGTCGTTCAATGTCGTTGAGCGGTTTGTGGACATTTTTTGAAGCCAATACCCTGAACTAGGATGAGAAGCAACAACGATCATCCGCCATCATATTCCTTTACTATCAGATATTGGATTTAGAAAAGGGGCCGAAGGTTAGATGTGAATGGTTTGATAAATTATCTCTCAATGAAAGTATCTAAGAGGCTGTCCAAAGTGACGTTATTAAGCCACTCCAAAGTGCAATCAATGAAGTTGAAACGCAAGTGTGCTTTCCCCCAGTCCATTCCAGTCAGCAAAGTTCATTAAGGAGTGTGATATGCAAAAGACGAATTCTCATATTAAACACCTTTTGTCGTTCTTGCACAAAAGGTAGGAGATAGGCGAACAAGCCAGAAGTCCTCTTTTGAGTTTTTCTTGATTTCTCCCTAAAAGTTGTTCAGATTTTTGCAAAAATTGGTAGAAATGAGAGAGCAACTCCTTTGCAGACACTCTTCACAGACACTCAATATCAGGAAAAAAAACCTACATTTCAATAGATTAGAGGGTTGCTATTCAGATGAGAAATCAATATAAACATCCGGATCCAATCCATCCCAATCTCTCTCTTATTTGATTCGGACAGAAAACAAAGGTTTGGTCGGTAAACATCCATTGTTATCCGATGAAGAAATCTACAATAATTACTGTAACTCTTTATTCTCTATTTTTATTAAATTTTGATAAATAATTATATATAAATATTACCCGTTTTTCTCTTCGCTTTTTTATTATAATGTAAAAAATTTATACTACCCTTTCAAAAAAAACCTTAAACAATTAACACTAAACCCAAATTATTATAATATATATATTGACAAATTTCTTTTTTGATTTTTAAAATTACAATTAATACTGCCTATTCACTCATCAGTGCCACGTCTTCTTTTTAGGTGAGGTGAAGAACTTCCATCTACTCCAAATCCATTTGAGTCATATTTATGTGCTGCGATATCATGATGAAATGCCACCGGGGCTAATTCTTCCATATCTTCGTCATCCCCACCTTCTTCTTCTTCATCGTCGTCGATTATATCCACATCGTCCTCATCGTCTTCACTATCGTAATAATCATCTATATCTTCATCGTCATCGTCATCTTCATCTTCTTCGTCGTCTTCGATTATAGGAACACTCTTGACAAAATGAGTGAGTTTCGATTCAGTAGAATCATTCACGGTATTCTTCCCCATCAATTCAATCAATTGTGAATAATATAAATCAAGGACATCTTTGGCATACCTGATCCCACAAAATACTTCCTCATCAATATTATTATTACTCCTGGTTGATCTCTCTTGTTTTTGTTTTCCTGGCATAGTTCTCCAATCCACTCTATTCAAGAAATCCAACTCCAAACAATTCAATTCATGCAAGGCAACCCCACCGACTTTTGCATAATGATCATTGGTATAAAAGAAATCTTCCATTGATTTTTGGGCCAACATGGTCGCAACTAATAAGAAACGATGTACTGTCCAAGAATTCAAGGTGAAATAAGGTTGATATTGATGAGAAAGAAGATCGATATAATAGATTGTGGTTAATAAGGTTGCTGGATTGAAATTGTTGAATTTGGTAAGACGAGTTAAATAAGTATGTGTTGAAATTGAAGGTGGTGTTCTTGAATGATATCTTGTAAGTAAACTATTTGTTGGGGCGGTTGTTGGAGATGCGGTCGTGTTTGGAGGTGGATTAGATATTGATCGGGGCACTGATTTGTCATTGAGGGTGATTAATGAATGTAACATTCTTGATATTAGACTTATTATATCATCGATTGAACAATCCATAAATTCTCGGGGGAGAGTTTTTTCGGAGATGGTTGGTATTATTGGTTCTTCTTCAACTATGGGTATTTGAATATGTTGCTTTTTTATTATTGGTGAAGGTGATACTGATGAGGGTTTTTCTATTACCTTGATAGATTCTGGTGATACTTTTATTGCAGTTATAGTTGGAGTTGTTTTTAATTTCTGAACATATTGTTTAAATTCTTTATAATTGAAATGTTTGTTATTGTTATTATACAGTATATGACTTTTAGTTGTTGTATTTGGTGGTTGTAAGTATTTTTGATAAATTTCCATCAGACGAATTTTACGTTGCTTATCAATTGAATTAAAGTATAATTGATTATTATTTAATATAGATGTGACATTTGTAGATCTAACATATTTAGCCAAGAAAGGATCTATCTCGGGTATTTTCAGTTGTTGTTGTTGTCCATTTGGAGGTGACAGTATAGGTGGTTTATGATTATTGGTAGTTAATGGTGATCCTATTGTTGGTGAACGACTAACAGTGTGATTATTATTATGAAGGGCATGAGTACGACGACTCATCTTTGGAGAGGATGTCACATGGGTTGAGACTGTAGACATCTTCGGTGATAAGGTATCGAATACTATATCATTCGGTAAATGGAATGGTGATCTAATAGCTTGTAACATTCATTCAAAAGTTTTTCTATTTCCTTAAAAAAAAAAAATCGATGTTCCTTCGGTGACTTAGTTTACGACTTGTATGCAGGACACCCTATTATATGATAAAACAAAAGAATGGCAGAAAAATAATTTGTTTCTTTTTTTTTGTTTTTAATCTTTCACTTAATTCGGTGATTTCCGTGATTATTGTCGTTTACTACTTAGTCAGATAGTTAGTCACCAATTAATCACAAACTTATAATGAAATAATCAAAAAGAATTAAACTTAAACAACAAAACTGTAAAAAATGAGGAGATATTCGTTGTATCTTATATACGTTAATGGAATGGAAGATGGAAGCCGCAATATAACTTTTCTTGGTATTGGTAAACTTGTCAATAATTAATTACCAGATGTTCTTTTTTATTGAAACTTCTTCTTCTTCTTCTTACTGTGTGGTTGTAAATCCAAGAAAAAAAAAAATTGGAATGGAGGAGGCAAATTTCTATTGGAAAAACACTTGGCAATGGTACAAAATTGGGAAAATGATGAAATAGTTAGTACAGTATAGTACAGTATAATAAACACTAACTAACTAAGTACAATAGTAATAACTGGAAATCTAAATAATTAAAAGTGAGAAATATTAATGGGTATATATATGAAGAGTGTGTATATTTTGTGAATAATAAAAAAGTATGGGGTAATTTATATAAATAGAAAGAAAGTTTATTATTGTAAAAAGAAGAATATGTCGCATAACCTTCCTTATTAATAATAATGGATGATTAACTCCAACCACTTACTGTGTAAGTACAATGAAATAACCAATTCCACATAGTAAAGGAAAACGTGGTGCAAGAAAAACACAAATGGTGGTTTTGATGTAACTTTAACTCGTGTACCCCTTTGATAATAAATTTAATTATTGAAGTTTGGATGTTTAAGCTCCACGTGGATACACCATTCATTCCTGCATACAACCTAGTTTGCAGCCAAAAAAAACTTTAAAAATTTAAAAAAAATAAAACTTTAAAAATAATATTGAAGTTTCCCTTACTTTGTACACTTTGTACTTTTGTTGTTTCTTGTCATTTCAATTTCTTCTATTTTATAAGAAAGTGACATTACAACAGACAAGAAACACAGATGTGGCAATAAGTCGTAGAATTTCTAAACGTGTCATGAAATCTTTTTTCTTTATTAGTGCCTCTAATATGGATTTTATTAGATCATCATCACCCCATGCATTATCCCACACGGTAGGGTACCCACAATCACCCACACACACACCCCTTCCCCCCCATCTTCTTCCCCTAAATAGTAATTTATATGTGGATAGTTAACAGCCACAGCTTATCTGATCCAATCAAATATAAAATAATTCTCTAAATTTGTTCAGTACAAATTTGAAATTTCGGAAAAGTTCTTCATCATCCATATTTTTAATAATACGAAAACTACAACGTATTGTTACGATACTATGTATTAAGGAACGACATATGTCTCCCCTTTAATTGGATTAACAAATCATATTAATTTTGTTTCAAATAAGCCCAATTCTCAAGGTATATCTTTGTATTAGGAGAGGACCCCACTTGTTCGCTTTAGGTAATTTCAATTTATTAACAAGAAATTAAATACCATACACACACTCAGTCGCAAGACACGAATTGTCATAAAATATTGAGACAGTCGTCGTCTGACCTAATTTTTGACAGCTTCTAATAAATTATTTATTGATAATTGATATTGTTTGCTCATTTTGTGATTTCTTCTCGAATTAACCAAATGACAAAGATTGATTGGCAAGATCATCAGCCGACACATGAGGTTCGGCTCTTTTATCCGTACCTTAAAAAACAAAGTAAAATACATTGGACAACATTCACCAGTCGCGGCACAAATGAAACATGAATTGTTAATTGTTGCAAAAAACGTGTCTCTAATTTATACGGACAATACAAGCCTCAATTCTATATTATTTTTAGAAGCATGCTTTGCAATTCTCAAATAAGATTTAATATATGAGTGTTGAAATAAGATTATTTGCCTGTTCCGGCTTTGCCTAACGGTAGAAGCTTCTTTTTTAGAACTGGCAATTGATGTCAAGCCACTATTTGAATAATGGCAAGGCGCAAAAATCATTGATTGATTAGTTGTCAATTTCTAGAAGTCGATCTATTCAACTAAACGGCCAACTTCCCAATTCAAAACACGAGGAATATGATCTCTAGATTGTGTTATCTAAATTAGCAATTCCCACAATTTAATTTAGACTGTGGGGTATTATGGAATGCCGTTTGATACCAAGACAGGTTGGTTGCAAGGTAGATTTATATCAAAACACATGTGCGCTTCCATGTGGCCAACAATAAAGAACCCTTTTTTTATTTTCTTCAAAACCCACGTTGTCGCCATACATGAAAACCCAAATGGTCCAGAATATTCTTTTGGAATTCTCAAACAATTGATTTCTATTGAATTCTACTACAATCCGAGAGCTTTCTGTAATGAATTAACGAAAATCTTGTTTCACGTGACAGAATTTCCTAAATTGGATGTTTGGGTGGAGGTGTAATTTTTTTTGCCTTTCGCACTACCACAGCCTTTCTTGACATCGCAACTTTTCAAACAAAAACGTAAACAACAAGGCATTAGCTACATTTACGACATCTTAGTAAGAATCGAATCAGATCTCTTGAAGTGTGACAATGTCTGAGCATTTACAAGAAGGTATGTCTATCCCGATCTAACCATTTTCGAAATGGATTGAATAATAATGTACTAACAAATTCCGCCACCTCTAGGATTCGATCCCAAAAGTCTTAAAGTTGCCCAATTGAGGAATATCCTCAATCTACACAATATAGAATATCCATCCAACGCCAAAAAACAACAATTGGTAGATTTATTTCATGAGAATATTACACCTAAGTCTGGTGAGTTATTAAGGGATTATAATGAGAGAGCGAATAAAATTAGTGGAGAAGGGATTGTGAATATGGGAGGAAGTGGTCTGGTGATGAAGGAGAATGAGATTATTTCTATTGATGACGAGGATGAGGATTATGAAGAAGAGAAGGAAAGTAAGTCACAGCCTTTGAAGAAGGTTAGAAAAAGCAGTAGATCAACCACTCCAAATGTTGAGTCTAAACCAGCGTCAAGGAAAGGTTCTCGAAAGGTCTCCAGAACATCTAGAAAATCTTCGAAATTATCCGAGAATCAAGAAAGCGAAGCTGATAAACTTGAAGAAAGTCCAAAACAAGACAAATCAAAAACTAAAAAACTACATCAATCAGAAATCAACATAAATAGTAGTCCATTCAGTTCTGAAAATGTCTTTCAAGCATCATCTGATTCAGGAAAGAAAAGGAAATTTATTGATATAGATTCGATTTTTGAAAAGGATAACACGAAGAAAAGATCTAGATCTCCTGTGAAATCGATTTTTGATGATAGTTCTGATGGTTCAGATATTGAGGTGTTGCCATTTATGGGTGATTTCACCAAGATAAACGAGTCAAAAAAGAAGGAATCATCTTCCAGGGCCACTCCAGTGAAGAGTGGTAGTTCATCTAAAAAGACTCCTGTAAAGACTGTTTCGGATAAAGACATTCCAACTAAGGCTGCTTCAGCTAAGAACACTCCAGCTAAGAGTGCTCCAGTTGAGAGTTCTTCAGCTAAGGCTGCTTCAGCGAAGAGTACTCCTGTCAAAGTTACTCCAGCTAAGGTTACTCCTGCTAAGACTACCCCTGCGAAAGCCACACCGGCTACAAGTACACCAGTGAAGGACACTCCGGTCAAGCTTACACCAGTTAAAGCTACTCCAGCGAAAGCCACTCCAGCTAAAAATACTCCAGTTTCCAAGTCAACAAAAGAAACAACTACCCCAGCCAAGGAAATCATCACTCCTAAGATTCCGAAGAGTGCTCACAAGGAAGAATCGTCATCCACCGATAAACGTACCAGTTCATCATCGTCAAAGAAGACCCCTTCTAAAATCACCAAACCTGCATCGAAGAAATCAACTCCAAAGTCAACTTCAATTTCAAAATCTTCTCCATTATCAAAACCTACTTCTGTGAAAAAGTCAACGCATAAAACGCATAAAGCTAGACAAAGTTCAATTGACGAATCATTCAAATCTAGCGAAGAAGAACGCAAACATTTTGATGAAGGTTTACACAAGATCAAACACAGGGAAGAGGAAGAAGAAGAGCAGCAACATTCACAAACTCCATCTATCCCAAGAGTTAATGCTGATTTGATTAAGGATAGACTCGGGATTACAATTGAAGGATTTATCCCACCTTCCAACATCCCACCTTCCATGGTTGATCTTAGAACTCCGATAAAGAAGAATAATGAATTAGGTAAGATTGAAAGTCCAAGGCTTTTGAGAATTCCTTCGGATTCGGAAATATCACTGAATGTTTCGTCGATGAGTGGAAATAATAATAGTGTTGTGAATCAGAAATTGAATGAATTGAAGATGGCGTCAATGTTGAGTCCAAAACCGAGATTGATTCCTATTCCTAGTATTTTAGAAGGTGAAGATGATGATGAAGAGGAAGAAGAGGATACCTTAGAAGAGGAGGGGGAGATATCAATTGTTCCCAAAAAGAATACGACGGGAGATGAAGTCGAAGATACAAAACAAGGAGAGGCAGTTGAAGAAATTATACAAGAAGAACAGGTTGTGAATAATAAGCTTCCAACAAAATCTACAGTTTTTGGCATACTTTTCACATTTTTTATCTGGATCTTGGTCGTTTCTGTAGGATTTTTGGGTTATTGGTATCATGAACAACAATATCTTGTCGGATATTGTGGTCAAGAGATCTATGAACGGACATTCCCCGATACTGATAGCTATATCATTGCTCTGCTTGGTGAATATTTAGATCTGCATTGTCGACCAAGATGCATACCTTGTCCTCCTCATGCCAGATGTTTCCCTAGGCTTGAACTTGGATGTTATGAAGATTTCATCGAATATAAACCATGGAATGGGTTTTTGTTTCCTGGAAACAAGAAATGTGTTCCTGATTCTAAAAAAGCGGAAAAGTTGGAGATTATGATTGATGTTGCATTGGATTTATTGAGAAGTAAGAATTCACAAATTAATTGTGGGAAGGGGGAAAGTATTGAAGAAAGTGGGATTGGAGTGGATGAATTACATGATTTGTTGTTGAGTATGAAGGCTCCATATATTACCTTAGAAGAATTTGAGGAATTATGGGCAAGATCGGTGATTGAGTTGGAGAAGGAACCTGATATAATTGTAAGGCAAGTATCATTCTAAAAGTTTGAATTTTTATTTATTGATAAAGTTATACTAACAATTTTTTGATCTAGACGGGATATTCAAGTTTATCAAACCAAGAATTCGTTATTAACCCTAACGACCCAGACTTCGGCTTGGAGGCCGCGAAAGAATACAAAACGATTCTTCGATCAACGTCCTTATCGAACATTAGTTTAAAATGTCAAATCAAGAATAGTTTAATTGGAGGAATTGTACAATTTAAATATCATATTTCCATCATTTTCCTTGCATTTATATTAATTAAATTGATTCAATATAAATATAATCAATATCAATTATATTTAATCAAGATTGATATATTATATAGAGAAGTCATTAAGAAATTAGTAAATCAATTGAAATTATCTCAATCAAATAATACCATTCAACCATATATAGGATCAAATCAATTACGTGATTTAATTTTGGAACATGAAAATAATTTATCGGTTAGAATTCAAATTTGGGATGATGTGAGTTCAAAGGTTGAAAATAATACTAATGTCAGTTCACAAGTGTTGGAACATCATGGAGAGATTATGAAAGTCTGGCAATGGATCGGAGGTGATGTTGAATTGTAAAAAGGAGAAATGAACGCTTATTATTTCTGTGTGTAGAGTTAGATAGTTTAATCATAATAATAATCATATATATATTTCAAGACCGTTCTATTTATATACCAATGTCCTTTAATGTTCAGCTATTACATTAGGCATTGCCCAGCAATGAAATCCTAAAGGTTTAGCCAAATAACAAATCCCTTCACTCTCAATCCCATCATATCCACCTCTTTTTCTATCCCAAGTTGTCCCAATTATATTCGTCGGTGGGAAGGTAACTCCCAATTTAAAAATCACCGATTTTGCAAAAAGAACCAGTCCTCCTACAGAATCTAATGGGACACTATATGCAATATTATCTTTATGATCAATAAATTCATTAAACACATTCTGAATATAATTCTGCAACGTAAAAACACCAGGTTTAAATTCAGTATGTGGCATAAATGCATATCCTCTGGCGGTTTCTTCATCCAATTCCAAGATTTCCAATTCCTCTTTACTTGGTTTTGTTCTCAGACCTCTCCAAGTCCCCGGATCGGTGGCTCGGAGGTTAGCATTCCCCGAGGGAGCACGGACTTGAGGTACGATGATATCTAAACCTGATTTAATAAAATAATCGACAAAATCAGGTTTTGTGATTGACAGAATATCAGAATCGATGAATATTGTATATTGTTGGAATTTTAGGACGTTTGTCAATAAGAAATTCCGACATTTGGCAATGACTTTTTTCTTTTTTAGGATTTCGAAATTGGTTGGATGTTTGTTTTTATGACGAACAGTTGGGTCATCTAAGGATGGCGATTGAAGGAGGGTGATTGATGAATAAGTGGTTGATAAACTTGATGAATTGGTTTCGATATATGTATGAATTTCATTGAAATGAGTTGCACCATTTGCTAGTATACCGATTGAGAAATCATATTGTGGAGAAGCCATTGAGATTGAATTTAAGAATTGAATGAAATTGTCAAATGTTCTATCGGGACCATAGGGGTGTGATTTTGGTTTGATTGAGGTGAGAAGGAGTACGGTTGGTTTTTTGGTTGGCGGGTCTTCCTGTCTTGAATAATGGAGTTTTATGTAATCGAATGTATCATCTCTATGTAAAGTCTTCACATATGGGGTTGAAGTTGTAGGGATATCAAGTTTGGTTCTTTTTGGGATTGTTATTGATGTGGATGTTTTAATCAATAAAAAAGAGATGAATATTGTGGCTGCGAATCCAAGTAAAAGTCGTGTTCGTTTGATATCTTTTAATTTAGAATACATTTTCAATTGCTTGTTTGTATTATTAGGAAGTATCAGCTATGTAAGATGGGCTATTGCTTGTTTATATATAAATAAATAAGCTAATTGTTTTTAAATAGCCATGTAGATTTTTAAGGGGGGCCGGGATTGGAAAATGTTGCAAATAATTTGCAAGCAAGTTCAACCGAGAAAAAACAATAAATTCAGAATAGGGAGCTGACATAAAACAATAGGATTAGGTGATGAGAAACAATGGGATGAGACACAAAATTTGGGCTATCTAAAATAAAAGAGGATTGTGGGATGGGATATTGTATAAAAGAGATTAGATTTTTTGGGCCATAACGGGATGAAATGTAGGGATCTCCGATCTAACGGCGCAGTGCGATCTACTCAGACCTTAATAAAATTCCATGTTGATTTTTGATTTCTTCATGTTCTAGAATGAAACTTTCAAGTACTGTCAATATTTTATAAGCCAACTTTCAATTTCAAATTCTTCCTATCAAATAGTATTTAAAGATGAAATTAGTTTGGATGAATGACCACTAGTGTAAATAGACACATTAGCCACACCAAAAAAATAAACGTTAAGAACGTTAAGGTACATTATTGCATGCACGTGCATTAGTGCATGCATTGCTTAATTATACTGCTAAAACAGCTGTAATTATACATGCACAGGTTGGTTTAAAATAATTAATATGCTTGATTATAAACTAACATATATATAAATAAACACAAATTAATGAACCAGGTGATGCGCTACAACATTTGGCATACCCCAACAGCTATAACCCAATGGCTTTGCCAAATAACATAAACCTTCAGTCTCTATTCCATCATATCCTTCTGATCTATCCCAAGAAGTACCGATAAGATTACTAGTTGGGAAGATTGCTCCTTGTTTGTAAACAACTGATTTAGCAAACAAAACAGCCCCTCCCACAGAGTCCAAAGGTACGATATAATCATGTTCATCTTTATGTTGGGTATGCTCTTGATGATTATTGTCTACATAGGATTTGAAATGCCACATTTTATCGTCCACATCACGAGGAACATATCCCCATTTATCCCATTGATTTTTATCCATGAGATCTAATTCTTCCTGAGAAGGTTTTGTTCTTTGACCCCTCCATGAGTTTTTGTCATAATCTTGATTGTCACCTTTCGTGACTCTAGGAACAATAATATCCTTTTCGGTTTTAATGAATGTAGAAATCACATTTTCGGGATAATCAAAGTATACCACATCTGCATCAATGAATAAAGTATATTGTTCATCTTCTAGGACATTTAATAGTAAGAAATTTCTTGATTTAGCAATTAAACGACGTCTTAATCTTTGAATATTATCCAGTTGTCTTTCTTCTCTTGAAAACCCGGCATTTTTATCTAAGAATGGTGCCAGGATAAGTGTAATCTTTTCATAAAGTTTTGAAAGTTTATCTGAATTAGTTTCAATATAATTTGTAATATTTGCAAATTCTATTGGGTTATTACATAATAATCCCAAACTGATTCTTAATCTATTTTCTTGATGTGATGAGATTGAATTAACGGTATGGATAAAGTCTCCAAAAGTACGTGCTTGACCATATGGTTCACTTTGACCAATGGAAGAAGCTATTAAGACGGTTGCTTTCTCATGTGGTTGTGCGTGAGTTCTTAATTGTTTTGGAATTGAATGAAGATGTAAAACTGAATATTGAATTCTGGTATAATTAAATGTAGTGTCTTCATGTACAAATTTATTATAATGTGATTTTGTTCTTATTGATGATGATGATGATGATGATGATGATGATGATGATACATTATTTTGATATACTGCTTGTATTTTTTCATGCATACCTTTTTGATAGAAACCTATCAAAACCAATAAGGATAATAGAATTGATATTAATACCACAATATTTCCTCTTCTTCTAAGAAAGAGAAGACTACTTGTCTTAGATGGCATACCTGTCATTATGAAATATCACAATTTGTTCAACACTACCAAAAAGACAAAAGCAAGTAAAGAAATCAAGTTGTAAAATTTAGTTAAAGTTAAAAAGAAGTTTGTAAGAGATTATATGAACAGAAACAGAGAAAGAAGTAATATTATATTTATATATGAAATTAATTAAGGGAGGAAAAGTTGTGGCTAAATTTGCATGTTAAAAAAGATTATTTTTTAAGTAAGAACAATTAGGTTTGTAAAATGTTATTTTTAAGTTGAAATTTTCTCAATTTTGATTTTCAGATTTTTTTTTTGCTTCCGTAAACTGTAAAAGCATAAATAGGGTTCCTGCAGGGTTTTATCTAGTTAGTAGCAAGATAATCATAAATCATAAATCATAAATTGCGTTGCTTAACCTTTGTGTTATAGAATAATCGGTCCTTAATAGTATAGTTGTTGTTTTTTAAAGTATACATAGAGAAGGTATGGGAATTTGAGGGCATATTTATAGATGTGACTTTGGCTGGGAGCCAATAAATAAAGAAGGCGCAGCATTTTGAAAAGATGCTTTTACGGATTTCCTGTAACTACGAACGCGTATACGTTATTTGAACAGCATACGGTCGAGACTAGTTAAAGCAACAGACGGCATCACCATCCACGTGCAGGAATTATCTCACAGTTTGTAATATTGGCTATTCAAAAATCATACCCAAAGACAGATACTAAGAATAGGAAATAGATACTCCAATATATAAATATGTGTTATCCTGTCATTTGCTATTCATAGTTTGAAATGACATGGCTATAACAATGTAACTAAAATTCGTATAACGCTGAAAAATAGAAACAAGCCATTTATGAGTGTGTAACAATACAATAGATTGATTGTTTTCCATTGTTTCAATCAAGCCAAGAATTTCTTTCTTATCTGATACATTCAATTGCAGCCACGTTCATTTTGATGTCATAATTTAACATTGATGGGATTAGATTATCTAGAACGTTTTCCTTTGTCTCGGGGACTATTCTGCTTCTTTTTTTTTTATCTCCCACGTGTATAGTTATACCCAACCAATCTAACGCGACGCGTTTTGAAACATATGTAATAACTGCATTATTACAAGAAACACCAGTTTCTATGTCATGTGTATTTATATTCATTTCAAATAGATTTATTTTTGAACAAATCATAAGGAAAACCAGAAATATCCTTGATAAGCCCTCCCCTCTAACATGCAATTTTCAAATGATTTGTTTGTCTCTGGTTCTGAAAATAAGGGTTGTACATGAATAGGGGGGGAGAACCAATTCCGGGCGGTTGTTTTGTTTGTTGTTTAAAGGCAGTCCCTAATTTCAATTGATTTATTTAAAAGCTTTGGAGCCGAAAGAAATTCGTATTTATTTTCTTTGATGTCTTCTGCTTTGGGATATAATCCTTTTTTTTTAGTGTCTTCTGCCCTGGGCTATATACTCTTTTCGTTCTTTCAAACTTCAGCTGGCACACCAATCATGGTTTGATTAATAATTGATACACTTCAGAAGTGAAGGCGGAGTCATCCTTCCAAAAGCTGTCTAGGTAACGTAAAAATAAGTTGAAATTACAAAGGCTTTTATGCAACAGCAACCAGTATAACAATCTATTTTTTTTTTTTCAGGGATAATTACGAAAAATTATTATTTATAAAGAATGGAATCACCTCGTATATTCTCCACATTTCATAAAATTACGAAATCTTGGACCCCATAGTGAAAGTATATGTTAGTTTGACCAGGAAAAGAATCAGAGATGAATACTTCGGAAGAAAAGGATACATACCCCACATATTAAAGTAATTAAATTGAGTCATCACTATGCCTTAAGAACCACCATACCATCAACCATCGTGTCATTACTTGACATTCCACACTCATAACTCCTTTTGGTCGCACTTTTGCCATTTCATTGGTCACGGTATTGGCACTTTAACACGCTGGTGATCCTTGTGGTCTAGCTTTGTTGATTTACCCATTTTGATTGCTTTTTATCGAGGTTTCGCTTATAATTTGGTTGCCTCTTATTTCATACTACGGCGTATGCTGGAAAAGCAAGCTGATATGCCTTACTTCACACTATTCTGGATGTTTCTATCAGAAATTAAACTGTTTACCTTAAAATTGGTCTATGGGGGCGGCCTAGATCTTTTTTTATTGTTTTTTTTTTGTGGTCTGTAAAATTTGCAGCACAAACTTTAACCGCCCAGATTGCGAAAAAAAAAATTGTAATTTATTTAAATCATGTTTTCATCTTCACTGCTCACAAAGAAATCCACCAATTCAACAATGTATCCAGTCAAGAAATTCGATTAATCTCATCAATCAATCCAGAAAAAGCCGTTATGTCTTTCAATGTTCAAAGAAATATTCATGCGAGTGAAGTTATTAAATGGAAACGAAACTTAGAAATTCAACCACAAAAATTCAACCACAGAAATCCAAACCACAGAAACAAAATTGAAACATCATGTCCATTGTCTTGTCCAAATCAAATTTCCCTATTTCACCCTATTCCATTAATCATTATCTTCTGAATCAACACCGCATTTCAAGCATACTTATATTAAATCATAGAAAAATCATGGAAATCAAGAGTTGGTGATGATGCAGTTTGGACAGAGTTTTGACCGGATTTTTATCGGATCAGGTATTTAATCCCTTCAAGCTGAATTTAGCCACTTGATGAATGGTTGGTTTGTGTGACGGTTTTTTTTTTATTTGATTTCAAGGGAAGAAGGTTTGACTTGATCTAAGTTGGTCATCTGGGTGATTTCAATTTTCATTCATTCTACATCAACCACATTTATATCAAAATCATAAAACAATCATCGAAATGAAGAACTGATGATCATTACACAATTTGGAGAGAATCTTTAACTGGATTTCAATGGGATCGGGTATGTAAATCTATCATATAGAATTTAGCCACCTGATAAATGGTTAGTTTTGTGTGATGGGGTTTTATTATCTGGTTTCAAATTGGATGAAGGTTTTGTCTTGATCTATATTGGAATGACAAATGAAGAATAGGATCAGGAGATAGTTTGGGATTTCAATATTTTGGTGATGGTCAATTTCAATGAATGGTGATGTGGATTTTGATGGTCGATTCAATTGCAGTGGTGAGCTTTGGAATTTTGATGGTTGGATTTGATGCTAACGGACAATTCTTGATCTTTATTTTATAATCTATAAAGTAGTTCCACATTCGATGATATTGGAGGGAAGGGGTTGCTCTGGAAGTAAATTGATCCAACATGGATTTGATGGTGGTGGTGGAAGTGGATGGAGGTGGAACAAGGGGTTGCTTTCTAGAAAATTGATCGATATGAACTCAATGAAGAGAAATTGCACGAGTTACTTGCCTTACAGTAGATTGGAATAGACAAAGGCAAACGAATATATTAAGCGGAACGTTTCTTTATAGATCAATACCCACTCAGCTTTGATTTCTAGAAATCCTCCCCCTTCATCTCTATTCAGGAACGGTTTTCACAGAAAACTCGTAAGGGCTGTGGCAACGATATATATGCCCTTCACAAATCGTTCAGGGATCTCATAGAAACCCCTCAAGAAGCGTTGTTCAATTGTAAAATTGAGGGGCTTATAAGAAGTATTTTGAACAAAAGGAACTATCGAAAGAAGGACGTTATGAAATTACAAGAATTGTGGTTTTATCATTCCAAGCGAATCATTCATTTCTCATCGCCTGTCAAAAAAATCCAGGATATACAATTTGAAACTGCCTCATGATGTAACTAACGTTTGTGATTCAGTTGTTGCAAGAACTAATCTAGGAACCACATTGTATCCAATTTGTGTTGTACCTGAATATTCCGTTTCGAATTAGTCACGTGAAAATGTTGGGTTCTTGATCGCTAAATGAAAGGTTGCTTTGGGATGCCGGTTATTTTATTGTCTTTTCTAGATGTTGATTTACAATTTATATTTTAAACTTTGTACCTAAAAGAGACAAATGATTTGGGTATGTGCATTAATGAAAATACATAGTTTAATGTCTGAGACATGTGTAATGGTGAAACCTTCCCCCTGACAGTACATTCCGGGAAATATCACACGAGAATAAATCGCGTAATTTAATTTGCCACTATAACCGAAAAAAAGAAAGGGATCATTGAAGGAGAGGGTGTTGTTCCATTTATTGTCTTGTATAATTTAATAATTGAGATTGCTTCAAATTATAAAGGGTGTGTGTTAATCAGATTATTTACGTTAAATTTCTAAGTGGTGTTTTGTGATAGGTTGCTATTATGTACAATACCTATTGTTCTTTTAATTGAATTGTAGTTATGTAAGGCACGCGACTTTATAAGAAATTTTGTTTTAAAAATTTTCCACTTACGAGATACACCATATACACATACACTAATAATAATAATAATAAAAATAAAAATAAAAAAAGAAATTAAATTTAAATAAAATTTTATATTTCCAATAACTAACTATCCATCTTTTCTTTCTCTCTTAACTTTATTATTAGTAAGAGTAACCTTTTAAAAGAGGAAAGATACTCAAAGGATAAGTCTTTACTATTTACTACTACTAGTGCTACTATTGCTTTGCTATTAAAAAATTCCACATTCGCTAAACACACCTTCAATTCCGAAAATCCAACAAGGTCCTATAAATAGAAAATACAATAATGGAATACTCTCGAAGAACTCCAAGTCCATTTACATCAGCTCTTAAATCACGACAAGTGCATAGATTAATTAAATTCTCAATAGTGACATTTTTGGTACTTAATATTATCTATTTCACATTCATTCCCAAACAAAATTATAGTAGCAGCAATCGTCATCATCTTCAAACAATCTCACCTGATGCAGCTGTCATCGCCGAAGAGAATAATGCCATTGTTCAACATCCACAGCAAGGAGGAAGAGGTGGATCTAATGGAGGGTCCTTCCATAATCCTTCATCTACTTTCGAAGCATTAGTACAAAATAAATTTGAAAAAATTAAACAAGATCCTGATCGGTATCATATGGCAAATACAGACTTAACCGAAGTTGAAATTCCATTTAATTATAAACCATTTAGTAAAAAATATGAAGATGAAAATAGTTGGGCTAAAAAGGATATATTATTTTATGATCCAAGATTTACTTTGTCAATGTATTTAAATGAACTTAAATTACGAAACTTAGTTAAGAAAGGAAAAGATGGTCCATTGATATTACCTTTCAATTGGGTTGATTGGATGGATTTAACTATTTTGAATAAAGATTTATCATATCCTTTAGTTGGAAGAACTAATTGTAATGATATTCGTCAAGTAACTAACAATGATCCCGATCCAAGTTATTTTTGTATGGATAATCATGAATTCCCCATGGAAAAAATTGAAAAATTGGGATATACCAGGAGTCAATTACCCGGGTTTATAATCCATGATCATTCAACTCATGATGATAGACCATTGAATGATTATCGAATCTTAGAAGCTAGATCGTATGCCATGACCCATTTAAGAAAACCTTTGAAAGTGGTTATATTGAATGGAGATCAAGGGACTTTTGAATTTGAAGTTGATCAAGGCTCAAATCAACGATTGGCCGGTTCTGACATTGTTGATAATTTCATTAAATCTAATAAATTAACCGAGACGGAATTGACTCATTCAAAACTTAATCATTTACAGGTTTGGCAAGATTTAAAAACCAACGTGCCTTCACAGGTTTTAACACCTGATGATCCGGGATATAGAATGTATTCCAAGATTCATCATCTTGATTCCACCCATGATCATCAATTTCATCAAGATTCAAGAATCTCCCGTGAATTACCATTAACCCAACAAATGTTTTCCCATCCCCCCTCGATCGAATCCCAAATCGCCGAACTTGACGAGAAACGAGCTCAAAATGGTGGCAAACTCTCTCATAAAGAACAAATCTATTATGAAAGTCTAGTCGACTGTCTCCAATATCCTGATGAATCTCCCTCTGACGAATTTCGTTATTTCAGAATGGCAATCATTCGAATGGACGATGAGCGAAATGTGGGCCAAGAATGGGGATGGCATTATGATTGGCGTTTTTTCAATGGAGCATTAGAATATGCTCGTGAGGGTTGGAATCAACAAGAATTAACTCATAGGACCAACATCATCTTAGATCGTTTATTAAGATCCTGGAATCGCTTTGCCGAACAAAAGGGGATCATAAGTTGGATCATGCATGGTCCTTTGTTGAGTTGGTATTGGGATGGATTGATGTTTCCGTTTGATAATGATATTGATATCCAGATGCCGGTGATGGAGTTGGTGAGATTGGCGAAGGAATATAATCAGACTCTTATTGTGGAGGATCCGAGTGAAGGATATGGCAAGTATTTGATTGATGTGAATCCGTATATGCATCATCGGGGGATAAGTAAGGAGTCGAATCATATTGATGCGAGGGTAGTGGATGTTGATTCGGGAATATATATTGATATAACGGCTTTGAGTAAACTGAAGGCGAATCTTCCTGAGGAATATTATGAGAATGGATTGGTTGATTTGATGAAGAATGATGAGGATGATCAGGTGGAGATATATAATGATAGAAGAAAACATTTTTATAAATTTGAACAATTAAGTCCATTGAGATATAGTATGTTACAGGGTGTGCCGGTGTTTATTCCAAGTACGATTACTCATAGATTGATTTTTGAATATAGTGAAGGGTTAGATAGTTATGAGTATAACGGATGGTATTTTATTAAGAAATTGAATTTATGGATTAAACAAGATCATTTGGTTATGATTTTTAATACTTATCAAATTAAAAATCAGGATGGAAATGTTGATCGTGATAAATTATTAGCTAAAGTATCGAGAATTACTGATGATGAAGTATTGAAATTATTGGATATTGATGATATATTGGTGGAATATTATTTAACTAAAGAATTAACTGATTTCCATGCTCAAGAAATGAAATATTTATTTGATGCAATTGGTAGAGATAATTTAAAATTGGGTAAAGATCCTAGATTGACTAAAGAATATAATGATTTGACAAAAGGGTTAAAGATGAGAAAACCATTAAGAAAAGCCTTGTATGATTATGAAAATATTGAAAGATTGAAATATCATAATTGGAAACCAAAACAACTGAAACAAAAACAAAAACAATCTCAACCTAGAGAAGACGACGTTAAGTTGGAAATAGACAATAAGACAGGAGAACAGCCAGTTGGACAACCTCAACAACAACAAGAGGAACAACCTCAACAACAAGAGGAACAACCTCCACAACAACAAGAGGAACAACCTCAGCAACTAGAGGAACAACCTCAACAACAGCAAGAGGAGCAACCAGTAAAAGCTCAAGGTTAAGCTGATCATTAAGTATGGAGAAGAGAGAAGTGGGTTGTATAGTTTGTATTAAGTATTATTATTTACTTTGTAAATTCTTTTTTAATAGACACACATGTTTTGCATGTATATATCATATAATTTAATCATTATATAGTAGAACAGTCTATCGGTAATAATTTGATCTCTACTAATTTGAATGTGTAAACAATGGCTTATGACCTCGGGAGAAATCGGCTACTCCTTTTCTCCTATAAAAGAAACCAAGCAACAATAAAAAAAAGAAATAGGAGGAGAAACTAAAAAAGAAAAACGGTGAATGTCGTCGGTAGAAATGAGAATGTCGGCAGGTTGATCGGTTGCTTGAGGTGCGTGTGTACGATGTGTAACCTGGAGTAAAAGGCGGAGGGACGATGTGTTATGAAACTGCCAAAACAAACAATTGATTGGTGATCATATCGTGTGAATGTGTATATTACCCCCTTATTAAGATGTTACCCATGTGGATTAATAAACACATAGGGGATGGAATAGAAATGTAACTACGTATACTTAAAAGTTAAGTTGTGTAGTGTCGTATAAAGAATAAATGTCGTCAATTGTTTCAGTATAAAATTTTTATTTTCCGACATTTAAAAAATATTTTTATTTAATGTAAGAACTAAAATTTATTAAATATTAAATTTATATCAACAGATTAAAATTTTCCAATATTTCACATTAAAGAAAGAAAAAACCCCTTTAATTTAATTCTTACTTTAATTTACATTAAAAAGTAGAAATCTTACGTTCATTTACCACTCCTATTCTCTGCTGCTACTGCTGCTACTGTTGCTAGTTAGTTCTTAATAGTAATCCAACCATAATGTCATCATCCACTACAGCACTTGAAGTAGGTTCAACTTCCAATACAAGAAATAGGAGTCCAATGCGTCAACCAGAAGAAGGATCATCATCATCAAATGGTATTTTATCAGCAACAGAAGAAGTTTTAGTTGATAAATTAGATAAATTCTTATCATCAATAGAAGCAAGATTAGATAACTTTGAACAATTTTTCAAATTTACTTCTGAACAAGAAGTAGTTGATTCTTTAGATTTACAACAAGGTACTCCACTTACTAATCTTAATGAAAAACAAACTACTAGAAGTAGAAGAAGTTCATCATCTGCTAGTTTACATCTGTTGAAAACTTTCTCCATGAATAATTTAAATTTAATTCATCAAAGATTAACATTAATTAAGAAATCAGTCTTAACTAATTCATTTAATAATTTGGAATATTTATATAAAACATTAGATGATCAATATAATTATTTATTCACATCTTATGAATCAGAAGATGAAGAACAACTAATAGATCTTACCATCACCAAATCATGTGACAATAATAAAAGAGAAGTATTAACGGAAAAGATTATAACCACAATTCAATATTTTGATGAAAAACTTCTTCAAATTGATGACTTCATTAAAACCCATAAACCAGCCGCCACTGATGACTACACCCATGATGAAATCCTTAACAAACTTCGATTCTTTAATTTTAATCGAGCATTACGTAATGCCACCACCAGGGGATTAATTCATTATTATGAATTACCATTAAGTTGGCGAGAAAACAAATACATTATCGAGGGATATCGATTTTCATTAAGTCATAAAACCATGTTACGGTCCATATTCGAATTCAATCATAATGAATCCATGAATATTTGGTCTCATATAATTGGACTCATGTATATATTATATCTCGCTTTTGTTCATTTCCCTCTGACGGATGCTTTTAGTCATAATACAACAGCGGGGAATGTTGCCATGTATGTCTTTTTAACTGCTGCTGCTAAATGTTTGATCAGTTCAAGTGCTTGGCATACATATTCTTGTTTTGCTCATTATCCTACTAGACAAACTATGGCATGTGTGGATTATACGGGTATAACTGTTTTGATTACTTGTCTGGTTATTGTGGTTGAATATTGTGCTTTGTTTAATCATCCGAAGTTGTTGATGTTGTTTATTGTGTTTTCGAGTATTTGTGGTAGTACGGGGTTTATTTTTAATTGGTCGCCATATTTTGATAAACCGGAATGTAGATCTTTGAGAATTGGATTTTTCATGGGATTGGCATTTTTGGGGATTACTTCGGCTATTTGTATGGCTTTCTATGAAGGGGTTTGGAATGCTTTGACGTTTATGTTCCCCTTGGTATATAAAAGTTTCTTATGGTATTGGATTGGGGTTATTTTCTATGGAGGTTTGATTCCTGAAAGATGGAGATATGATGTGATTATAGAGGAGAATAATACCGCTATGTGTCAACATAATTATGACACCCGAGATGTTTTATTGGATATTGTTGAAACTAGTGGCGTGGAAGAAATGGAACAAATTGAAGAAGAATTTGAAGAAATTGTCGATAAACATCCTTTGGATAGTGATTGGAGAGTTAAAGAGATTTTAGATAAACATTTTAAGAAACACCCGATAAAGACTCCATATGCTAATGATTTTATGAGTTTATGGTGGGTAGATTATTTTTTGGCTAGTCATAATTTATGGCATATTTGTGTTGTATTGGGGGTTACGGGACATTATTTTAGTGTGTTGGATATGTTTAGAAGTCTTCATGGATTGAATTAGATCTGGGTGTATAGTTAATAAATAGGTTGAGTTTACTTCTGTATATCTCTCTTGCCGTTTAATTCCATGGCTAATTGATATCCGCGGCATATGGTAGCATCGTGACTTGCTAAACGACATTTCATGTGTGGATATGTAACTACTACGACATTTTCTAATTTCTTCGTCATGCAAAATTTAAATTTCTTTTTAAATTTTCTTGTGCTTCTGTAAAGTAAGAAAAAAAAAAAAGAAACTTAAGAAAAAACTGAGTGAGAGAGAAAATGTCGTTTTATTAAAACTGTAATAAAAACTTTTTTAAGGAAATAAAAAGATTTCATCATCAGATTTTTACACGCAACACAACAATTATCAACTTCAGCCCATATATTTACCTTCCATCTTTATCTCAACCACCAAATATATACACATAACTGTATATAAAGATATATATATATATATGTACGGATAGATAAGAGAATTACCAAGTTGAAGATAATTTAAACTCACCTACTCAGCATTTGTTAACAAACAAGACACACACCTGACACTAGAAAATACCTCAGCGTCTAATATATTAAGATCATCAAATTAGCATATCATCATCATATCATAACTAATAACAAGTAAAACAATATGGACTTAAGAGTTGGTAAGAAGTATCGTATTGGACGTAAAATTGGATCAGGATCATTTGGTGATATTTATTTAGGTACCAATATCATATCAGGAGAAGAAGTTGCCATCAAATTAGAAAACACCAAAGCTAAACATCCTCAATTAGAATATGAAGCAAAAGTATATAAAGCCCTTAGTGGAGGTGTTGGTATCCCATTTGTAAGATGGTATGGAACTGAATGTGATTATAATGCTATGGTTATTGATTTATTGGGTCCAAGTTTAGAAGATTTATTTAATTATTGTAATCGGAAATTCACCTTCAAAACAGTATTGTTATTAGCTGATCAATTGATTTGTAGGATTGAATATATTCATGCTAGATGTTTTATTCATCGGGATATTAAACCGGATAATTTCTTAATGGGAATTGGTAGAAGAGGATCACAAGTTAATGTAATTGATTTTGGATTAGCTAAGAAATATAGAGATCCAAGAACTCATTTACATATTCCATATAGAGAGAATAAGAATTTGACTGGGACTGCAAGATATGCTAGTGTAAACACTCATTTAGGGATTGAACAACTGAGAAGAGATGATTTGGAAAGTTTGGGTTATGTTTTGATTTATTTTTGTCGAGGTTCATTACCATGGCAAGGTTTAAAAGCAGCTACTAAGAGACAGAAATATGATAGAATTATGGAAAAGAAAATGACAACTCCTAATAATATATTATGTAAGGGGTTACCACAAGAATTTTTAGATTATATGAATTATATTAAAACTTTAAGATTTGATGATAAACCTGATTATCCATATTTAAGAAAATTATTTAGAGATTTATTTAAAAAGGAAAATTATCGTTATGATTATGTGTTTGATTGGACTTTATATAAGTTTCAACAAGAGAAACAAAGAGCTCAAGGAAAGATTACCGATGGTCAAGAACAAGATCAACAGCAGGAACAACAAGGGCAACAGCAAGGTCAACAAGCACAACCACAGGATCAACTTGCAGCACAACAACGTCTTCAAAAACAAAGAGCATCCTTACAACAACAACAAGGGAAGCCAATGGTTGATCCTGCAACTGTTGCTGGTGTAGGTTATCAAAACTATGGCTATCAACAACAACAACCACAGGATAAACCAAGAGTTGTTCAACAACAACAACAACAACCACCTCAAGCAAACCCAGCATGGCTTTAAACCTAACTACTAATTACATATCATATTCATTATTATTATTATTATTATTGTTTACATAATTCATTTATTTGCTTTTTAAAGTTTCGTTTTTATTTCAATCATCTTTTATATATATATAATTAATTAATGGGAGAGAGAGAAAACATAAGTAGGTTTCTATACACTTTTAGCTTTCTAAATAATATACATACACATACAAGAACTATTAATCATCTTTGTTTTCTTGTTTGGCAGCAGTTTCAGCGGCAGCTTCTTGTTCTTTTCTCTTAGTATAATTCAACAAGAAATCAAAAACACTTGTCCCCTCTGATCTTTCACCTTCAGAATCAACAGTATTAGTATTACCATTCCCACCCAAACTTCTGGTATCAACAAATCCAAAAAATCCATAAAACACATTCTCCTTAGCCTCTTCAGCATATATCTTATCATAAATAAACTTCATCTTAAACTTCTCCATCTCCTCATCATATTTCCCAAATTCAATAGGATCATATTCCAACTTGGTAAGCATCTGGTTATATGCATCAAACACGGGATTTTCCAACAACAATCCCAATGCAGGAGCTTTTGGAATATTGATCTTTTCTTTATTAAAGAAATCCTGAATAATCTCTACGGGACATCCAATTCGAACAACCATACTGGCCATACTCACCATTTTTCGAATTTGGTGGAGCATGAATGACTGTCCATGGATTCTGATCGATATCCATTCCGTATCCGTGCCCTCGATGACGAATGGGTCCAGAACTTTGGTGGAGATGATGTAGCGTTGGGCCAGTTGGTCCTTGAAGGATTTCCCAATGGTGAAGTTGTGGAAGTTGTGGGTGCCTTGATATTGTTCCATGGCGGATCGGAATTGGGAGAGACGGTTGTTGGGGATACGGTAGGCGCGACGGGATTGGGTTTCGATTTGTTTGATGGATTTGAGGGTTTTTCCGTAGGTGGTGAGTTCACCAGATTCTGGGTCGATGGTTGGTGTCGGGGTTGGAGTAGCCGTAGAGGAACCTGGGAGTTCGGATTCGATGGCGGTGCCGATTGAATCGAGTTGGGATTGGGAAATGCCGGCATCGAGGATTTTTTGATTAGTGGCCGCCCACCATGCTTCACCTTCTGGATCTGGATGGAACAAGTCCGGGTTCAGGGCTCGTTTTGATTTAACTAATTCCGCCATGACCGTGGTTGGTTTAGGAGGTAATAATGAATAAGTAGGTAATAAATATTCATAAACCCTTGAAGAACATAATTTCCTACAATCAAATGATTTAGTCGTTCTTTGAATTCCCCAAATTCTGATTTGGTCCGGTAATTCAGCATTAATTTTGTCTTTGATATCCGGATCTTCAATTATCATCTTTAAGGAAATGACATTACCAGCGGCATGGACCCCCTTATCGGTTCTAGCAGCTCTCATGAATCCTGATTTCTTAATATCGTCAGCATTTTCTGGTGAGATTGCTCCGGCACGGGCCATGGCTTCATAGATATCACGTTCGATGGTTTTGATAGCGGGGTCATTTTGAAGTTGCATACCATTATATCCAGTTCCACAATATCCTATCATGACTGCACATTTCTTTTTTGGTTTTCTTTCTGATTTAGGAATTGGTTGACCATTTTCATCTAATCTAGGAACATATGGACTAATCAACAAGGGTTAGTATATCACTTTTAACGGTGTATTCAGGGATTAAGGTCCTGGGACATACGTACGTTGAGTTCTTTTGTTCATATTCGTTCTTTCTTCTTTCTTGAGCAATTTCTCTTCTGGCTCTTTTCTTGTCATTTGACCTATCGCCCGTACGAGCACGAGTCCATTTCGATTTTTGATCACGGTGTTTATAGGAAGAGTCATCGATTTGATCATCATATTGAATGACTGGGGTGGTTGATGATGACTCGACGGATTGAGGTGTGTCGTGTTGTGGTTGTTCCTCTGACATGATGGTTGTTGGTTGTTGAAAGAAAAATTTCAGTCAAGTAAAAAGTTTTTCAGAGGTGTTCATTAATTTTTCAGTTGACTTGTTAGAAGCTCATCGCACTTGTTGATCAAAAAAAATTCCAATAAATTATCTCGAAGATTTATTAGTGAATACTCTTTCTTTCTTTTTATAAATATATATATAGACTAAACAAGAAACCAAAGATGAGACAATTAACAGAAGAAGAAACAAAAGTTGTATTTGAGAAACTAGCCAACTACATCGGTAGGAACATTTCATTCCTTATAGACAACCCAACCAATCCGCATGTCTTCCGTCTTCAAAAAGATCGTGTATATTATGTTTCAGAACAAATATCAAAATATGCTACCCTGGTACTGAGACAACAATTAATGTCATTAGGTACGTGTTTTGGTAAATTCACCAAGACGGGGAAATTTAGAATTCATATTACAAGTTTACCTTATTTAGCTCAATATGCAAAATTCAAAATTTGGATTAAACAAAATGGTGAAATGCCATTTTTGTATGGGAATCATGTCTTGAAAGCCCATGTTGGGAGAATGAGTGATGATATACCTGAACATGCTGGTGTTATTGTTTATAGTATGAATGATGTTCCTTTAGGGTTTGGTGTTAGTTCGAAGTCGACTAATGAAGCTAGGAATTTGGGTCCAACTCAAATTGTTGCATTTAGACAAGGTGATATTGGTGAATATTTAAGAGATGAAGATACTTTGTTTACTTAGAGTTGTGTATATTAGATGTTTAGTTCATGTATAATAATGAAATGATATTTGTTATATATTATTAAGTCTTTGTAGGACTTTTTTGTATGTACATGTTCATGGGGCCCATGGGACCCAGTAATATATAATATATAGATATGTATACAACTATTGCTTACGCAATAGTTTAGGCAACAGTTAAGATTGAAGCTTTTAATATATCATAAGGATTACCTTGAGAAGCAACATACAATCTTCTAGTAATCTTATCTAATTGATCTACTTCATCAAATCCAACATCAAGAACCTCTTCTTCTTTAACAACATTACCACTAGCATCTAATTTCTTTGGTTTTCTAGCAATATAATCAGGACGATTAACGACAATTCCAGTATAATTCAAAAATCTAATCCATTCTTCAGCTTCATCAAATGAAAAATTAGCCACTGGTAATTGTTTAACTCCATTGTTTAATAATAATTTATCAGCATAATCAACATAGAATTTAGGTGGTTGTTCATAGGCATTAAATTTAGTTGGATCAAGTGCGACTTGCAAGGTTTGTTGCGGGTTGTATGCTGATGAAGTAGCTAATAAGACACCACCTTTAGCGAAGGATAATTCTCCACTTATGGTTTGAAGAACAAAATTCCCTAATTCAAATTCATCAACCATGATTGGGGTGAAATCTGGATGTTTATATAAAGTTTCTGGATAATCGATGATTGAATTAATATCATCAATTGCAGTGAAGACGGAAATACCCTTATCTTGTTGGGAATGGAATTGTAATTGTTCAATAAAGAATTGGAAAGCATTGGTAGGGTTCCCTCTGGCGAATTCTTGAGTTTGAGTTAAGTATTCATATAATGTATTTTCATTTGCTTTTAATTGTAAATCTTTAGTTTTTGTTGGAATTATAATATCTTTTGATAATTTCAAGGTTTTGAAAATATCTTTATTTAATTGAACAATTTTTCTAATAAATCTTTTTGTTAACATTGGTTGTTGATATTTATTTAATTTATCATTTTTGATATAATCTGAAGTACCATTTCTTAACAATGAAGCATCATCTAAATGTAATACAACAATCTTTCTGGAATCGGCGGCGGTGGTGGTGGTGGTTTTAGATACTACAATTGCTTGAGTTATTAAAGTAGACTTACCACATCCTTTAGCACCAGTAAGAATGAATCTATTGTCTTTTGAAGGTTTCTTAGTTAATTCTTCAATAAACTTTGAATTCAATTGCGTTAAATTTGAACTAATAAAAGACACTGGAGTCTTGAACATTTCATGAAATTGATATTTCTTAAAACATCCACTAATCGTCAAACCTAATTGTAATTCTTCAGGATATGATTTAATCTTACTTCCATTACTTAATTCAATCAATTCTTTACCAGTTAATGGTACAATCCCATTTGGGAATTCACTGGCATTTGATTCTAATTTTAAATTTCTAATTGCATCTTTGAAACCGTAATGAGTCATACCTGATTTCTTAGGTTTCTTTTCTTCAGCATTTACCTTTTGCGATTTACGGGTGAATGCAACTGCTTTCTTACCACCTTTAACAGCACCTGCTGGTGGTTTTGCTAATAATGTTGGAGTAGTTGAAATTGATCTGACATTGGTGAGTTGTTGTGCTTGTACTTTTAAGATGTTGCTGGTAGTGGATCTCACCAAAGAGCTAGTAGATGATCTTAACATGTTTTGCTCCCAAGTGTCTATCTCTATCTCTAGTCAGAGTCCTATTCTATTGGTTCTCTATTGATAATTGGTGAGAATTCATAAAATTTAAAAATTTTTCAATTCGGAAATATTGACCAAAGGTACACGACCTTCAGATTTTTTTTTTTGGTGAGAAAATTTTTCAGTGTCTTTCTTTGGCTTCATCTCATCCCTTTGATCTTCTTCTTCTTCTTCTTCTTCTTCTTCTTACATCTATTGTTTAGTCTTCTTAAAGTAATGATAAGATCAAGATTAACAAGAGAATGTCAACTATTCATAAACCAATATAGTAATACCCAAATACGATGTATATCCTCATCCAGATTCAAACGTCCCAGTGGACCCAATAAACGATCATCAAAACCCTTCCCCAAACATCGATTCAAATCACAACCATCCACCAAAGGCACATCCACCACGCCGCTTGAACCAGCCCCGGAAACGAGTGTCTTCTCATTCGGGAAATTCTCACAATTAGCCCCCACCAAGACAGCTAAAGAAGTCTCGATTAAATCGGTCCCCATTGATAAAATTGATAATTTTGATCAATTGAGGATTTTTCCTACCGTTAGGGATGTCATGATTCAAGAAATTAAGTCACAATATTTGATAAAAGGTCCCAGAAGGAGTCTGATCGAGGGGGTGGAGATAAAACCGACCCCAGTGCAGATTGCCACGATAAGGAAGTTGAATCAGACTAGGACGGTGAAGAAGGCGAAGAATGTGGAAGAAGAGGAGGTGGAGATGAAGAAGGATGAGGAGACGGAGAAGAAGGAACAAGAACAAGAAGAGATTAGGACGAAGGTGTTTACAGTTGCTGCTGAGACTGGATCGGGTAAGACTTGGGCATATTTGAGTTCAATCTTGACGAAATTGAAACAAGATGATTTTAAATTATTTCAAGAATTAAATGGTGAGGTAGATGAGTATTATAGACTGAAGAAAAGAGGGGAGAGAGTGAGGTCGATGATTTTGTTGCCGACTCAAGAATTGGTTGAACAAGTCTATCAAGTCTTGCAACGCGCTGGTTCATATCCTATTGATTATGAGAAATTGAATGTACCGGGGAATTATAACAAGTTTTTGGAATTACAGGAGAATGAAACATTAGGACTTAATGTTATGAAATTTGGTACTGGTGATGCTCCTAAGGTTTTATTTGATGCTTGTGGACAATATGGAACTATTGATGTCTTGGTGACTACTCCGGCTAAGATTGCTAGTTTTGAAAATTTAAATAATTTCGGGAAACCATATCGAATTTTTAAAAATTTGCAATATTGTGTGGTAGATGAAGCTGATACATTATTTGATAAATCTTGGATTGAAGATACTACTAATATTATTAAAATCTTACCAAATTTACGAGATTTAATTATGGTTTCTGCTACAATCCCCAAAAATTTCCAAACTACTTTAAACAAACTCTTCCCAAAAGTAGGTAAGAAAAACAACTTAATCTATGCCGTCACTCCACAATTACATAAAATCCCTAGAACCATCAAAGTCTCCGTCTTGGATGCTGAACAATCCCCATATCATGGATCTAAATCCAGATGTTTAGCCCAGGCAATATATGCCATATCAAAAGATGGAACCGAACCAGGATTAATTAAACGTATTTTAATCTTCGTGAATCAAAAATCTGATGTTCAACCAGTTGTTCAATCCTTAGTTGAGAAATATAAATTCCCGGCAGAAGATATCGTGGGGATAGAAGGTAGTATACCCGTACAACAACGTTTGGAACTCTTGCAGCCATTTCTCCAGCCTGCCGAGATTTTGGATCCGGAGAATACAACGTCTAATATCAAGGTGTTGGTGTGTACGGATTTAATGGCGAGGGGGATGAATTTTGTGGGGATCAAAAATGTTATATTGTTTGATTTGCCGAATTCATCGGTGGATTTGGTGCATAGGTTGGGTAGAACTGGAAGAATGAGACAATCGGGGAGAGCATTTGTTATTGTGGATAGAAGGACAAGGAAGTCGTGGATAAAAGGGTTAGGAACTGCTGTACTTAGAAATATGACCATTGGATAGATTTAAGGTTTATAGAGAAAAGGTATGTTTATTTTTATGGAGAGGGAAAGGTGGAGGGTATTGGTTTTATGTGATGATTTAAAAAGATTTTTATGACGTTAGACTTCCGAATTTTTATGTGGAGGATATCTTTATTATCTGATTCAAATAACCAATACCCTAATATCTTATTTCAATTCGATGAACTAGAGTTTTACTAACAGATTACTTATAGGAACTTTTATTTGAACAATACATGTAAATAGAAATATTATTACAAATAAAAGAATACAATTCGGGTGTTATGACTTAATTTTCTATGTAGTTGCATACCCTGGGATTTAACTTTATCTACTTACCTTTGCCACATGGTATGATTAGACTATACGACCCAGGAAGAACAAATGACCATTTTAACATTTTGTGAGTGTGCTTATTCATAGCGTTTCTCATTGGTACTTTATGGTTTACATTCTCATTTCCTTTAGCTGGTTTTTATTCAAATCGTCAGAGATTTTGAATCATTAATGTCATGTGAAGGGATTCAGATCCTTGGAGAGTGGGATATACTTTTGGATCTGAATTTCTGGATGATATTAGAGATGAAGACTTCTGATGATTTTATTGTTTGATAAAGACTACTCTTGAATTTAAGTTCTTCCAATCATCAGATCCCTCTTGAGATGGTAAGAAGAGTTTTTTTGACAATTAGCTTCGTATAAATTCTCTATGTCGCCCAAGTTTCTGAACTAAAGACTTTTGATCTTCTAGACCACCTTTCGGGCCACAACCAGAGTTTGTTGATTTTTAGTAAATTCTGCTTTTGTATGAGGTTACTGATAAGCGATTGATGAGGGGCAATAAAAAGGCAAAGAAATAAAAAAAGTCCAATTAACAACTAACTACTCTCAAACATTTCCAGGAAATGCTCCTGGTGAGCCAATCAGGAGATCCAGTATTGGCGATATTGCTAAACTTGGAACCTAATATGCCTCTTGAAATGGGTAATATAGTTAATAAAAACTATTAAGCATGAACATATAACGTTTAACGAGACTATGATTTGATAATTATTTAAGGTTTTCGGATATAATAATCTACGGTCAAATCATATGGATCTGGTCTAATTCTTAATTCAACTTGTAATATTGTCTTACTTTCATAATAGTACTTCTTCTATTGTATTGTATTGTATTGTATTCTATTGTAAGTGTGTGTGTGTGGGGGAGAGTGTGGTGTTATTTCAGTTTTGTAACCCTCGGATAAACAACAAATTAATTTATTAATTATAATTTTGATAAGCAAAAATTTTCATTGAGTTTTCCAATTTTTCATCAACCACGATTTAAATTATTCTTATGATATAAATTTATATGATAAGAAAGTATTTATCAAATCAACTAAGAACAACAACAGCAACAGCAACAAGGACAATGTCACATTCAAGTCATAGTACAATTAGAGACATACAACAAGATATGTATTTTGGTACAGAAGTTCTTAATCGTGTATCATTCTTAAGAGAAGATAATGAATTTATAACTCAAAGTATATTTCATCCTTCAACAAGATTTATATTTTATCAACGTCAAAAACCTTTAATTCATAACAAGAATAAATTAACCATATTAACTAATGGTTCTAATCAAATTAATTTAACTGAATTAAATCATGGGAAAGTTGGATTTAGTAGTGATACTGGTAAATTACTGATTCAAACAGGATTATTTGATGGTATTCCTCAATGGAAATCTATTTTACATACTTGGAATAATGATAATCGTAATCAATCAGTCACAATTAGATCAGGCAATAAACCAGTTTTCTTATTTTTAGGATTACTTGATGAAAGTGTTGGATTAGATTTATATTCATTAAAATTTGATGATGAATGTTCTGATGAAAAATATTTAGATCATCAAGGTAGATATCAAGGAATTGCCTATTATGCAGTTGATATAACCCCCAATCAAGAATTATCCGATTCAATCATTTCATTCGTCAATAATTATATCAACCAAGCTTCACAAACACCGGAGAAATCTCCCTTGGATAATGGAATCTTTTTTACTCATTCAAGAAAACATTTCCTTGGATTCGAACATAAAGAAGCTTCATTATTCTCTCATGGGGCCATGTTTTTCCATTGGTTAAATAAAAATCGATTCTGTCCCGGGTGTGGCGAACCAACTATTCCAATCCATGCTGGAGGGAAATTATATTGTACAAATACAAAAATCGACATTAATGAAGATGATCCAGAAGGGGAAGGTGAAAAATTCGCATGTCCAGTCAAAAGTTCCCATGTTGCCAATGTATCTTTCCCCAGAACCGATATGGCAATCATCTCAACTATTGCCAGTAGAGATAGATCCAAGATTTTATTATCCTTATCTAAACGATATGCAATCACCAAGATGTATTCATGTACCGCCGGATTCATGGAACCTTCCGAAACGGTAGAAATCGCCACTAAGAGGGAAATATGGGAAGAAACTGGGGTGAATTGTAGTGAGATTGATATAATTATGACTCAACCTTGGCCATTTCCTTCGAATTTGATGATTGGTTGTATGGGGATTGTTGATTTTAATGGCGAGAATGAATCGATTCATTTGGGTCATGATAATGAGTTAAGTGATGCTAGATGGTTTGATACTGATTTTGTGAGGAAATTGATATATCCTGATGAATTAAGTGAGGGGGAAAAGGGTGAGTTTAACCCGGAGGGGATACTTTTACCAATGCCGGAATCTATTGCTTTCCAATTGATTAAATTGGTGGTTGATGAAGCAAATAAGAAACACAAGTTGTAGAACCGGCCTCTACCTGATATATATTATTAGTACTATTTTTAGATTTGATCAATTTTTAAAACGTTTGCAATTAATTTCATGATAAACCTCTGTTAAATAATTTGGATATAAATCACTTCTCTTCTTTGACAATTGTTTGCCGTAAATCTTATTTAAACTACTGAGCTTCGAAAAATGAATGTGTATACCTTCATTCATCATTGAACCTCACCCGGAGGTCCTCGTTGCTGTTATTTGGAACAGCATTCAACACAGGTTGATCAGCTTGTCGAATCGTACTCGTGCGTGGTTCTTACCTTGGCTGACAACAGTCAAGCATGTAGATCCGAGATGAGTATAATGATGCTCACTTTGGTCCCCAGTGTCCTCGTCGTATACCACCCTCTACTACCATGTCTTCCTAAAGTGCTATGGGTCTTAGATGTCCGGCCACTTGGGCCAGCCATCCGTTCTGGGCACCCGTGGAACTAAGTGCACCAGGGATACAGTATCGACACAATTCTCTACATACCAACATTGAAAGCTCCCAAATGACCCCACCCTATCCAGTATTGAAATCCCATTTGTATCCACATTCTTTCACCACCATTGAACTCCACATCAAATTCTTCCCAAATTCTCTCCCACCATAATTACAAACCTATATAAAATTCTACAATCTCTATCACGGAACTCCACATCAATTTCTTCCATCATCACCATTGAGATACCAATTCAAATCTCCACCACCAACACCAATATTCCACCACACCACCATCAAAGTCCAAATTCCAATCTCCCCCAACATCTAAATATCCACCACATCTAATCAAACTCTTCTACCACGTCCTCAAAATTCAAAATCCAATCTCCCCCAACATTCAAATCTTCACCACATCCAGTCAAACTCATCCATCCCAACATTCACATTTCCACCACATCCATTCAAACTCTTCCACCACCTCCATTCCAACTCTTCCACCAGCATCATCAAAATCCAACGTCAAATCTCCACTAGGAGCATTGATCTTCTTCCACCACCACCAACATTCAAATTCTTCCATGATCTCCATCAAAATCAAAATGAAATCTCCACCACCATCAAAATCAAAATTCAGCACCACTAACATTCAAACTTCCACCACTACCACCACCACCACCACCACCACCGTCAACATTCAAATTCTTCTACCACTACCATCAATATTCAAATTCAAGTCCCCATCATCTGCATTGATATTCTTTCACCGCCGTCATCAAAATGAAAATGAGAATCTCTACCACCACTATTGAAACTGTTCCAACACAACATCAAAATGAAAATGAAAATCTCCATCACCACAATTGAAGTGTCCATCAAAATCCCCATCACTATCCATTGAAATTGTTCATTGCCAAAATTGAAATCTATTTTTGTCTTGATTACAACCTTCTTCTTAATCCCAACCTAGATTAAGTCAATGCCTTCATCCACTGAAATGAGATTAAAACCCCCCCATCACACGAAACTAACCATTGGTCAGGTGGCTAATTTCAGTGTGAAAGGATTCCATACCCGATCCCATTGAAATTCAGTCAAAAACTCTTTCCAAATTGTACCATTGCCAACTCTTGAGTTCCATGATTGATCTATGATTTGATATAACTATGGTTGAAATATAGTATTGATTGAGAATGAATGGAAAGTTACCATAATGACCAACTTAGATCGAAGTCAAACCTTCATCCCCTGAAATCAGATAAGCAACCCCATCACACCAAACTAACCATTGGTCAGGTGGATAGTTCAATATGAAAGGATTATATACCCGATCCCATTGAAATCCAGTCAAAAACTCTCTCCAAAATCGTCAAGGTAGGACCAACCAATTAATTCTTCATGCTATCTTCTTTTGTGTGTTGAAATAATAGCAATGGTTGTCAATTAACTTCAATGGGATGATAGTATCCTGAGTTGGTGACGAGGAAGTAGGAATGTTGGAATGATGATTGTGGTTTGGAAGAAGTTTCAATTTTGTTTCTGTGGAGGTTAACCGCCTCAAAATAGATCTCATTTTCCTTGTTAATAACTTTGACAAGAATATTTTTTGGAACATTAAAAGACATAAGTGGCTTTGAGGGATTGATGGTATTGATGATATTGATGAGTTTGGAAGAACTGAATACATTATTAAGTTGGTTGGTTTTTCTTTGTGGGCGGTAAAGAAGAAAAGAATTGAAAGAAGTTTCAATTTTTTTTTGTTTTGCAATCTGAGCGTAAAAAATATTAAATGTTGCAAATTTTCGAAGTCAACACAAAAAACAAAAAATAAGAATCTAGATCTCCATAGACCAACAACACAGACTAATTCTAGCAGCGATAATTACGCCCGGCGTGATTAAGGATATTTTAGGAAGGGTAATTTTTCGTAATAGTTTTCTCGTTGTGATGTATGAATAATCAGTACCATTAATCTAAGAAGTTTATTCTCTGTTGGAAGAATGAAAATTAATTGATATGTCTGAAATTTTTGGATTGATTCGATTGGACTGAATTCTTTCGTTAATGCTAACAGATTCTTCTTTAAAGAAATACTACCAAACGCTATTTTCTTAAAAACAAAACGTTGATGCCCGTTCCCTGTCTAGTAAATGAAAGCGTAGAAATGTTTCACAAGTAGTCCTGCCACTGCCTCTTTGATCAAACCAGATCTCATGGTTAATAGTGATAGTAAGTTGGATTATAAAATGAAGAATCATTCATCCCTCAAGTCATCTCCCGTACATGTAGTCTTATTGAAAAATGGTCGTGCAACATTTTCAAATAGTAATTGTTGGCCAGGTTTTGATCCATACATCACTATTCATCAACCAACCTCAATCCGTAACAACAGTGATATCACAACTGCCCGAATTAGATCAAATTCTTATTTATACGGCAAAAAGTCTACAAGATATATCAAAATTATGGATCACAAGCTTACCAAAAGGTACTATACCAAATGCTACACGGCCTCTTTTGAATGATTTCATGAAGGGGTATAATTTATGATCAAAAGGGTAGTGGAAAGACATGCGTGTGGTGGAGGCGATTTCACAACAAATTTAGAAATTTGTGAAATGGTGGGAATAATTCCAACAATCCCTTCAGACTTATTTGCAAACCTCCTCAATACCCTGGTGAGGATAAAATCTCCTATATTGAACTTTAAAGGATATAACTTTAACAAGAATGGCATCAGAGTGAGGCTAGTTAAGTTTATTCTTAATCTTGTAGTAAGCAGTTAACTGGTTCCCCAATATGAGAAGTCTCCAAGCCTATTTCACGGACAAATTTAGCAACTATATGTGATTATCTACTATTTACCCATCCTATCAAATGAATTGGCTAGTACAATCTTATCAGATCTCATAGCATTATTCTCATTTTGTCTTGGTAGATAAAAAGACAGCAGTTTTTATTTGCAACAAATTTTTTTTTTACAACCAAATTGAATTTGATCCCTAATTTTTTTTTGGCAGCACCAGCAATTCCAACTAAATTAAGAAATTACTGGAGCCAATCTAAAGACCTGTCAAATATGCAAGTTAATAGTAAGCTTCTGCTACATCTTCTAAGCTGTTTGTCAATATTTTCATATCACGGATAGGGGTTTCTTACCGTGTTGTACGAAGTCTAGAAGTTTTATTAAAGATTTGCAACATCTTTTCTCTAAATTCTTTGGCAAATCTGACGGGAAAGATTTGATTCGAATCAATTTTAAATTTAATCCAAAGAGTGCTTACGAAGATAGAGGTGTGTGGGTATCATATGTATATATCCAGATTTAATAATGGATATTGTTTATTACAAATCATCATAAGAATACTATAGAAATCTGGAAGAATTTGTTTTTCTTGCAACCAAATTAATTAATTAATTACCATAATTACCCCAGAAAATTTACAACAAAACTATCCAAAAGTTTTCTCCACCATATTTAATAGCACTTTAACAAACCATGCAACTTCACTTTTATTGACTCCTTCTTTGTATCTCCCTCCCTTTTCTTTCAGTGCAGAAACCCATTATTGTAATAAAAGGAAAAGGGAAGAAGAGACAATCAAATATTTGTACTTAATAAGCCACTTTCTAGCATTTTTTGTGATTTTTCCTTATAAGGAAAGTATTCCGGCCCGGGGCCATTCGGCTGTTTGGGCTTAGATGGATGGATGACCCGAGGGTGAAGATGGCGATGATGAGGTATCCTTCTTATATCTCTTTATGATTATATATTATATATATAAATAGATCTACAAAATCTTAGTTTTACTGAATCTAAATGATACTAAGACTTGCTCTTGCTCTACCTTACATATCTAAAGTAGAATGGGAATGAATTTGTTAACGAATCTCGAAAACTACAAATTTATAAATTTTTTTAATGTACCACAAAACAATACAAAGACTTGGAATGTATTAACTAAAGGCAGGCAGTGATATCCATTGTTCTACCACAAGCCATTTTGCCTTTGGGTTTTTTCGTCAGTAACCAAATCTCCTTATTAAAATATAAAAATGGAAAAACGTGGTTTGCCTCTCAAGGGTCATTTTCTTTTTTATTTAACCATCCTTCATTTGCACAACCTTTTTCAATATTCTTCGTGGTTACGTCCTTCGTGCTCCCTTCATTCGTTATCATCATCGTTATTATTATATCATGTCAACCATATCACCCGTAATAGTTGGTCATCGAGGTTTCAAGGGCCAACATCCTGAAAATACCCTAGTAGGATTCAAAGCAGCATATGATGTTGGTGCAACAGTCTTAGAAACTGATTTATGGTTAACCAAAGATAATAGAATAGTTATTAGTCATGATGGAAATACCAAAAGAGTATTTGTTGATCAAGATGGTAATGAAACTGATTATACCATTACTGAAACTGATTTTGATACTTTAAAGGAATTACGTACTCTTGATGGTGGATATCCTTTACTTAGTTTCCAAGATGTTTTGCATTTTTATAAAGATTATGTTGATAATAATGAAAAGGAACAAGTTTTGAAATTACAATTGGATATTAAAAGATTCAATCCTGCAAAGATTACTAAATATATAATTGAAGACTTACTTATTATTGAAGATGATTTAAATTGGTGGATCAATAGAATTCAATTTGGTATTTGGGATTTAAATTTCTTAAAATATTTAAATCAAGATGATTTCTTTCAACAAAAGTTTAAGGCAGTTGATAATGGATCAATGTTTGATATATTTCATATAAGTACCAATTGGAGAGATTCAATCTTTTATATTAATTATAATTATTATTTGGATGGAGTAACCGATAATGATAGAATTAAATTCAAATTAAGTGGAGTTTCATTAATTTATTTAGCAAGTTGGTCAGTTGGTTTCTTGACTAAATTCGTTCCATTATTAAAAGCTCAAGATTTAAAATTATATTCTTGGACTATAAATCATAGATTACAATATGATTATTTAACAAAAGTAGGTAAAATTGCTGAACTTAGCGAATATGGCGTCATTAGTGATTTTCCTGATTTGATGTTATCCTTCAAACATCAAGATCAACTACCAAAAGAAGAAGAAGTAGAAGAAACCACACCTTTGGTTGGCTCCATTACTGATTTATTGAGTGACTTAACTTTCAAACAAAGATTATCATATCATATTTTTAGTCAATTTAATTATTGGGCAGGTGATAAGAGATTAACTGAAGAAGAAAAACAATATGAGTTACCAGTTGATGAAAATAAAATTAGACATATTCAAATCAATTCTTATGCAGTTTGGTTATTCCATATTTGTCAAAAGTTTGGTATCTTTTAGAGAGAGAGAGAGAGAGAGAGAGAGAGATGTTGTACTATTTTGCTATGTGCGCATGGGTAATATAACCCCAATGGGTAATCCTGAGTTGCCCATTTAGATTAGATTATATAAATATATAATCCCTAGAAATGTATTTCTACCTAGTTGTTTTTATTATAGGAAATCTCAAGCCTTTGAGCTTCTCTCAATGTCATCATCTCTCAACTGGGTTTCTTGAAAGACATATTAAAGATGAGCATCGTGTTACTATCCCCTAAAATTCTCAAACTAAAACCGAATTTCCCTTACTAGGGACAGTATACCTCCAACATTTGATCCCGGAAAGGACCCTATCTACGACCATGGCCTAAAACCGGGTCCTACGAATCTCCTTATCCCTAACAGTCGTGTGTTTTTTTTTTGCAACCAAGTTATTGCTGACGACATTTGTGTCTTGCGACATCCATGTCGCCAAGAATTTTCAAATAAACAAATGAAAGCAGTAAGCTACTCATCTCTACTTTAAACCAAACAGTAAACAGAACATGGTTCTACCCAAATGATACTGTCTACTACTAAAATACGAAATGGGTATCCAACCATCATACATAATTGCATCTCAAGACGATATATAGCATATGGCTATAAACCAAGAGGTCTAATGAAACCAATCCCACCAAAACCCCCATTAACATTGATTCCAAAACGACTAATACCCATAAATAACCTAGATATAACCATTGATGAAGACAATGATACGATTCAATTGAATTCTCCTATAACTCTAAAACAAGCCTGGAATTGTTATTATGCATTAGGACAATGTCATGTTCGGCCATCGCATTGTGACGGGGATCGAATACGAATGAAATGGGATTCGATGACGGATTTGATGAGGGAGGACTTTAGGTTGACTTATGAGAAGTTATTGAAGTATGGTAAGGATGTATTTGATAAGAAATATGTGGATCTTAGATTGGTCTTGAGTCAGAATGTATCGGTATTTAGTGGGGTTAGGTTTTATGAACGGGAGGGGAAGATTATAATTGAGGATGGAATAAATCTAAGACATGGTAGGATATATTTTAATGCTTTGAATAATCTTGGAAATGATGATAAAGATTCTTGGGGAAGACTTCCATATGAAGACAAGGTTGAATATTTGGATGCGTATCGTAAATTATTATCTTCCGGGAGGGATTTATACCAAGGTAAGATCGTACCCGTTACAATCCCCCCAATTGAGAATACCGATGCTCCATATACAGAAACAGAACCAGAGCCAGAGCCAGTACCGGAAGTGGAAATTGAGATCAAGAAAGGTAATATAAATAAAAGCTTGTTCTGTAGTTTTTATGTTTCATTAAAACGGCCATTTTTTTTACCATTCGGACAACCTAATGTTGACCATCTAGGTCAATGTGAATTTCAAACACTCTCAACAGAACAATTGGATTATTATTTAAATATATATCTTGATTGGAAAGCAAAAACAAAACCAAAACCAAAACCAAAACCCAAGAAGCATATAAAATTAGAGTTTAAATTATCTGGAGATACGGCTACAGTTATAGGCGAACCTAGTTATAAACAAGTTCATCGCTATTTTAGATTCGTTAAGTCAGGAGAAGTACATTTGTCGAAAACACCCAATAAAGCTAAAATTGATGCTATTGATAAACAATGGATGAAGATGTCATCAGAGGAAAGGAATGAATATAAATTGCAGTATATGAAATTATTAGAAGGTGGTTGGACATTGCATCGCATGAAATTAATCCCAATTCGAGAAAAAATCGAAGCTTTGGAAAGGTACCGTATACAAAGAATGTGGGGAGCAGTTAGGTGGTATCATTTCTTAAAATTAAAGTTGAAATCGGGAAGTATCAATGGTAGTGATACGTCAAATTCGGTCTTTGATAAGTTATACACAGAATGGAAAATGTTAACTAATCGAGAAAAACAATTAATCCAAAAAGAACTCGAATCCCTAGTCCTTTCTGAAACCAATGAATTTCAATCACCAGAAATTGCTCGACATGTATTTTCCTTAAGACAAAAAGGAGTTTTCCAAGAATCAAAATCGTAAACAACAATACCAGCACAAGCTGTATATAAATTTACTTAATATCGCGGTAAACGAATGAAAGAATTGACAATTACGGGGAATAATTTCAATTACACGCTACGAATGATTGGACAGGAATAAAGATTAAGGACAATCCAAGAATATGAAAAGGTTAGAAATCGATATCTTGCAAAAGTTTCCGACTCTTCCCCGAGCGATGCAGAGACTATGATTCCAAAGTTAAGAAACGAAGGAAAGATCGGTGGTGATGGTGGTGGCCGAGAGAAAGTTGCAAAGGTAGATCAGGCTTAGACAGATTGGGGAGATTTGTATATAGATATTGGAGTTTTAGATATATAATGCCGTTTGTATTCATTTTATAGAAGAATATTACTCTTAGGTTTCGTGTTAGCCGTTTCTCGATGATTTCTCCACATCGCGTGTTGCCTTGCGAGGAAATATTTTTTTTATCACTTTTTAATCTCTAACTCACTCTTTTAGGTGATGGCCGGATTCTCCAAATGTTAGTATCTACTAAAAAGCAATTGAATTCATATCCAAAGATACTCAATTGGAGTTCAAAAAGATATAAGTCACTTCCATCGATCCCTGGGAAAACTTCAATTCCATTACTCCCCAAACGAATAATCCCAATCAATAAACTCGATGTTACCATTGACAAAAAGAATAGAGTTCATTTGAATTCCCCAATTACACTCAAACAAGCATGGAATTGTTATTATGCCCTATGTCAAAGTTATAAGAACATATCATGCACGAAATTACCTCGTGTTACGAAAAAATGGCTTGAAATGACTAATTTAATGAGAGAAGATTTTCGAAAACAATATGAGAAATTATTGTTGAGTGGACAAGATATAGCAGATAAACAATATAGAGATCTTAAGTTAGTTTTAGCTCAGAATAAATCTGTACTTAGTGGGGTTTCATGGAGAGAGAAGGAAGGTGATGATCCCATTATAATACTTGACGATGAAGTGAATTTAGATCATGCCCAGAAATATTTCAACGAATTGAATGAAAATAATAATGTCCAATGGGAAGATCTTCCAGATTCAGAGAGATTCGAATATCGAAATGCATATCGTGAATTATTATCTGCCGGTAGGGATATGTACCAGGGCAAGATTGTTCCACTTACAACCTCCCCTCAAGAGAATAACAATTACGTCAAACCGAAACCCGAACCTAAAGTCAGAGTCACATCATTTCCACTACGTAGAAGTGAATTACGAACCTTTTATGTCAAATTAAGAACCCCCTTTTTTGTACCATTTGGGTTTGTGGAAGCAAAAAATCGTGGTCAGTCTGAATATACAAAACTTTCAAAAGAGGAATTATTATATTATGAATTAATCTATTTCGATCTTAAAGCAAGAACAAGAGCTTCCACCCTCGAAGCTTTACTGGCATCGGAACCACCCTCAGAACATATAAAACAAAATAGTGCGATTAAGAGGGATCCAGATGGCCTGATTCGAATTTCGGGAGAAATAACTTTAAAGGATGCACTTGTATATTTTGAATATATGAAACTTCGGAAATTACGAAAGGTGCAACTACATGTACCTCGGAAAGATTATCTTGCTGTTCTTGAAGAATGGAAAAAAATGACATTGGAAGAAAAGGAGAAATATCGATTACAATATAAAGATATGATAAAGTATGGATATATTGTACACGATAAACAATTGGTATCATTACTGTCAAAAGTAAAACCCAGATATGAACCACAGAAAGATCGAGAAATACTTAAACATCGTCAAGGATTTCGATATTATACATTAAAAAGAGCATCCGATTTAGGTGATTCGGAACGAAATGTTCGACCACAGACAAGAAAAGAATGGAATAGTTTCACACCCGATGAAAAGGAAGTCTGGTTTAATGAGCTAGACAAACACGTATATCAAGGAAAAGAAGAATCCCAATCAAAGGAGATGATTCGTTTCATATATACTATAAGGCGTAGCATAATGAAATCAAAATTTGAATCCGGAACTTGTCCGATACCGGATCAGGTGCGAGTTTATTATTTTAAAAAACGATTGAGAGAATGGGATAATCTTGGGATGATGCGGCGGCTGGTGTATAACATCGTTAATCGTGATTGGAAAAACTTGCCAATGGACGAATATAACCAATTGGAAAGTGAGTGTGCAGAATCAATGTCACAGAGTCAATTGTCTGAGAAGGATTTACGAATTGATGAAGTAAAGTCGGATAACCAGGAGGATAATAGCATCAATCAATAGAAACGGCTGGTTGCAAGCGTTGTTGAAGTTGATGAGATTGTTCATAGTGGCAGCTTGGATAAAATAATTAAATTGAGCACAAACTAACCTTATTATATTTGGCAATAAGAGTTGATTTGAGACTTGTGTGTTAGATATGTGGAAAATGGTACGCATAAATTTCATGACATAGATATTATAGCACCTTCCGAATATTTATACTATAGATGTAGAATAGAATTGATTTACTATACCATTCAGACTCTTGTGTTTACTTTATAGATTAATCAGTTTCTAAACAATTTCTTATATTATGATTTTTTGCTTATTAATTGTAAAAACCAAAGTGATTCGCAGACATACATATTTATCCCGCCTTCTCTCTATAAATCAGAATTTTTCAATTGAGTGAATTTGCATACTATTAATAATAAGATTATTTATTCTATCCTTTAAACACAACTTTTTTACTAAAGGGAATTGAAAATTGATAAATTATGCCTGAAGTTGCTGAAGTATGTCTATTTGCTTTTCATATATGTCTACACTCTAACTAACTAACTAACTTTGTAAAATAGGTTGCACATATTTGTGCATTATTAAGAAGAAATATTATTGGATATAAAATTAATAAATTAATCCTTCAAAATGATTCCCTTTTATTTCCAATATTAAAACAATCAAATGATCCAATTAAAGAATTAAATCAATTAAATGAATCAATTGTTAATTCTATAATTTATTCAATTGGTCGTCATGGGAAATACTTTTGGATTAGATTGAAGAATATCAATAACAGTACCAATAATGAACAAGGAATATTATTAATGCATTTTGGAATGACAGGAATGATTAAGATTAAAAACATTAGTTCTCATTTAATATTTATGGAGAATGGGGGAGATAAAAAAGTATTAAAATCAATGAAGAATGAAGAATTAGGAGAAGAAGATATTGAAGTTAAGAAAGATGACGAATGGCCCCCTAGATTTACTAAATTTGAAATGATATTAGAAAAAGAAGGAAAACAATTAGAATTGGCATTTACTGATCCAAGAAGATTAGGTAGGATACGATTCTTAACCGGAGATAGTATTGGCAATGATAATGACTTACTAAAAATGAGCCCATTAGACGTGTTAGGTCCAGATTATAGTAAAAGTAGTAACAATAATGTCAAACAAGATAAGTTTGAATTTGGAGATCCTGATCCTGATACTCATGGAAGACCAAGATTAGACATTAAACAATTTAATAAATTAGTTTTATCCAAGAAGAAACCAATTAAAAGCTTGTTATTAGATCAAACTTGTTTTGCTGGTGTTGGGAATTGGGTAGCTGATGAAATTATATTTCAAGCAAGATTACATCCAGAAGAAGTGTTATCTAGCAAGGTACCTTATATTGAAGACGCGTCAATTGATCCTATAGTACAAAAATTATATGATTCTATTATATATGTATGTGAAGAATGTGTGAGAGTTGAAGGGGATGTAACTAAATTCCCAAAGCATTGGTTAATGATTCATAGATGGGGGAAAGCAAGAAAATCTCAACCGAAACCAAAGACTGGGGATGGTTATACTGTTGATCATATTACAGTTGGTGGAAGGACTAGTTGTTATTGTCCTGAAATACAAAAGTTACTCCCTAAATTGAAGCATGAAGAAGAAGAGCAAACGTCAACCTCATCTCCACAACCAAAAACAATAAAGAGGAGAAGAATCAAGAAAGAATGAGCCCAGTTTTAGACTTTCATTGTTTTATTGTTTAAATTGATTATTAATCATATAACAATTGTCTGGGCTTCCATATGTTAATTAAAAACTTTAATTGGCTGCGAAAAAAAAAATAATCATTCATTTTTATTTGTACAAAGTTTTTACTTTACAACTTAATTACTCCACCACTTCTTTTTACCCCACTACAGACCTTTTTTGCTATCAATTGCTAAATGAAGCTACAATTAACCATTGCTAACAATTGCTAGATATAAATATCAGACTTTTTCCTTTTTCCTTCCTTTCCTTTTTTCCCCATGTTTCCAGATCTGTTGTTGTTATTAATTTTACTATTTGAAATTGAACGGATTAGACGGTTTCAAACATTGCTTCTATATATTACCAGCATAGAATACCTGTCACCAATACCCTCGTCTACTATCTTTGCTAAACAAATGACAACTTTGCTTGCTTTACCAGATGAGATAATATTGGAAATTTTAAATAATTTCAATCAATTAATACTCCTAAAATTACGAGCGGTGAATAAAAGATTATACCGATTATGTAATGAAAAGCTATTCTCATCGATATTTGTGAATAATGGAGGTGGTCCTAAGATTTTAATTAATTATGATATACCCACTACTACGTTTTATCAAGAATATTTTATTTTTAATTATTATGAAAAATTCATTCAATTCTGTCTTAAACCATATATGATTGAATATGTTAAAAAGTTGGTATTTTTCAATGATGATATTGATCCTAGAGCTATTAGAAGTTTAATTAATATGTATCCAAAGATGAGTATATTTATAGAACGACAATGTGGGAAATATCTACAAATAAGAGAATTTGATATTGGTAATACGTTGAATAAATCAATGATCACTTCATTTGCTATAAATGCAAATTTTGATCTGTGGGGAAATATCCTACCTGAATTATCAAGATTGAATACCTTACGAATCAATAATGGATCAACTGAATTATTCAATCAATTCCAATATAAGAACATCTATCTCGATCAACTCAAAGAATTTTCACTCGAATTACGTGAAAAACAACCATCATCTACAAGTTTATCCACTTCAATGTCCAAAGTATTCAATCTAGCTGCCATCCAGAAACTAGAACTCAAATTCATTTCCAAACCGCCCCTTGAAGCCGATTTAGTCAATCTCTTCACTCAATTGTTCTCATTGAAACATATATCCATAATCAGTCAAAATATTCGATTTGACGAACTCATAAAACAATTAATCCCCAATAGTTTGCATTCGTTGTATATAAATGTAATTGGAGGCAAAAGTAATAATAATTCATTTGAACCAATTAGGATATGGGAAATTTCCAAAACTCAGTGTGAATCACTTGTGAGACTTGGATGGTCGAATATTATTCATAATCGAAAACTGAAATTATATGGCTTGTTAGAGTTTGAGAGAATTTATGAAATGGGGGATAATGATATCGAGGAGGATGATTGTGATAATGAGAAGATTGGAAAAGTAGATAGGCTTTTGAGAGCGTATGGAGCGTATAGAAATTTGAGACAGGTTGTTATTGATGAAGATCAGTTTATGATTGAGAGAGAAATGAGTGTTGGTGTTGAAATTAGAAGTATTAGATAGAAAAGTGTGAGTTAATTTAGACAGGTAAGTATTTATAACTACAGCTGTTTCTTTTGCTCTAAAGATATCAGTTCTCGTTTCTGATAAGTTAACCGGATAGACGTCACCTGCAATCGCTTCCGGTTTTTCTGTTTAAAGTACAGCAAATAGCTTATCATTTAGAAAAACCAGCAACTGTATTATGGAACCTCTATAAATTCTATATGAAGCATTTCCAGTAGACTACGACCTGGGTCTGCTTCTCCGTTAAGATAGATACTTATTCTATATATGAGCCTAACCATATTCAACCTGCGCTACAGCTAGACAACTACACACCAGCACGTGCATACATGTCTCTCTCTGTGTGTTGCCAGTAAAGGACTTGGCTCGGTATTAATTTTTTGCAAGTCCGGTATTTAAATAAATTTTTAGTCCCTCCACCATTTTTACTGGTTGTTAAATTGATGGAATGTAATGAAAGGTATTACATTAAGAAGAAGAGTACAATATGAATAACTTATATACTGCATTATCATTATCTCTAATAGCCAATAATAAGAGATTTGCAATATCTTCATCCAATTCAAATATTACAATTCCATCATTTAAACATCAAATATTACAACAACAATGTAAATTTAAACCTTCACAAATAGCAATAATTGATTTATTACAAATACATTCAACTATTGATTTAATTAATCAAATGGTTTATTCTGAAAATGAATGTGATGAATATGATGATGACAATGAGAATGATGAAACCGAAGTATATCTTAAGAATATTATCATTTGGCAGAATGTTCAACATTTATCAATAAATCAACATAAATCATTATACAAATTATTATTACAATTAGATGAATATGAAATGAATATTGCTAAATTTTGTACTCATAGATTACTGACATCTGTAGCTATAACTATAGAGAATCAAGAATTTAAAATTATAAAGCCTGAGGTATTCACAATTATATGTTTCTTAGATTATAATCTATATCAATCTCATAAACTATACATATATCTAAAGGAGAAAATCTGGTTATCAATCAACTATCATGACGAAGGAGCCAATCAAATATCGTTATCGCCATTATCTGAACCATATCTAGATTATATTGTTAGATTAAGGAAACAAATGTCCGAAATCTATGTAGCACCAGATATCAAACGATATATATATTCATTAATAGTGCATATTCGATGTCATCGACTAGCTTCTATATCACCAAAACTGGTCAGAGTACCTACTATGACTTTCGATTATATTACTGATTTCTGTAAGGCATTAGTATTATTCAAAGATATCCCAGAACGATTCGTAACTCCAGATTATGTCAAGATTGCAACTAGGATAATTGGATATTGGTTAGTTGATTGGGAATATAATCGAATGTTTTCAGATACTATAAAAAAACCACGACATATAGATGAAGAAGAGGAGGAAGGAAATGGTGATGAAGATTCAAGACAATTGGATTATTTAAAACGATTGCAGATCACTATTCTAAATGGTGATTGGTTTGGATGTGATTATTTCTTTGTGAATGAGTATTTGAAACATTCGAAAGCGCTATTTGATAATGAGAGTCCAACTGGGTATAGTAATAAAATCATTGAGGATGCTCTTACTACTGTGAGACCTCCTTTGTAAGGGTATTGTTTTATAGACTAATAGTTAATAGATAAAGAGAAGACAAATTCTCTGGGGGTAACGACTAACATAAAGAATGTGAAGTATTCCGTACTTGTAGAGGTGTTCTGTAAGCGTTTAAAACAAGTATCGATCACTTGATATAAGATCTGATAGAGTATCGGCACGGTAGTAGAATAGGAGGTGTAAACAATACGATTACGTAATATATTACGTAATTAGTTTTGGGGGTGGACGAAAAAACTGAAACAAATGTGTTGTAAAAAAAACGAACTGAAAACTCCACCGAATCTTCCACAGAAAGCCTTTTCCTTTTACACTTTTCAATTACATCAAGCCAAATTATAACAATTACCATCTCCAATCATCAACAATCAATCAATTAAAACATTTAGAGACAAACAAATATATAAAACATACACATCCCACTCATAAACAAAACAATTTGGTATAGAAATTTAGAAATTTTTCAATTCATAATAAAATGTCCAACGATATTCCAATTGATTTCACTGAATTGGCTCAATTGACCCAATTAGGGATTCAACAATCATCCTTGGACTTCAAATCAACCACTTTAGAATCAGATCATTATGTTTGTATCCGTGAATCCGGACCAAGTGGTAATTCAGTGGCAATTGTCAACTTGAAAAATAATAATGAAGTTACAAGAAAGAACATGACTGCTGATAATGCAATCATGCATCCAAAAGAATTTGTTATCTCTTTGAGAGCAAATGGTACTACTTTACAAATTTTCAATTTAGGTACTAAACAAAGATTAAAAGCTTTTACTATGAATGAACCGGTGATTTTTTGGAAATGGCTTAATGATCAATATTTAGGTTTAGTAACAGCTTCAAGTATTTTCTATTGGAATGTGTTTGATGGTACTAATGATGGTCCAATAAGGTTATCTGAAAGACATCATACTTTATCTCAAGCTCAAATTATAAACTTTGTTGCTGAACCAGATTTAAACTGGTTTGCAGTTACTGGTATTGCTCAAGAAGAGGGACGTATTGCTGGTCATATTCAATTATATTCCAAGTCTAGAAATGTTTCTCAACCAATTGAAGGTCATGTTTGTAAGTTTGCCTCGATTTTATTGCCTGGTGCTACTCAACAAACTAAAGTTTTCTGTGTTGGTAACAAGAATGCTCAAGGTCAAGGTAATATGCATATTATTGAAATTGATCATGTTGAAGGTAATCCTCACTTTCAAAAGAAAGCAGTTGATATTTTCTTCCCACCTGATGCCACTAATGATTTCCCAATTAGTTTACAAGCTTCTAATAAGTATGGTATTATTTATGTTTTAACCAAGTATGGTTTTATTCATTTATACGATATGGAAACTGGTGCTAATTTATTTGTCAATAGAATTACTGCTGATCCAGTCTTTACTGCTTCTAGTTATAATGATGATACTGGTATTTTAACTATTAACAAATCAGGTCAAATTTTAAGTGTTGAAGTTTCTCGTGAAAAGATTATTCCATATGTTTTGGAAAAATTATCAAATGTTCAATTGGCATTATCTTTAGCATCTCGTGGTGGATTCCCAGGTGCAGAAAACTTATTCCAACAACAATTCCAAAATTTCTTGAATCAAGGTGATTATACCAATGCTGCCAAAGTTGCTGCATCTTCTGAACAATTACGTACTCAAGATACTATTAACAAATTGAAGAATATTACTCCTCAACCAGGTCAAATTTCTCCAATTTTACAATATTTCTCAACTTTATTAGATAGAGGTACCTTAAACAAGTATGAATCTATTGAATTGGCTAAACCTGTTTTACAACAAGATCGTAAACCATTATTTGAAAAATGGCTCAAGGAAGACAAATTAACTTCTTCTGAAGAATTGGGTGATATTGTTAAATCATACAATGATCCAGCTTTAGCACTTGCTGTTTATATTAGAGCAAATGTTTATATTAAGGTTGTTTCATGTTTAGCTGAATTAGGTCAATTTGATAAGATTTTACCATATTGTCAAAAAGTTGGATTCACTCCTGATTTCACCAATTTGATTCAAAATTTGGTTAGAGTAAACCCAGATAAAGCTAGTGAATTTGCTACGTCATTATTAGCATCTCCAGAAACTCAATTAAATGTTGAAACCATTGCTGATTTATTCTTTTCTCAAAACTATATTCAACAAGGTACTGCTTTCTTATTGGATGCTTTAAAGAATGATTCACCAGCTGAAGGTCATTTACAAACTAAAGTATTGGAAATTAATTTACTTCATGCTCCACAAGTTGCAGATGCTATTTTAGGTAATCAAATGTTTAGTCATTATGATAAACCAACCATTGGTAAATTATGTGAGAAATCGGGATTATTCCAAAGAGCATTAGAACATTATGATGATTTAAAGGATATCAAGCGTGTTATTGTCCATACTAATGTTTTACCTAATGATTGGTTAGTTTCATATTTTGGTGCATTAAATATTGATCAAAGTGTTGAATGTTTGAAGGAATTATTATCTAATAATATGGCGCAAAATTTACAAGTTGTAATTCAAGTTGCTACTAAATATTCCGGATTGATTACTCCACCAAGATTAATTAAGATTTTTGAAGATTATAAATGTACCGAAGGTTTGTATTATTATCTTGGATCAATTGTTAATTTAACTGATGATCCAGATGTTGTTTTCAAATACATTCAATCTGCTGCCAGAATGAATCAAACTAAAGAAATTGAAAGAGTTGTTAGAGATAATAATGTTTATAATGGTGAAAAAGTTAAGAATTTCTTAAAGGAATTTAAATTAGATGATCAATTACCTTTGGTTATTGTTTGTGATCGTTTTAATTTTGTTCATGATTTGATTTTATATTTATACAAGAATCAATTCTTTAAGTTTATTGAAGTTTATGTTCAATCGGTTAACCCTGCCAATACTCCACAAGTTGTTGCTGGTTTATTAGATGTTGATTGTGATGAAAATATCATCAAGGGATTATTATTATCTGTCTTGGGTAGAGTTCCAATTAAACAATTAGTTGAAGAAGTTGAAAAGAGAAACAGATTAAAGATTTTATTACCATTTTTGGAAAAGACTTTAGAAAGTGGATCTACTGATCAAGAAGTTTATAACACCCTTGCTAAGATTTATATTGATTCTAACAATTCTCCAGAAAAATTCTTACAAGAGAATGATAATTATGATACTTTAGCTGTTGGTAAATATTGTGAAAAGAGAGATCCATATTTAGCTTATATTTGTTATTCTAAAGGTGGAAATGATGATGAATTAATTGCAATCACCAATGATAATAAGATGTATAAATATCAAGCACGTTATTTATTAGCTAAATCCAATGAAGAATTATGGGCCAAAGTATTAACTGAAGGTAATATTCATCGTCGTCATTTGGTTGATCAAGTTATTTCCACAGGTGTTCCAGAATTAACTGATCCTACTCCAGTTTCAATTGCAGTTAAGGCATTTATGGACAATAATCTTCCTGACGAATTAATGGAATTATTAGAAAAGATCATCTTGGAACCATCTCCATTTAATGAAAATGCCTCATTACAAAACTTGATGATTTTAACTGCAATTAGAGCTGATCCATCTAAGGTTTCAAATTATGTTGAAAAATTAGATAAATATGTTCCAGAAGAAATTGCCCCATTATGTATTGCTAATCAATTATATGAAGAAGCATTTGAAGTTTACGATAAGTTTGAATTAAGAGATGATGCCATGAAGGTTTTAGTTGAAGATATTATGTCATTAGATCGTGGTGAACAATATGCTGAAAAATACGATACTCCTGATTTATGGTATCAATTAGGTACTGCCCAATTAAATGGTTTACGTATTCCTGAATCGATTGATTCATATGTCAAATCGAGGAATCCAAAGAATTTCGAACAAGTTATTGAAATTGCTGAACATGCAGGTAAAGAAGAAGAATTGATTAAGTTTTTGGATATGGCTCGTGAATCTTTAAGAGAACCAGTTATTGATGGTGCTTTGATTAATGCATATGCTACTTTGGATAGGTTGGCTGATATGGAAAGATTTGTTGCTGGATCTAATGTTGCTGATTTAGAAAGTATTGGTGATAAATTATTTGAAGCTAAGAATTATAAGGCTGCCAAGATTTTATATTCTTCCGTTTCTAAATATAGTAAATTGGCCACTACTTTGGTTTATTTAGAAGATTATCAAGCAGCTGTTGATTGTGCTCGTAAAGCATCCAATATCAATGTTTGGAAACAAGTTAATGCTGCATGTATTGAAAATAAGGAATTTAGATTAGCACAAATTTGTGGATTGAATTTAATTGTTGATGCTGAAGAATTGCCGGAATTAGTTCAAACATATGAATATAATGGATATTTCAAGGAATTAATTAGTCTTTTTGAAAGTGGGTTAGGATTAGAACGTGCTCATATGGGTATGTTTACTGAATTGGCAATTTTATATTGTAAATATTCTCCTGAAAAAGTTATGGAACATTTGAAATTATTTTGGTCAAGAATTAATATTCCAAAAGTATTAACTGCTTGTGAACAAGCTCATTTATATCCTGAATTAATCTTTTTATATTGTCATTATGAAGAATGGGATAATGCTGCTTTAACTATGATTGAAAGATCAGAAGTTGCATTTGATCATGCATCATTCAAAGAAATTATTGTTAAAGCACCAAATTTGGAAATTTATTATCGTGCTATTCAATTTTATTTGAATGAAAATCCAGCTTTGTTGGTTGATTTATTATCAGTATTAGCACCAAAATTAGATTTACCAAGAGTTGTTCGTATGTTTGTTAGATCAGATAATTTACCAATGATTAAACCATTTTTACTTTCACAATTGGAAAAGAATAATTCCGTGGCAAACTCTGCTTATCATGATTTATTAATTGAAGAAAAGGATTATAAATCTTTAAGAGATGCTATTGAAAATGAAGCAAGTAATAGATTTAATAAATTAGATTTAGCTGAAAGATTAGAAAATCATGATTTAATCTTTTTCAGACAAATTGCTGCTACATTATATACCAAAGAACGGAAATTCAATAAAGCCATTTCAATTCTTAAGAATGATAAATTATGGTCAGATTTATTACGTACTGTATCAATATCCAAATCCACCAAGATTGCTCATGAATTATTAGATTATTTTGTTGAAACTGGTAATCATGAATGTTTTGTTGCATTATTATATGTAGCTTATGAATTTATTGAATATGATTATGTGGTTGAATTAGGTTGGTTACATAATTTAGGTAATTTTATTAAACCATATGAAATTTCCATCTTGGCGGAAAATAAATCAAAATTAAATGAAGTTTGGTTAGATTTGAAAAAGAGAAAAGAAGCTGAACGTAAACAAGAAGAAGAACCAGGAATGGGGGGACAACCTTTGATGATTACTAATGGACAGATTGGAAGTGCTGGGATTAGTTATCAAGGTACTGGATTAGGATTCCAACCTACTGGAACAGGATTTGGAAATGTCTTTTAGAGAGGTGTGTGTTGTTGATTATGAGTTGAGTTTTTTTATTTAGTTTTATACATTTTAGTTTGTGATTTTATAAGTTGTTTTTATTAAAAAAGATATATTTTATACATAAATATACACATTGTTATTGTTTTTGATTGACTTGTTATGACTGAAATGTAAGTTCTGATTTCAAAATGTCTTTTTCTGTCTGGGTGGAGACACACCCTTGCTTTGCCAATGGGTAGTCTCATGAGGTTACACAAGAAAGACGCGTCTATTTCATACTAACTCTCTGTTAAATCTCTCTGTGTGTTAATATCAAACGTAAAAACGCGTCCTATTCCAAGCATATAAAGATTAGTGGGTGTCATGGGATTGGATTATGTATGATGGGAATGTCAACTTGGGAATACAGGAATACGGGATGCGTAGGAAGTGCTGCTTGCACAGCACTTGTTTAAATGTTGTAACTAGATACTACTGCGCAGCAGTAGTTATTCAATGATTTCATATAGATATTTGCTACTGCTGTGCAGTAGTGCTGCTAGCGCCGGGATATAAGAAAGCGCCATGGCGCTTTATAGTGCCACTGCTACGAAGTAGCTATAGTGCAGCTAGGGCAGCTATGACACCATATATTCATAAGGCGTATTGCACTCTATAGTGCTACTGCTACGCAGTAGCCATAGTGCTGCCAGGGCAGCATTTGTCGTTAAAGATATTCATAAAGCTACGCGCTTTATAGTGATACTGCATTTGTCCGTATAGATATTCATAAAGCGCGTTGGGCTTTATAGTGCTACTGCTACGCAGTAGCTATAGTGCTGCTTACGCAGCATCTATTCAATTATCCCCTCTTTAATCAACACATCAAACACCAATCTAAATCGTTTCAATAAATCATTAATTTTTGTATCTTTAACTATTGATTCACAAAATCTTAAATGATCTTGAAATTGTGGTTGATCATTCTTACTAATAATTTTCACCGTTTCAATTAAATCAATTGAACATAATAATTCAAATTCCAATAATATTGAAGATTTATGTTTAATTATTAATTTAATTCTTTGACATTGTAAATCTCGATTGATTTTATGAACCATTGGTAGATTTGATCTTAATTTTAATCCGAAATTGTTTCTTGTTAATGATTTCAATTGATCAAATTTATCATGTTTATATTGAGTTTTATGAATAAATTGTCTAATTTGTTCAACAAAAAGATGAATACTTTCAGTCAGTTCATCTAGGAGGTTGCTGTATTCTTTGAGGGGGATGTATTTAGGTAATGTATCTCTATAGATGATCCAATTACGTTTTGGTATTTGTAATTTATAATCAAATGAATTTAATTTCTTTAATATTACATAATGAGGTGATGAATATGTTTTTGTTGTTGTTGAATAAATATCAAATCTTAATCCCATTAATTGTTCTTTCTGGAGGTGTTTGTTTAATGGAAATGCAGTGATACCAGTCATTCTAAATATGTTTTCATAAAGAATGTTTTCTCTTAATTCAATTTCTTGTTGTATAATGTTTATTGGTGTATTCTGTTGTTGTTGTTGTGGTATTATTGAAGATACATTGGTTGAAGATTCAAAATAAGAACTAATACTTGAATCAAAATGACTATGTTTAATTAACTCAGGAATATCATAGTAGTTACCATCTATTGGTATGTCATTGTTCCTAGTGTTATTAGTAGCAGTAGTAGTCTGTTGTTGTTGTTGTTGTTGTTGTTGTAATTGTTGTAATTCATTAAGTAATTCATATTTAATTGATTGTAAATTATTAATATCTGATTGTATTACATTAATATCAGTTTCAATATCTTCAATATCATTTGCTAATATATTAACATCCATTATAACCCTTGTTGTATCTTATACAGGTATGGTATACTAGTTGATCTCTGATGTTTACAAATAAAATAAACTGTGTTTGTATGAGAGAGAAAATTAATCAATCACGTGATCTCTAATAAAATAAAATTATATGTTGAGCTTATTATAAGGGAGACAGTTCCCCCGGGTAAAGACTCTAAGAGAGAAGTTACATTAGGTCGGAAGCGTAGTTAAGCATGTTTGATGGCAGGGAAGCGCTGTGTTCTGTCCGTGGAGGAACCGAGTGATCGTGTATTGCAATATGGGAGGTGAACGTAATTCTATATAACTAATCTAAGTAGTCGTTGTAGACGAGAACCGTGAAAGGCCTCTTGTGAATGCGAGCTCCAAGAAAGACTCTTATTCTATCCGTTCCAGATTCCAATTCGAAGAAGGGGAAAGTCCACAGGTATTTGTCCTAGTCAGGCCGGACACCGTATGACGAAGATGTGACAGACGAAGAAGCTGGGCGTAAACTCAACCTAACACAAATGTAACGAGGCACCAATCTGAAACGCTTAGAGCGGACTCGATGCCAAGGAAGGACCAAGCATGTAACTTGCATTGTGGGAACCTCAGTCCGGGTTACTTTCATGCCACTTTCTGCTGTATTAGGTTTTCCGCAAGCAAGGCCGAAAGGGGGACGGCACTTAAACACATTCCTTACAGCTTAAATGAAGAATTTGCTTGGATTATTATTAATATTTTGAAGATTCTTCTATTTTTCTTAGGTCCTTTTAATTAACAAGAAAAATGTTAATTAGGGAGAATTTTCACCTCACCATGTCAAAATTCTAATCTAAGAAATTTCTTCTATATATATATAAATATATATATAGATTCCCACTTTTTCGTTTTTTTTTACAAATTACATATATTTATATTATTAGAGACTTCCTTAGAAGGTTTTATAATATTCAGTTTATTTTATATTTAATTTGGTTTTTAATGTTGTTCTGTTAATGCCATTTGGGCGGCATGGGAAAAACGCTAACAAAACTATTTTTATATGGGCGGCGATATGTTCAACAGAACAATCAATCATCAGATGATGATGAAAAAAATTTTAATATTTATAGATTTAAAAGAATGAAAGAAAAAAATTTCATCTTCTTTACATTTCAATACCAAAACTTATGATGACGTCCAACAGACCCCCCATCAGTATAAATTTGTCAATATTAACAGACTGTTTAACAACAGAATGAACTTTACTACTATGAAATAAAATACTATAACCTTTATTGTGAGGCAGACAGTAGCCGAGAAAAGAGTGGATTCACTTGTTTATTATTTGAACGAGAATTATATATATACGTGTTAAAGCTAGCTGCTAAATTATCATCATTGGTTTTAGGAATATAATATAGCGAGAGACCATATTCTCGAGTCAGCATCGTTACAGAAAACATAGCCGACTTTAACAGGAAAATCATCTTCAAAAGAATCAACACTATTAGTCACGGATGATTCTATTACTCTAGAAGTCTTATAGTTTATAAGCACGTCTATCAAGAATATAGAATTTTCAGAAAGTTTATTCAATCTAGTAACAGTTGGAACAAATGGAAAAGCATAACAGCTGAACGGTTTCAAATATTTATAATCTGGAAGGTGTCTGTAACTCCAGAGATTGGCACTAAAAGTTCTTTACCATCAATATATTGAGGGCTGGCAAATGAAACCACCAATAGCTGCTCGATCCAAACTATATGTAAAAAATGTAAGTCACTAATTGTGGATTATAGATAAACAATGATGGTAGTTGCATTAATTTGGTCTTCAAGATTTGGAAAGCTTTCGTTGATTCTGGTGTATGGTTGATGTGGACCTTCTTTCCTTTATCCTTAATTAAATCAGTCAATGGAGCTGTAAACATTGATAAATCTGGGATGAATTGTCGGAAAAAGATTGGTAAAAGTTCACAATAGCATAGAGACGGTAGCAACATACCCGTAGCAACAGGACCTTGTGGAATATTAATCAGCCAAGGGTAACCTAGCAGTTTGTATATCAAGGGTCAATAAGGATGTATTAACAAACTTATGTCAAAGAGTACTAATCTAGTTCAGAAATTCTCCAAATAGCAGTGTCTGAAAATGATGAAGGATACACCGAGTTCCTCACGTTGAAATTGCATATAGGCGTTGTGATGCAAGTTGGCACAACATTACTTCATGTCCACCAGTCGGTGTCATAGATTTTTGCATAATCTTAGCAGCAGTTGCAGGAGTACTAGTACCAAACATTGTTTGAAGACGTGTCCATAATTCACGTGGATCATAACCACGCATAGCCTTGATAATTTCTGGGCTATAGAGTTGGTAAAGCCCCATTCTAAGAAACGGTCAGCAGTCAAACGAAATTTAGTTTGAGTTTCTAGAGCAACAACATCTAAGACCGGGTGCAACTGGATCCGGGCCATCATGATGGCAACACCAATATAACCAGCGAATTTAATCTATTGCTGGGTCTAAACCCCGATTTCATGGAACAATATATGTATCAAATTCATACTTATACCCAAAATCATAAGTTGGTCCAGTAATTATGTACCCCGATACAAAATTTGAGAAAAATTTATCAAAATTAAAATTGGTAGAAATATCGTGATTTTCATTGTTAATTAGTTTCTTTATTAAATTAAATTGGTTTGTTATTTACCCATATCTGTTCACAAACCCACCAAAGCAATTTGGAGAATGGGTTTATTGGTTGGTTGACTAGCTTGATGAAATAATGATTTTAAAAAATTCTTCTGTATATGCATGATCGAATTCTATTTCAAAACAAGATAGATTTGCTCAAGCATATATAGAAGAGTTCTTTAAACTAGTAATGTTATTCAAAAGAGTATAAAAAAGGGAATTCAAAATAGTTGATTTTAATGCTGGTTTTAAATATTATCCTATTTTTCCCTTCAGGAGATTTGAATATAAGACATCAATCACATATTTGATGTATGTAGATGTCATTATATTCATCTTTAGAAAGAAATAGTAGGATAAGGTTTATCTAAGTTGAGTAACAGGACTTTTTCAAATGAACCAGTACCATACGAAGAAATAGTTGAAACAACAGTATTTTTACGGGGTTTTAAGCACTCGCAACAGTATAGTACTGTCGTCAAGGCTAAATGATGAAGCCTTTAACTAAATGAAAAGTTCAAATCATTTCCTCTGGTTACCGATACCTCTAAGCCATGAAATCTCGTCAACCTATAGCAGTTACATAAACATCGAATTTCCTGTAGAGTAGTAGTTTCAAATTGATGCCTTCCAAGAAGAGAAATTTCTCAACGCCAGTGTAAATTTTATTGATAGAATCAAAAGGGTCAAGACTCAACAGGGGTAATGACTGATAACCCTTAAACCCAGTATCTTGACTCGTGTATTTACCACGTACTTACATTCATTTATCTCTGTTTTGGTAGGAAATAAAGAACAATGTGAAATTATTTAAATTTATTTTTAGTTTTGTTCCTTCATTCTTTTTCTTTTCTCTCGAGGGGCATATTGTATAAATTTGATTTCAACTTTCTTTCTTCAATTGACAGCTAATTAATAGATAGAACTACAAGCTGAGTAAGAGAGATGACTGATAATAATAATAACTCTTACTGGTCATGTGACTACAAATCAGGTATAAATTCATTAAAACAACAATCTTTTAAATCATTACAACAATTACATGAAACTCGTAAATTAGTTTATAATTATATGAATTATTATCATTCAAATAGTCAATATTTAAATAAATATAGTATAGATATGTTTCCTATAGAATCTATATTCTTTCCATATACTACCACAACTACAACCACAACCAATAACAGACCACGTATTCCTTCTGGTTCTTTTAGAAATTATCAACAAGTTACTCATACTGCTGCTAAGGATACTGCTCCTGCTGCTGATGCTGCTACAAAGGATACTACTGATACTCCTGTTGTCACTCTTGAAACTGGCTATACCAAATATATCGATCAAATGGCATGGGAATCTCGTTTATTACTTCAATTGGCATCTACTATCGATAAAGATGTATTGGAAGATTTAAAATTGTATTTAAAACATCATGAACCAAAAATTCATCAAGAATTTAATCGATTAGAAGAAATTTATGATGACTATATTGAATGCCATAACAAACTTCAGAAGATTAAATTGAAATATGAAGAACAAGTTAGATTACAAGAATTTAATAATTCAAATATCGCTATTAAGATTGATAACCAAGATGATGATAATGATGTGCTATCTTCGGCTGATACTCTGTATGTTGAAGAGGAACCAATACCAGAACCTAAGGAACCATCCCCAGAATCTGTGTTTAATTTCCCATTACCCATTGGACCAATTAAGATCAACAATAATGAAGAATTAAAACAATTTATCTCCCAATTGATTAATCAAACTCCAACAATTAAACGTAAAATTCCATTACCAGGTTATAGAAATGAAACTTTTAGTAGTGATTCATTATGTAAAGTGTTATCAAAATTAAGAATATCGGGTTTTACACCTTCTAGAGCAAATTTAGAACGATTTGGTCAAGCTTTATTGGATTTAAAGTTTTTGGTGTCTACTAGTTTCTTAAATAAGAAATTTAAGAGTGAAGGGGTTTGGTTTGAATGGTCTGATTTAGCATTTTTTGTATCTGAATTTAATAATGATAATAGTGAAGCACTTGAAGTTATCACTTCAAGGGGATCGGGTACGCCATCAATGGAAACAACTACGAAATTTATTAATGAAGTAGCGGAAACTACCAAAAGATTTGAAGGAATGTTTACTTCTATGAAAAGTACAATTCTCAAAAGTAATCATGCTGAACAAATGATTGATCTTGAAGAAAAATATAAATTTGAATATTTAGAACTTCAAGAATTGAAATATTTATTAGAAAATGGGATTTCATCAATTATTCAATATTTAGAACGATTTGAAAAGGTTAAAATTGAATTAATATATCGTAGTTTATCTCGATTACTGGAGATTTTGGATAGATATATGAAACAACAACTGAAACGAATTACAGATTTATCAACTGATTTCTTAACGAGAATTAATCATTCTAAGAATTATAAATATGATTTCGATTGTCAGGTGGATAATTTTGCCACTGGGATATATTTCCCCAGTATAGCATCTCCAGAATCTATCAAAAAAGGAGGTGGTGATGTGAATTCAAGTTTTCAAAATTTGAAATATAAATTCAATTTATATAAAGATTTCCCCCTTCAACTCCAACTTAATTCCTCCACCACAACAGAAGAACATCCTGATTTGTTGTCCACTTCATCAATTCCTTATTTCTTATTCGAGATCATCAAAATCATAGAAGGAAAACAACCTGATCTTGAATCACTCCAATCTCATTGGACATCTCCCTTGAATTATCAAACCTCCTGGAAGATAAAACAAGACATAACCCTTCTCCTAGCCGACACCCCCATCCCATCCGATGTCGAAATCTCCGAATCAGGAATCCATCAAGAATTATTACTCAGAGTATTAGACTACCTCCAAGGATTGGAAATTGCCGACTTGATTCAATTCTTTCGGGATTGGATATTGGAAATTAGTGATTCTATGATATCTTTCATCATCTATGATTCAATTATTCAAATCTATGAAAAACAAGAAGGATTTGATGGGGTTATGAAACATCTTTCATCTATCCCAAGGAGTAATTTATCTAGTTTGATATATTTATTGGAACATATCGCTAAGGTTTTCCAAATTGATCAAATCCCAAACTATTCCGTCTCCGATGAATTCGGGACTGATATCCAAGCTGGTGATGATGATGAGAAGATTGGTGAAGTGGTTAAGAAATTGAATTCGATGGATATGTTGAATGCTATCCCGTTCGTGCATTTAATCATGCGTCCTTCGACTGCAAAACATTCAGAAGGGTTTAAACCACCTTTGGATATTTATGATAGATTATTGGTCGATTTATTGAAGGTTGAGAATAGGATTAGGTTATGTCAGGTGTTGGTTGGATTGGAACAGAAATGTAGACTTCGAAAACAGAATGAGAAAAGAGATGGTGCAATTGCGGTGAGGAAATTATCTAATTCTAGGGTTGATGCTATCGATTCGCTCACCACTCCGGAAAAGCAACGTTCTGGGTCAACGTCCAATGGTGGAAATGGGAATAATTTGAGTGTAAGACCTACGAGTGAGGAGTTTACCTTGCGTCCATTTAGAACCAAGGCGACTCCCCAGCCTAGTCCACATGGATCTCCTAGAACACCAGCTGCTGCGGTAATTGGTGGCCTGTCGGGGTTGGAGAGGTGTCCTAGTCCGTTGAAGTTGAGTCTGTCTACTTCTACTTCTACTTCTACGAATAACTTCGTGGCTCCGATGATTGATATTGAATTTGAGAAGGAGAAATAGGTTTATTTATATACATGTATTGAAATTTATATATATGCGGTAATTCTATAGAATAATTATATAACATGCAAAACTATTAATGTAGTCTTCTTCCACCATTTTCACCACCAGAAAGACTCGACATTGTAATCTTTTCCAACTTCTTCAACGACTTCACTCCAATTCTCAACAACACCACTAATGCAATTGTCGATCCCACCACCACAATCTCAAACCCCCCATTTGTCTCCTCAATAAAATTCTCAAGATTCATTCCATACAATGCCGCAATATATAACAAAATCCCCATCGACATCAACCCGGTCGAATACTTCAACCCCAACAACATCAATTCATTCCGATTTGAATCCAAAACAATATTAATAATCTCTTCGGTGGTCTTAATCTGAGATTTCAAATTCTCAACCGTCTGAACAATCTCATCCGCGGTCTTATAGTATGATTCCAACAACATCTCCACTTCAGCATGATTGGGTCCTGTCCGGGGTGTGCCCTGGGCTTTATCGCTAAGATATAACTCATTCAATTCGTCATCTTGTTGTTCCATTAAATCTTCGAGAAGATTTCTGATAAGTGTGACTTTTTGTTGGAATTGGGCGGTTTTTTTGGATTGGATTAGGAGATATCGAAGTTTATACCGTTCTATAGACTCATCGAGCCCGGAGAGGATGTTTTGGAGAACGGTCTGGTGGACTTTCATTTCGGTGGTGAGGTTGGAGATTACATTCACGAGAATGGCTTCCAAGGCGCGGAATTCATATGGAAGTTGGGTGAGACTGGTGGTGGAGGGGGAGGGTTGTTTGAGTCGTTCTTCCATGTCTTTGAGAAATGTAGCTTGGGAATATGATTCATGTATGCGTGTCTCGCCGCCTCCGGTGGTGGTGGAGGATGAACCTGAGGTGTCAAATATGGCAACCATGTCTGATTTAATCAACGCTCGGATGTTTAATAAATTTAATAAAATGCTTTCTTGTCTTGTGACTATGGAGGGGACGATATCTATATTTGTATCATTTGTATTTCGATGATGATGTCTGGATATTTTTCTGAAATCACGGGGAACGAGATTGTGTTGCTTCATGAATTCGGATTTTTTGATGGCTTTTCCATGGTGGGTCATTTCTCCTTGGGAGTTGAAGATTGTCACGCGGACAAAGTCGATGTCGCTGTATTTTGTCGATGAGAGGGTTTTTTGGATGAATAGGTCATTAAAGGATTCTGCTTGGGGTCGTTTAGGGGTGGTGGTCTTGGTGGTGGATGTTTTGGGGAGTTTCGGGAGGGATGAGGAAGTCTGTGAAAGTAGCCGCAGGAGTGGTCTGAGTGAAGTGATGTTGTGTCTTGTAAGTAGTCGTATTGATCTGTTCATCTTTGGTATTGTCTTATTGGTTGTAGTGTCGTGATGCCGATGATGGATGAGATTGATTGAAGATAAAAAAAAAATTCAATTGTCATTCCTAATTAGGAAATCCTTCTCCGAGAAAAATAAACACTAACAATTTCACAATCACCACCCTCCCACTCTCTCTCTTTCTTTAATACTCCATTCAAACCACCAATGGGAGAAATACGATCACCAACAGAATTAGAAATCTACGAAGAAGTCGGCCGAGGCGGATTTGGAACCGTCTATCGAGGTCTCATCAAATCCACCAACCAAGAAATCGCCATCAAACAAATCGATCTCGAAAATAATGATATCAACGACTTACAAGAAATCAACACCGAAATCCAAATCATTTCCGAATGTAAAACCTGCCCTCAAATCACACAATACTTGGGAAGTTTTGTAAAGAATTATAAACTTTGGGTAGTTATGGAATTCATGAATGGTGGATCCCTTTTTGAGATTCTCAAAGCCGGGAGAATCGATGATGAACTGGTGATTTCTATCCTTGTGTATGAGATCCTATGCGCTTTGGAATATTTACATAATCAGGGCAAGATTCATCGAGATTTGAAATCCCAGAATATCTTGTTGAATAAAGAAGGACAGGTCAAATTGACTGATTTTGGGGTTTCGGCACAATTATCCTCGAATTTCTCAAGGAGGAATACCACCGTGGGGACTCCATATTGGATGGCACCTGAGATGATTGTGAATAATAAGGGGGGACATAGTTTCAAGGCGGATATTTGGTCTTTGGGGTGTTGTGCGTATGAAGCATATACTGGGAAACCACCATTACAGAATAAATATCCTCCTATGAAGGCATTAAGGATGATATCACAATGTCAGCGAGTTGGGGATTTTGTTGGATTGATTGAGTTGGGAGAATTGGATATTTCGAAAGAGTTTAGCGATTTTTTGAGTGTTTGCTTTGTGGAGAATCCCAGGGAGAGATATTCGGCGAGTAAGTTGTTACAACATAAGTTTATAACGAAGTATCAGGGGCTGGTTGGGGATAAGACAAAGGCCATTAAGAAATTGATAACGAAGAAACAATTATGGAATCAGGACAATCATATGGTAAAGACTCAAAGATACTATATCCCAACTGAATTACATAAGAATCAAATGAAATGGAATTTATCTGATACTGAAGAAGGGGCTGGCCAGCAAGCAAAGAAAACGATTCATTTCGATATAAGTCTGATCAAATCTACATCAACTGAATCTCCCACTAAGGAGCCTACTGGTTCCCCAGAACCATTTCCGGTTCAGCTACATCCAACAGCAATGCTCAATTCTCCACCATCTACACCTAAGCTCACCCCAAAACAAGATCAATTATTTCAACTGTTAAAACCAGAATTTCATCGAATCTTATCTAAAGTATTTACAAAACTAGATACTCGAGCCAATTTAACTACCGAACAATATGATTTATTAGTTTCATTAAATGATAATGCTATGAAATTACTTACATTCATTCAAAGTGATGATGAATCTACAAATCGAAAAGTTATCATTTTTCAATTCTTGAAATATTTCTTAAAAGAATTAACTAAGGATAATAATCAAGATCTGTCACAACGGTCAATATTACAGAAGTTGATTATTCCGTCACATTTTACGGTGGGGAAGGTGTCGAATACGATGGTATTGAGGCATAAAGCTAGTGCTTCATCTTATTCGGGGACATCGCCTACAGGGACAGTATTTAATGAGTTTGATGAGATTGAGAATAGTTTATTGAATTCTTGGATTGATAGAATGAGTGATAAATAGATATATATAGTACATTTTAATACAGACGTCTTCTATAAAGTAATTTCTAAAAAGGGGTATTATCTCTAGTATTATCAACCGTATTCATATCCACTTCTTCCAGTAATTTCCTCTTCTTATACGCCGGATTCAATTCAAATACATTCACAATCCCATCTCTACTACAACTAACCAACACCTCATCATTAACATCCACCTCTAAAACAGCATCATTTCCATTATTATACCCATACACAATTTCTTTACTCTGGACATCCCACACCAATACCCCCGACCTATCACTCCCACTCACAATCATCGTCCTATCTGTCCCTACAATAAACCTCGCCCCACAATTATATTTCTCACTAATCGCTTCCTTCCCCAGGATCCCATGATATGTCTTGATGACACGATTATCCATATAATCCCATAATCTAACAAACCCATCCAAACTCGAACTCAAAATATATTTCCCATTGGGACTCAACACCACATTTGATATCGGATAACTGATAACATCACTAGTACTTGCCGTAGCCGTACCATGACTAGTTCCATTATATGTCAACGTTTTCAAACATTGTGAAGTTTCCAAATCGAATATCCGCATCAATCCGTCCCAGGAACCACTTATGATCATACTATCGTCCCATGATACCGATAGGGTAGATACTGGATCGGAATGGGCGGCGAGGGTGGTTATTATTTTCGAGGAGGTCATGTCCCATAATGTGATTGTTTCGTCGGCGGATCCACTGATGAGGATGTTGCCTTTGGAGGTGAAGCTGAGGCAGGTGATGTGGTGGGTGTGTTTTCGGAGGATTTTGAGACAGGTCTGAGGGGTGGATATGTTCCAGAGACGGATTGTTAGGTCGTCGGAACAGGATGCGAGGATGGTTGGGTTGATGGGGGAATAGACGAGGTGGGAGATTCCTTTGGTGTGGCCCTTGAGAGTGGTGATGAGTTTACCGGATGATAGGGAGTGGATACGAATTATGCCGTCTGAACTGGCAGTTGCAAATGTTGATTTGTTGGGGGATATTTTGATTGATGTGATGGGATAAGGGTGTTTGGGGAGGGTGTATTTTAGACTATAGAGATCGGGAATGGATGGTGTGAATGGACTGGTGTCATTACCATTGCTGGTGTGGCTGTTGGTGTCGTCGTGTGATGGTATTCCCATTTGTACGTATGTTCTTCTTTACTTCCTATTGGTTTCTTAATGATTCTATTCATTCATCAATATATCAGTTGAATGAAAAAAATCAACACATAAAATGATATTGAATCATTTGGTAGCGTTGATATTCTAAAAATGCCAACCAGCCCCAAAAAAAACATGAGATTGCCATTCTCGATTATCAATTACGTTTACTCTCCCACCCTTTTGGCAATCTAATCAAATCCAATTGAATCTCATTTAGACACACAAGCAGAACACATATATCACAGATATACAAAATGGACCCACCACAACATCTCTTCCGCTTCAACGCCTCCATGTTTCGTCTCCCCAAATCAGCCAAACTCCGTCTGGTTGGAATCTATACCCTGGGAGCATTATTCGCCATCGGATTCTGGTCATTAGTTGATTCCGCCATCTTTTCAAAACAACCAGTGAATGCCCTGACTGTACATGTGACTTTCATCGATTGGATTCCATTTTTATGTTCGACCCTGGGGATGATGATTGTGAATTCGATCGAGAAGGCGAATTTATTCGATAATGGGGCGAATGGGAATGGATTTATGAGTACTAATGGAGGAGGACATGCTTGGGCGGCGAGGGTGATTTTATTTTTGGGTTTTCTGTTGTTGGCTGGTGGATTGGCTGGAAGTTTTATGGTATTTATATTGAAGTATTTAATGAAGGGATATGGATTCCCAACACTTGGAATGGGGGTGAGTAATGTTGTTTGTAATGGATGTATTATGTTGAGTTGTATTATATTATGGTTAGCTCAGAATATTGAAGATGAATATAGTTATAGTTTAGCTTTGTAGGAATACTTTGTATTATCTTTAGGTCATAAGATAAATCACACACACATTCATAGTATACAGAAGTATATATATAAATATATAATTACACCCTCTTTACAAAGGTAGTCAAGTATCTAATCTATAAAAAAAAGGAAGAAGGAAGAAGAAAATGGTAAAACAAAATATAACTTATAAATTAATTAAAAATCGTGGGTAGCGTATATAGCCAAAAATGTAGGGGGGAGGAAGGTGGACAGTTAGGGTGATATGGTTGGGGCGGTAGTCGGGGGGGTAAACATCTAGTGTTAGCTCAGCCTTTTCATTAATTGATCCTTTAAATCTCCCATTAATTGTAATTCATAATCACTAAAATTAAATAAATCCAAATTAATCGATTCATTAGATCCTCGAGGAAATACTTGAAAATTATCCACTTTTAATTCATCAAAGAATGGATGTACCAATACTTTTCTTGGACTTGCTCTTATTTCTGGATCATATACTAAAATCTTCATTAATAAATCAATTGCATCTGATGGAGAATTACTAAAAATTTGTTTAAATCGATCTTCAATACTACAACTAAATAATTTAGTTGTATACATATTCCCCCGATATTGGGGATTACTCTTAAAGAAGAAACTATTTGGTGGTGGACCTAACAACTTGGCAATTTCTTTTAATTGAGATTCGGGAGATTGTCCTTGGAAAATTGGTTTACCTAAAAACATTTCCGCTACAACACATCCTAAACCCCATATATCAATTTTTGTTGTATATAAAGTACATCCAACAATTAATTCTGGGGCACGATAATATCTTGAACAAATATAACTTACACTGGGTTGATTATATTCTAATTTCTTAGCACTTCCAAAATCACAAATTTTTAACCGAACAATACTTGGATCAACCAAGATATTTGAAGGTTTTATATCTCGATGGGATATACCAAATCCATGTAAATATAACATAGCTCTAGTTAATTGAAAAGTATAAGCTTTCATATGAGGATAGGGAATTGTATATTTTGATTGACGATAATATTTAATTTCTCCTTGTAAATTTGAAGGTAGACATTCCATTACTAAATTTTGATAAATTTCATGATTGGCTGAACTTGGTTTATCAAAAAAGAATCTTAATCCAACAATATTTGGATGATTAACAACTCTTAATATTTCTAATTCTCGTGATTTATATTCAGTTTGCGCTGGCACTCGTTTTATAGCAAATGGTCCAAGCCATTCGTCATTTCCTGTTGCTGGTGCTTCATGTGGTTGATGATGATGATCCACATATTTCAATACTGCTTCAACAACAGTACCAAATGCACCTTCTCCAATTCTTTTATATTCTTTCACGACCATCTTTGCTCCAACATTGGTTTGATTGTTAATAACATGACTAATGGTATATTCATTGATTATTCCGGAATTTTGCGGGGCCATTTCTTTAGATGATTTCTTAGATGAATGATGGAAGGGGTTATGATGATGATGATGGTGATGTTCTTCTGGTTCTTGTTCTTGTTGTTGTTGTTTACGAAGATACTTTTCTAGTTCTGGTTGTTCCGCTTCTCCAGGATGTGGTAGATGCTGTTGTTGTTGTGATTGTTTATCGGGACGTGGTGTTATATGCGAATGATATAACGATGAAAAGAAGTTAGTCACGATGGAAAAGTAATTAAACTAGTTAATGAATGAATATTGAATGGTTTAAATGATTCAACTGATTAAGTTGATTTTTATAAAATTCAATCTAATGATATAATCTAGACTTTTTGATAGTTTTAATGTGTGTAAATGACTATATTGAACAACTACTGGTGATTAATGTATTAGTTTTGGGTAGTTGATGGATGGATGGAGAGTTGTTGATGGCAAAATATATCGATATCTCCCTTAATTTTAATCGATGAATAACTAACGAATTCTATTAAATTGATTGATTGAATTAATTAAATTATTGATGATTTGGGATGGATGTGGTGATGTGATGTAGTGATGATGTATCTATTGTATATTCTATAATAATAATAATAAGTTGTAGTAATAAGAAAGGTTTATCGTATAAATTGATTATCTATTTTTTTTTGGTTGTTGTTGTTGTTGTTATTTTCTGTTGTTAGTTAAGTTAACTTTACAAGTAATAGAAAAGTTGGTTGATATTTATTTTTTCTACTGTCTTAAAAAATTTTCACTTTTACTTAACCCTTTTATTTGTATTCGTAATAACCTTTATTGTATGGTAATAACCTTTTATTTGTATTCGTAATATAAAGATGAAGATCAACTGTGAAATAAATGGAGAAGAATTTCTCGAATTTGATGAGAGTAATGCTATATTGATGGATCATATAGGTAATAATTTGGTAGAACAACTGAAGAAAGTATTTAAACTTGATGGATTCGAGTCTCATTGCCGCTTAGGAGGAGACCTACCTGATGAACAATTGAAACAGTTCTGTGATCTTATAGATGAACAATATGGCGATTTATACGTCCGTCACATAGGAAAAGACTGGAAGTTGTTCAAGGAATTTGAATGGACTGAACCGGGGTTAGTAGTGGTATGGTTTACAAAAAAAGATTCGGATGATTTGGTTGCCTTTTTTGCATTCAAAGTTTGTTTAAACGATGAGGACAAATTAGTTTTGCATTTGTGTGAAAATCACATGTCCAAGGCATTCAAAGATATGGGTTATGGATATTCATTAAGCAAGCAATTTAATGACTTTTGTCACACAACCCGCTATATTGACATCAACAAGGAACTTCTCTAACTGTGTTTGCCGAAAATATAAGGGGCCCACCAATGGTACACAAATTTAGATTATTCTTTGACCAAGGGGCTCGCCCCACAGATAAAGTTTTGATGGTAAAGTGATTTAGCCTGCTTATTATCTAATGAGAAGGAAACTCAAAAGAGGGTAAGCTATATCGAATCAGAAGCCCCCCGCAACCAGTTTTATTATTAACTAACAAAGCCATGGAATGTAAGAACTCAGATTTAGAAAATGACTCAACATACATGTAATTAAAACATTTTTGCTAGCCTTATCAGTTACTAGTACTTTAAGGTTAGAGTTCAATCAACTTTTCTTTAAGTATGACTCAATTGTTACTATGGCTATAAATTTGTATGAATATCTATCAGTAAATTTTTGTATCTTCCGAATGTCTATCAATACTAGCCAATCACTTGTTCATCTTTTCTATCTACCTTCTCTTAAGGCGGGGGACCGGCGCTTCAACTCAGCCACTATCTGGAATACACTTGGTAGCTCTACCACTTTTCACTCATATGGTATGACCCATAATTGATGGTTGGTACTATTGCTATAGACGAACTGCTAAGGGGTTATTAGACCACCTAAAGCATAACCTATTAAAACCAATACCCTAGCAGCTACATAGGTTGGGACTGAACGTGACATAGATTGCCTCGGGGTGATTGTTAGGTTTGATATTGCCTCAGCTTTCAATTTCTCCTGGGCCGGCTATTGAAAACATATGTAATGCCTCTGTGTACAACTTGCTATTCCTAGTACTTTTGTGTTTATTTCACTTTCTACGTTTGTATACTTTAAGTTGGAATGCAATTATTATCCATCTTTTTGCAATAAAACTTGCCAATATTCCTTTTTTTGTTGATTTGAATATTTTCGCAATCCCACTCTTAGACGAATAACTGGATGGGATATCATAGGACCTTGGCAAAATATCATTAAAGGTGTCACACAAGTGTACTTTCCATCAATTCAAGATTCATTCATTAAAGTGCGCTTTTTTTGCAACCAAATAAACACAGACCTTTGTTGGGATGGGGTACTATGCATCTAGTTGACCTGGTCTACTGAAAAAAAACACCTAAATGAGGTTAAAGTAATCAGTGATATATGTCAGAGAACCTCACTTTACTAATTAAAGAAATGAATGTTAAATGAATGGTTTGTATCCTTTTTTAATCATTCCATAAGTAAGAATTTATTTTGATTACGTAATCAAGATATGGAAATTTAATTTTTTCTTTGTTGTTTGATATTTCCAACCAACCAAAACTGCGCTAGAAAATTTTCAACACTCAGGCATCAACAGAGCCATAGAGACTATTATCCTTTTAATACTTTAGGGGGGATAAACTATACACAAGAGCATATAAATATACGCGCTATGTTTGCCAGAGTAAATAGATTGATATTTGGTAGACCCAACATATCATCATCTATCACTTCCAATATAATCAAATCATCACAAATCATCAAAACACAACCATTCTCCACATCATTGGTGAATCAACAAGGACCATCTATTTCATCTACATTAAACAAACATGGACTTCAATCCAAGAAAATCTCCGCCAACAATAGTGCCACTGAACGTGTTGTTTTTTGGAAATTATATGCTCATTTTAATAAACATAATACTAGATGTCAATTAGTTGCCGTAGTTGAAGATATTAAATTCATGGAAAATAATCCTCATTTATCATATAATGAACAAGTATTATATTATTTACAATTACCTCATAAAACAAAAGTAACAATATCTGCTGGTCAATTGGGTTTTAGAAAATCTCAAAGACAAGAATATGAAGCTGGTTTCCAAGTTGCAACTAAAATGTTTCAAACTATTCAAGAACAAAATTTAATTGGTCCTGATGAAAAAGTAGAAATCGTGATGAAGAATTTTGGTAAAGGTAGACAAGCATTTCAAGATGCTTTATTAGGTAAAGAAGGTTCAGCTCTTAGAAAGAATGTGGTAAGAATGACTGATGCAACTGTTTTGAAATTCGGGGGGTCTCGTTCAAAGAAACTCCGTCGTTTATAGAGTGTTTATATTGGAGTATTTTGCCTTATATGTATATATATATTCTCTTGTATATATTTAATTTACAGTTAGTGTGAGTTTATGGATGTATTGATTATATTGAGAGTATGTTGATATTAGGTGAGATTCCGAGAGGTAGGGCATGAACCCTAAACTTGGAGCAAGTGCACGTGATGGTATTATATGCAGAATTCATCCGTTTTGTCATTCACACGACAATATAGTTCTCACTACTAAAATTCTTTTTTTTCTTAGTGATACAGAAATTTGCTACTCACGTGATCAAATTTCTTAGTTTAGTCTCACTCTCTCTATTGTGTTACTCTGTTGTTTGCACTGTGCGAAATGGTACTGCGAAAATTTCTTTAATTTTTCAGTCTATACAAAATTTTTTTTATATTTTTGAATAAGTTCATTTTATTAGGTTATAATCAAACAGTACAAAATGGCTCGTATGTTATTAAAAGAGAATAACTTATACTGGATTAGACATGGAAAGAGAGTGAACGTATATCTATCGTTATGTTGAATGTTTGAAATTATGGGGACATCTACAAGTTTGATGAAATCCGATGAAAAAGTTTTTCACTGAGAGTAAATAATCGAGATGGAATTTGATGAAAGGGGGACAATATGTACAACTATCAAACTAGAGGCAGTTCATGTCGACTTCTTGAACTAGTATGATTAAATACATCAACTATTTTGAACTTTTGAGAGAGAATACTACTACTATTACTACCAAATTCGATATCAAAGTTCAAGTCAGAAAAACACTGTCAGATTTCACCAAACGAATAACTACTATCTACTACAATTAAAATGAAATCAATAGAGTGTGAGTTTCCGTCTTCACAGTGCAGAGTGTTATTATTTATACGGGAAGTCATCCTATTCTCATGCATCGACCCTCCTCCTTATTAGTATCCACCAAATATTCAATCACGATGACCGAACTCTTTCCATATTCTCATATCCAGCCTAACCCCAACAAAGATCAATAATACTAACATTACTTTTTTAGCAAACACCAAAGCTACCGCTGCCAAGAAAGCCGCTTTAAAGGGTACCAACGCCTCCAAGGCTCTTAAAGTTAGAACCTCTACTACTTTCAGATTACCAAAGACTTTAAAGTTATCTAGATCTCCAAAATACGCCCGTAAGTCTGTCCCACACTACACCAGATTAGATGCTTACAAGATCATCCAATCCCCAATTGCTTCTGAAACCGCCATGAAGAAGGTTGAAGATGGTAACATTTTAGTTTTCCAAGTTGATTTAAAAGCCAACAAGCACCAAATCAAGGCTGCTGTTAAGGAATTATATAACGTTGATGTCTTATATGTTAACACTTTAGTTAGACCAAATGGTACTAAGAAGGCTTATATCAGATTAACTGCTGATCATGATGCTTTGGATGTTGCTAACAGAATCGGTTACATCTAATCGATTTTGAAAAAAGTCCTTTTTGTATAGTTTAATATTTAATAAAACAGGAGTATATTTTACGAGAATGACCTATAGCTACACACCTTTTGTATTTTAATTATAAAGAGATTATCAATTATATCTTTAGAAAACGAACTAATTACTTATCATATGTAAATATATCTATCTATTCTGAAGAAGATCATCAAGAGTAGATTCCAACCCCCAATACCAAACTTTCATATCATCTTCTTCCTCCCCTTCAAAACATTTCTTAACTCTAATCTTCCTAAACCTATCCCATCTCCCCATCAAATCATCCAACCCCCTCTCTAAATCCCCCAATATATCATACACCTCCTCCACCTCTCTCACACCCACAAACCTACATAACTCCTCCTCACTCCGTAATTCAACCAATACTCTACAACTCGTTCCGTCAGTATCATCATCACTCACGACAAATTTAATCGGGGCAAGTTTCATAGTCCTCAAATATGGTTTAATCACAATCATCCCCGTGTTTGGGATGGATCCAATTATCTTCCCGTCGAATTGAAATATCTTCCCCGGGGTGGATTCTGAGAGGCAGAGGTTTTTGATGGTGGTGCGGGTGAGAATGGCCTGCGAGGTCGTGAGTGACCATTGCGAGGATGCGACGAATGTTGTATTGCTGGAAGTGTCGGCTTCTTGTTCTTCTTGGGTGCTGGTGGTTGGTGGGTGTTGTGATGGTTGGGGTAAGAGAGTTTTGGGGACTTGGAGTTGTGGGGTGGAATATTGGGTGTCTGAGTCGGTGGTGGTGTTTGTGATTTGACTGGCTGGGATTGGCGATAATGGTGATTGGAACGCCGGTGGGGCTGATACTGGAGGTGGTGGTGGTGGTGGAGGTTGGGTGAATAGAGGAAGTTGTGAATCTGATGCCACTTTATTATGACCAAACAACAAATCAGTCCCCGTATGTCTTCTCTTGGCAGGAGGTGCCCCAGAAGCAGGATATTCCCCATGGAATTGAGATTCCAACTTTGGTTGAGTCTCATCATATCTTCCACAAAATTTCGAAAGTTTATAAGTATGTGACGTAATCTTGAAATATCTCCCTTTCGTCATCGATTCAAGTCTTTTGATTAATCCTATCATACTTAAATACATCTCAGTATCTCCAAACACGTCAGCGAAATTCTTGTCATTGGCAATCTCGATATAATTCATCGATTGACCAACAAGACTTTGCAATTCAGGATTCACCCCAAGTCTGAAATCGATCTTGGCGAAGAGGAAATCGTTGGATAGGTTAGTCCATCGAGTTTTCACATATTCACCTCCGTTGTCATTGGTTAAGAAACTTCGTAATGTTTTCTTTATTTCGTCAAATTGTTTTGGGGTGATTTCACAGGTGAATAATTTAGACGGATCAATTTCGATTTGATTTATTTTGTAGGGGTTTTTCGTCATTTGGTTTGTGAGTTCAGGTGGTGTAGTAGGTGAGAGGAACGGAGTTGGGTGGAGGATGGTGGAGAGGTCGGTGAAGACTATTATTCCCTTGGGGGTGGTTTTTGATTTGAAGAGACCAAGTAGGAGGATGGGGAGTTTGATTCGGATGCTGGATGATGATGAGGAGGAGTTGAGGATATCGAAAGGGGATGGGAGGTCTGTGAGGGAGGTATATGTCTGTGCTGGCATTGTCTGTACTTTGTTTGGGGTCTACCTTGGTTATGTCTATTGTACGATTTATTTTTATTAGCCTCGTTGATTTTACGACGCGTTTAATAATTTTTCAAACCCTTTCTCATCTCGTCAATTCTCTTCTAATCATCACAAGACACCCACACCCAATGTCATCAAAAAGTAAGTGTCCACCCCTCAATTCCTCTCTCGCCATTCTCGCAATCACTAACACACCCCATTCTAGGAAAACTCCCAAGAATACCAAGACTCAAACCACAATCCACCCCCACAACCACCACCACCCCAATCACAGCCCAAGACTATCTCGAACAAGCCACCACCAATGAAGAATCCGGAGACAGATGGCTAGGTTCCGATATACCCAAAGCACTCCGCTTCTATCAAAAAGCCCACGTTGCCTATCTTACATCTCTTCACCTCGGGACAAGTCCTGATCCTGAAACGGTGTATAATTCCGCTAGGTTGATGTTTCATGTTTGGAACCTATTCAAAGACGGGAATATTATCATGGATGAGATTCCGGAGTTGAATGTGGGTTCGGATTCGGTGGTGGTGGGATTGGATGAGATTGTGAGGGTGCATGAACTGGCTGTGAATGTGAGTGTGAACACTGGGGGGAAAGTGGATGGGGATTTGTTGTATAATCTAGCAGTGGTGTATACTGAGTTATTAGACGATGATGGGGGAGATAGGGATATGGAGATGGATGAGGTGGTTGGGGTGTATATGAAGGCGAGTAAGGTGTTTGAGGAGTTGATTGGACGACAGTGTGGCGATTTGGAGAGATTTGTTGGTGAATTGAATGAGATTGATGGGGGTGGGAGCAGTAGTGGTGGGAATGGCAATGGGAGTCCTGGGGAGTCGAAACAAGAAGAAGAGGAATATGAGAGTGGAGAGGTTATCCAACCGGTTGATATTTATGATACGGTACTTGCAGGATATAAACTAATTCAATCCGTGTATGAACATATTCAACTGGATTCCCAAATCGATTATATTAATCAACTAACTGCCGAATTATTACAATTGTGTGATAATACAACCAGTACATTAATCGACAATTTCAGTATCAAATCCCCTCATCCCATGCTCGAAAACCTATCACAAGATCATATCAATGAATTAATCATCGCTAAGACATTAATCATCGGATTGACATATACTGATATATTTCAAGTCATAGATCTTTGGAAGCAGAACCCAACTCTTCCAGACATACCAGAACGGTATATGATTGCATCCGACAATATCCAAACCATATTAGACCGTCATGATATTTCAATCTCCAATTATTCAAACCTGGAAATGGTTTGGAAATGTCTATCTGAACAAACCAACTTCTTGAAATCAGCTCAAGAACTCTTAAACCAGCAGATAACCACCAAGAGAAAATCACCCACAGGATTAGGCACCTTGATTGCCCAATTAAGTGGCGTAATTATTGCTAGGGCCGATATAGATCTTCAACGAAGTCAAATCACCGGATATGAACCGGCGGAAAAGAACAAGGAAGTGTTGGTGAATAATTGTCGAAATTTACTCAAGAGTGCGATGAATATTGCCAATAGCAATGGAGGATTACGAGAACTAGCAATGGAGAAATTACAGCGAGAGAAGAAAAAGAGTGAACTGGTATTTCGATTATGTTTGATTGAAAATAAACTGTCTATTGAAGAATTGGATAAGATATTAACTAGAAAACGTTGGATTAATGAAGTGAATGGGATTAAACGGTTGGGTTATTATGATGTATCTGGAATTCAGACATTATCATTAGGGTCATAGTTCCATATTGGCTGGGATATCGGTTAGATTATTTAGTAATACTTTATTTGGATCCATACTATGATTATCATTGGTTGTTTTGCAAGGAATAGCAACTTCTTTTGCAAATATAGAACTATCTAGATATTGTATGTTTCTATCATTATTCCTACTATTATGAACTATTAGTTGTAGTAGATTGAACTTAATTAAGTATATAAACCACAATAGTATTTTCATTTTATGCGATGAGTATATTAAGTTAATAGATAGTAAGTGCTAGCAGCAACGACAGTAATAAGTAGCAAGTGCAGTAGTAAGTGTATAATGAAGATGAATAGAAAGATGTAAAAGATAAAGAAGATGAGGTGTATATCTTTTAATTTATAAATAGAAAGTATGATGTGTTTCAAAGTCACGTTTTTTGCCATTACAACAAAACGGTTGCTTGTTTGATACACACGTTTTTCTGTTTTTCTCGGTCGTTTCAAAATTTCTTAGTAATCATTATTACTATTAACAAATGAAACACAACTACAACTATAAACGATAACTTACCACTACTCTCTTTGGATTAGTATGAATCTAGAAGGCATTTCAAGAATTCATAGAATAAGATAAGTAGTTGCACAGAATTGACTTTATTTTATTTCCAAATAGCTGCAAATTAATCAATAATTAAAGCTTTCCAATAAGTGAATAGAACCTTTTATTTGTATTGTAACATTCTGTCAAAACGATCTATTGATAAATCCTAACCCAGACACTTTCGTTCTAGATTCACTACCCTCAATTGTTTTGTTAGTAACGATTGGGGGCTGACCTCGGTTCAAATGGAACACTCTATTTGTAAATTGAAAGACATTGCATAATTCGGGGTTACGACATTTTTGAGTTGCAAAATGTCGCAGATCTTTTCGAGATAAAAGAAACATCCCAAAGCCCGATATCCAATTTGCCCCACCAATTGATTCTCCTAAAGATTATTTAAACTTTCTATTTCTATTCCTCTAAATAATTATAAATCTATATACAAAATAATAATAAAGGAATATTACTTATATACAAATGTTTTACTTGGAACCAGCTAATAATTTATCAAATGCAGGAATCAAAGATTGAGCTAAAGCAAATGAGAAAACCAATTTAGGACCAGTAGTTAATAATTTTGGAGTTAAACCTTTAAAGAAAGCACTAAAACCTTCATTTTTAATCATATTCTTTAAGATAGTAAAACCAGATTGTGGATTATTGAAATCTTTATTTTGAATTCTAGTCTTGATAACATCCAATGGAGCACTAACAATTAAAGATGATGAAGCACCAAAAATAGAAGTAATAAAATTTTGAGTCCAAGTAGCTTGAGAATAATCTTTTAATCCAAAAATATATTCTTTAGCAAATGAATTACCACCAAATAATGCAAATGAACCAGGAGCATTTCTTGCCATAGTCCAACCCCAACCTCTATATAAACTAAAACCTTCATCTTTAATAATTGTAAGGAAACCTCTACCACGGAATGATTCTGGGTTTGTTTGACGTTTAATCTTCAAGACATCCAAAGGCAACAAGACAACTTCACCAATACCAATTAAAGAACCAGCAGTAGCTGATAATAATGCTTTACCTGTCTTTGGACCAAATACTGCATCATAACTATCTTTGAAATTTTTACTTAAAAATTCATTAGCAAATGGTTGTCCACCATATTTATAAACACGTTGTAAAATCTTATAACAAGCAGCATATCCTAAACCAGGGAATAAAGAAAATAATCTTTTACCTAATGCTTGTTGTGCATGATCTCTAAAAATAACAGTATTTAAATGAGCAGTTGAATTGATTTTACCATGATTTGACATTAATCTTTTGGAAATGGTATCAACTGGATGAAAGACGGCAATTTCACAAATACCGGCACCGGCAGAACCAAGGACTCTGGCAATACCAGATTGTTTCTTATCAGTAGATGAATGAGCAGTTGGGGACATTATTAGGGATATTAAGCTACAGTTGAATCAAGAGAGTTTGATGGAAAGTGTATTTACGATTTATGAAAATGAAAAATTTTTTTTGTTTCATTGTTGATGTAAAATTTGAGTCAAATAAAAAATTTTTTACATCGCGGTTAATTTTTCTTGTTACTTAATTAGGGATGAAAGATGACTCAACCCAAAAATTCTATAACTTGACACGTGAAAACTAGGCGGATAAACCTATTTCTAGTAGTCAATCAGTTTCTCCTTTTAATCTTATTACATTTTCTCATTCTCCGGCCGAGCTTGATTTGAGTTCTCATATAATATACTTATCCCTCTTATTAAACCAAATAGCGACTGTTGCGCCGGGCAAATATTCTCCATGGATAAGCTTTGTAGAACAATTCTAGTCTTCTAATGCCTAACTACCGTTGATGAATCCACGAGCAGATCAGTAAACAGTTTGGAGTACAATCTTGAGCCTCTCCGTGGAATAAGCCTTTCTCCAGTAATGTCAAAATGCCAGTGTCTATGAATGTTGACATTTCAAGGCTAGCATAAAAACCTACAAAACTTGACAAACACATACTATATCCAAGAATCTTTACTAGCGTTAAATAGTTATGATTCTGGGTATCATTGGCTCATTGTTCATTAGCTAATTACAATTTGTACTTACACAGTAGAACATACGGGACTAGTCGTGTAATGTGTATCAATTTCATTGTGTGAGGTGTGGTTGTTTCTCTCTCTCTCCTCACTTTTTAATCTCAACCAATGAAAAAAATTTACAACCAACACATTGTTGTTCAATTGTTGTTGTTCTTTTTCGACAAAACACTTTTAATCCTTTTATGACTTAGAAGTAATCATATATGAATAAGAAGATACTTTGAATTAGATGATTCATTTTGCAAACATCGACTACATACAATGATAATATCTACTAACTATTATCACTCTGCTACCCAAAAAAATGGAAAAAGGAGGGTTGTAAATTGGATGATTCTGGCTAATTACCCCTTGTATTGGAAATCCTTCTAAAGAATATGTTAGTTAATCAAAAATGTTGTGTATTAAGGGTTAAACCCAGGAATGTCCATCTATCAATATATTAATCAATTAACAAACAATAATCACAATTTTTGTATTCAGTTCGAACTGAGACAAATTAAGAAGAGGGATTAAAATTTTACCTCCAAATTCCTTAAGTTTGATAGTTTCACTGACAGTCCTAGGAGGTAATTGAGAAAGAGTATAGTCAAATGTGTCAATTGATAGTTGATCCTCAGCCCAGTGTTTAAATGTTCAGCCTGTGACCAAAGATATATTTTCCTTGACCATATAATTCTGCAATTTTAATGTATAGTTCCCTTCCATTAAGAACTCCATAAATCCGATTAAAGAGGAATATTGTTTTTGGTCGATCAATTTTGCTGGTCTTGCTAACAGGAACGAATTTTCATCAAGTAGATAATCTCCAAGTGTCAAACCAAATGATGTATGATTATGTATGCATATATGAATCGTGACGCTACCCGAATCTTATTCTAATCTGTTGAGTTTCCTGATATAATTATTGCCAATCAATTGTTGTAAATTAATAATTTTTTTTGATTTTTGTATGTTTTCAGATGATATTTTTAGTGTATTGAAATGATTATTCAAAAGTGTATCTTTTATTATAAATGGGATTCATAATCACAGAATGTATGCGAGATGAAAGTCAGTCTCATTGGGTGTATAATTGCATAAACTACTGACACGATATTCAGGTCGTTTCACTTTCTGCTGTTTGTGCTTCGTGATGTTGCTTGATTTCTTCAAGGTGAGTTTCAGTTAAATCTTCAAGTAATAGAGCGCACATTGGTTTGGTGGTTTCAGCTTCTCACTCTGATCCGCGGTGTTTGTGGTTTGGTACCTTGAGAGAATATAATTCTTCTTTCCTGGAAGATATCTGATTTCTGGAGAGTATGCACCAAGTACATCTAAAAATCTGCTACTCGAAGCCGTGGTGTCAATTCCATCAATATGGTGACTTTGGCAAATAAAACCTCCAATAGCACGATCTGAACTGTCAGTGAAGATATAAGTTGTCTTATCTGGGTCATATATGAAAATCTTGGGTAATCTAATAAGATGTTGTTTCAATGATTCAAATGCTTTACGAGAAGCTTCAGTGTGTTCAATCTTAGTATGCTTTGCTGCCTTATCTTTGATTAAGTCTGTCAATGGTGCCGTATATTCTGACAAGTTGGGTATAAACTGCCTAAAAAAATTTGTGAAGTTGACGATTGATCTTACCTCGGTTGATGTGGTAGGAACATTCCAATTATGAATCGCTTGAACTTTGTCTTTGGTAGGAGTAATTTGACTTTCCGATATTGTATACCCTAAAAAATCAGCCTGTTGTTTCAATAACTTTGTCTTCTTTATATTAATCTGGAGACCGTGATGATTTAAAATGCTACAAACCTGCTTTACCTTCTCAATATGGTCTTGTAAGTTTTCATGATAAAATAAAATATCATCCATGTAGGAGAATACCCCTCCATCTCGTGGTAATATATCAACAAGGAATTGTGAAAAAACAAAAGGTGCATATTGACTGCGCCAAATGGTAGCGTCATGAAGTTGAAATTTCCCATATGTGTGATGATTCCAAATTTTCGTGAAGTGTCTGGAGTAACACCAATCTGATGGTAGGCCGCTTTCAAATCAAGAACCGAAAACCATCTTGATTTATTTAAAACACCGATTAGATCTCTAAAGTTATTTAAGTAACAAGGGACATTGAGTGGTTTGCTCTGGATAATACTGAGCGACTGGTGATCTGAAAAAACAATAACGTCTCCATTGCACAAATACTTGAACTTCAAAAATGTAACTTGATCCGGTTAATCTTCAAACCAGCTTCATTCAACAACCTCAAAACTGAGACATCATCATCCAAATGCTTCCTTAGTTCCAATTGTGGACTTGACGGAAATTAGCTAATGAATACAACGGAGCAGTTAATTCCAGAAAAGCAGCTATTAACAGTCTATAATAATTTATCAATCCTAACCATCTCAATAATTGTTTCTTATCCATTGGCAATGGATAATCTCCTAATTTCGTCATATGATCATCATCTAAAGTCTTCCCTTCAGGTGTGACCTTATATCCCAAAAACACGCCAGTAGAGGCAGCCAAATGCAACTTCATAGGATTTATCTTCAAACCAGCTTCATGTTTTTGGTGTTAATTTCAAGTTTGGGATCAAAATCCTTGTGACATCTAATAGTCGTTCTTAGTTCGATCATGGTTGGCCAATGGAAGGTGTAGTTGACGTGGCGAAGATTTGCTAAGACTGCAGATGGTTATCAACTTACGCAGAACAAATACACAGATGATATCCTAGCATGTTTTCTTGCATGTGAACAATGAAGCTAATGTTTATTTGATTATGGTTAAGTGTGGTGATGGTACAATAAACTCAAAAGTGAAACAACATCATCCAAATGCTTTCTTAGCTTCGACTGGACTCGACTTGTAAGTTGATACCAGTGGACCTTTGACAGCAATGTCGTCAATAAAGTTGAAAGCCACTTCCCCCAACTGAACATAATATCCTAGCAAGTATGTTTTGAAATTCACTAACACTGTTTATGAACCCTTGTGGCAACATTGAATACTTCAACAATCCAAGTTGAGTCATAAAACTTGTGGCATCACTCGTTTCAGAATGCAAAGGGATTTGAAAGTAAGCATTCTTCACATCGATCAAATTGTTAAACGCATTACCAGCAAATTCTGATGTCAAATCTTCAACACTCAATGGGTGAGCTCCTTCAAGTTCCACATTCTTATTCAATTCTCTCAAGTCAATCAACATTCTTGGGGTTTTGTTCTTTTTCATTATAAGGAACCATGGATTCCTATAAGTTTGCATCAGAAAATACCAACTGTCCCGCTTGAATCATCGAATGAAGTAATGGTATAGCTAAGTCGCTTTTGTTCCCCAATAGAATGTCTTAAGTCTCCAAGGTTCATGAGTTCCAAGATTTATCTTTACTAGAGGATGTACTTCAGGTTTTAAACGACCTGGAGACCCTCCCTCTAAATAGAAAACAGATTCGATGTCCCCGAGTTTCCTAATAAAATAATCACCTTCAGCCTTTGGTGGTTTGTTTACCACCTCATTCAAGATTATCTTTAACTTGTCATTATTTGAAATTTCAACAATTTCAGCTGGTTCAACATCAATATTATCACTAGGTTTTACACTAACAACTGGAATTCTTCTTAATTTTCCACCATAATAAATGAAACCTTCCTTATCCACAGATTCAGGATTATGCACGAGTGATAATTTATATTTATCTTGAAAATTGGTACCCAAAAGAACCGAACCAACAGGAGTATTATCATGGAGAAACATCAGAACCTGTAACTCTATCCCCTCAATGATCAACATAGTGTCCACATACTTCTTTAAAGTCAGCTCCATTTGATTTGCTGCCTTCATTGAAACTGGAAATTTCAACTGTTTGATTTCCAAATTTAACCCTACAATTGTCTTTGGATTGATCAATGTTGCTTGTGAACCATTATCAATCTTCAATCTCACTGGAATATTCCCAATCTATGCATCCACATAAATCTTAGACCCAACTAAATCATGAATACTATCATCAACTTTCACTTGATCTACTTCAAGTTTGGATCTCCCAGTAATGGTACAATAACAATTTCATCAACTTCAGGAATCTGTTGATTAGTCGCGCTCGTATAACGTAAGGTGGAAAAGTAAAGTATAAAGGAAAAAATATATATTAAAACTCTAAATACGAGACCCTGAAATGTCTGTATATTAGGAATATTTGGTAATTATTTGTTGATCCATCCAAAGGAAGATTCCGCAAGCAAAGTTAAAACAACTGGTTGAGAAGATTTATTGCTTTGCTTTGAATGTAACAAATCCTTGTTACCCAAACTACTAAATCATAATGCAATCTTGCTCGGGTTTATACAAAAGGAAATTTCGAATTGTTTTTATCGTCATCATATCCAGTTCGTCTTCATCTTTTAATGGAACACATAATTGAAATCCATTTTGATTGGGTACTTCTTTTATACAATCCAACATTTTAGATGCCGCAACATGCAACTTTTCAACAACATCTTGTTCAAAATTGTCTTCAACCTGGGTCTGGATAGATAGTTGTTCAAATGGAAGGTTATTGGGTGGTGCTTTTGTTGAATAATGATATAGATTAGTTTTCTCCTCGCTGATTTTACTGTTGGTGGCGATTTCAAAATGTCTTAGTTCTCGCATAACGTTTTCTTGTTCCTCAGTTGTATTCATGTAAATGTTAATATCATCCGCAAAAGAATAGTCTTTTCCAAAATAAGTTCAATGATCCATTACCAAAATTCTTAAAATGTCTAAAGTCATATTCATGTAAAAGGCAGTGAGTCTCATCAATGACAACGTTGATTTGGATCCCGGGATGGAGGCTTGTGTGTGAATAAACTAATGGTACGATAAAATGAGTACACCATGAGCAGAAAATTAATTGTACTGGAATAACCGAAAAAGGCAACAAACATATTGAAGAATGAAAGTGTATCCCGAAATGGTTCCAACCTGGGGGATAGCGAAAAAATGTTCACTAGCACGTTCTAAAACTTCTGGAATTCTTGCACGAAGGTTCTCAATATGTTCGTGCGTGACTTGCACAAAGCGGGCGACATCAACTTCTTTTGGCCAAATAGAAAGTAACAATCCGAAAGCGCATGCAGCAATTTGGTAGGATTTTCCTTGATGATGATGTTCAATTGATTTGAGATGTGTGATACCATAGTCATATAATAACTGATCAGCAACTTCATTAACATATTCTTTTCCATTATCAGTTTTGAGCTTCGTGAAATAACCAAACCGACAAATGAGATCTCGATAAAGAAAATCAGCAATAGCAGTGCCTGATAATTCCAGCATAGCACAGGCCTCCACCCCCACCCTGAAAATTCGTCACGGGCAACAACAAGATAATGATCATTGAGGAAGACTGTATCAATTACCACAGTATCAAAGAAAGCACCTGGAACATGTAGATAAAGTGGAGCAGCTTTCAGCATCGTACCATCATACTTCTGACAAGTGTCACAACTCTTAATAAATGCCTGGAGATATTCATGTAGGTTAACAATAAAATACATTGATGAAATATAGTTATAAGCATTCTGTTGTTTCAAATGTCCACGATCATCACGAACCACCTCACGAATCTGCTTAATGGACCCTGTATCTAAGACAACTGGCCCGGACTTCGTCACCCTTAAAATTCTGATTTTCGGAAATACTCCAAGCAGCTGCAAATGCTAATCTAATTGAACAGGGTAAATTTTCATCACGATACTACATGTTTCCAAATTAAATGTAAATTCAATTGTTTTCCTTCAGGTACTGGAATTACTTCCCCAGATGACACAGAGCTATCCTACTCAAACCAAAACCTACTATTGCTGATTGGACAGGTTTTGGTGGTTGTATTGATTGCTCTGCTTAGTCTGATCGCTGGTGTTGTTTTGATTGCTTTGTTATCTATAGTTCCCAGCTAAGTCATGATGCCTTATCTCGTGTGCAAGTTTTCTATGGGCACCCCTGAGCCGATTTCGACGACGAAGGGTAAGGTTACCCAAGAAAACTCATTCCAGTTGCCTTCTGTCAAACCGCTGATTTGTGAAGGACGAGGTTTCCAAGGAGGCTGACAAGGCGTCATGGGGTTTCTGTGGAATCCCTGAACGATTTGTGAAGGGTATATGGTTCCCAGAGTCCATATGATTTTTGCGAAAACCCCTGAATAGAGATTTTCTTGTGAAGGGCAAGGTTTTCTAGAAATCAAAAAGCTGAGTGTATATTGATCTATATAGAACTTTTCCTTTAATATATTCCTTTGCCTTTTTGTATTATAATCTTCTTAGAAACACGTATCTCGTGCAATTTCGCTTCATTGAGTTCACTCGGATCAATTTACCAGAGAGCAACCCCTTCCCCCAATATCATCGGATGTGGAACTACTATAAACAGAGTATAAAGATCAAGCAATTTCCTTTAGAGCATTGCAGTACTACAGTTTCAAAGAAAAGAAGATTATTATACAGTTAGCTTCTACATGCCAAGAACCAAGTCAAGCCCATAGTGCAAATAACGACATGGCCTTCATGTTGTTCGATAAACCATGATAGCTGCAACTTACTAGTGCCGATTACTGTGCACTCATATTCTCTGCAGTATCTCTCTGTTCTATTTTCTTCATCTTAATTGGGCTCCACGTCAAATACGTCGTCAATTTCTATCAGCATCATTGAATTCCACACCACTGAATCCCACACTTGTCTTCCAACTTAGATTGAGTCAACCCTTCTTCCTCTGAAATCAGATAAAAATCCATCACACAAACCAACTATTTGTCAGGTATCTAATTCAATATGAAAGGATTACACTGATCTATGAAATCCGGCCCAACTCTCGCCATATCGTAACACTGTCAATTCCTCTTCTTCATTGAATTCCACATGTAATTCTTCCAAAAGTATATCGCCCCCTTTGAAACCCACAAGAATTACCACCATTCAAATGCTTCTACCACCATCCTCAAAGTGGCAATGGAAACGTCCACCACCATTATTGAAACTGTTCCAACACCAACATTCAAATCGAAATCAAAATTCCCATCACTAACATTCAAACCCACATTGAAATTTTCCATCACCACAATTGAAGTGTCCATCAAAAATCGTCATCATCACCATCGTAATTGTCCATTACCAAAATATTGAAATCCTACTCTAATTATTGATCATATTCTTCATTTACCATTCCGACCTGGATCAAGTCAAACCTTCTTCCGGTGAAATCAGATGAAACCCAGTCATACAAAACTATCCATTGGTCAGGTGGATAATTCAGTATGAAAGGATTTATACCCGATCCATTTGAAATCCAGACCAACTCTCTCCAAATTGTATCATCACCAACTCTTGATTTCCATATGATTTAATATAAGGATGTGGTTGAGATGTGGTTGATTCAGAAGATAATGATTAATGGAATAGGGTGGAATAGGGAAATTTCATTTGGATAAAGTAAAGTACATGATGTTTCAATTTCGTTTCTGCGGTTTGAGTTTCTGTGGTTGAGTTTTTGGAGTTGAATTTTTGGAGTTTAATTTCTAAGTTTCGTATGCTTTTCATAACTTCATTTCCACAAAAATTTCTTTGAATATTGAAAAATGCAATGGCCTCTTCTGGGTTGATTGATAAGATTTAATCAAATTGTTGGCTCGATATATTTATTGAATTGGTGGATTTCTTTGTGAGCGGTAAAGATGATTTTTATATTTAAATAATTATTCAATTTTTTTCGCAATCTGAGCGTTTAAAGATTGTGCTGCAAATTTTTCAACAACCGCAAAAATACATAAAAAAAAATAAACCAAATAAATCTAGACCATAGACCAACACAGACCAATTCTAACCAAGGTAATCAACTACTTGTGGGGGTCTATGCTTCCTAGAGATCATGAGATTTCCGTGAAAACACCCTGAATAGAGATTATTCGTGAAGCACAAGGGTTTTAAGAAATCTAAGCTGAGTGCATATTTACATGGGAATTCCCGTTTAATAAAATCATTTGCTTTTTGTATTATCATCTCCTTTAAACAAATAATATATGAAAATGTATTTTATAGAGTTCATTCTTATTATGTTACTAGATAGTGAATGCTTCCCCTAGTATCGTCAGAGTGGTGTAACTAAGAGAGTTTGTAATAATTATAGAGTTTCCACGATCAAAAATTGAATAAACAGAAATTCAATTATCTCTCTTATAAGATATCTCAATTAGAGCAAAATCTTCGTCGGCCATGTGTTTGGAAAATAGAGTTTCACTAAAGTTTGTGGTTATTTTCCAAATTGCCTAGCAAAAATATTGGTGAGCGTGATTTTCGCATGACATTCACGTGACATGAAACTTTGGTGATGTAGTTCACTGACATATAAGAATTATTACACGGGTACTTCGTTTCCTATAGAATAAGTGCAAACTACGAGCTACTCTGTTGATACAGGAACGGGTGTAAATACGAGGTGAAAATGTTTGTGTTTGGAGAACACGATTTTTTTTGGCGGAAAATTGACGATAATTTTGGGGTAAATTTTCAACTCTATCTGTAGACGAGAAACTACCTGAGGTCCATTTTTGAGTCGCCATTCGAAAAGATAACGAGAGATGTACGATTGAACTTACAATATACAGGTCAACTTATAGCAATAAGGGACATATTCCCAATTTGGGTATACAAATAGGCCAATTTAGATTTTCAGGAGAGTTTAGCCAATTTGCGGCTAAAAAAGGGCCCAGGGGTAAGGGACGAACGTGGATAGCTTAAAACGTTGTCAAACGAAATGTAATCCCCGGAAATTGGATGCAATTATAATCCCTTCATTCGTTTCTGTATCACTTCCGCCTTCGGCACCGGTATAGCATTTAAACTTTGAAGAAAAATAGCTTAGTTTGCCTTTAGGTTATGCATGGCTTGGCGGAATAAAAATCTTTAAAGAATTCGATATTCGCGTAATCATGGAATATTCTAAATTTTTTGTTGTTGTTCTTTCGACTAACTTTGACAAATTCTAGGCATTGATGGAGAGGGGGAGGGGGGAGGGGGGAGGGGTGAGGAAATAGATAAATCCGATGAGGTGGGGTGAGGTGATATGAAATCTTTTTGTTGGGTTAAATAAATTACAGTAATTCTTGGGCCAATCAAGATGCAATATTAAGTATGTTAATAATTATACGAATAGTTTAATATAGATTTTGTTGTGGGAGATCCTTTTTGTATAATTAGAATTATACGTAGAATAAAATTAAAACAATAAAAATAAAAAGCCATGACCACCAACAAACAACAAAAAAAATAAATATTAATATTGTTTACTTTAGCCGCATTTGCCTAATTGGGAATAATCTTTAACAAAACCAGCCCTTCTTTTTTTGTTTGTTGTCTCTTATTCTTAACTTATCTGGAACTAACCCCATACATTGATAGACAATATAACAATACCAACGTACTTTACTGTTGTGTATATTCATCTACAAGTATCTTCTAGATGTTATAAATTATAAAGTCAAAAGAACCACCAAAAAATTAAAGAAAATTTACGTTTAAATCTTAAAATTTTAATTTATTTTTATTTATTTATTTTTCTTTGTTGGTTGTAAAAAAAAAACGATTAAATTTAATTTTCAAATTATTGCAACGTCAGTCTTAGTAATATTATTCATTCATTTACTACTGCTACTGTTGCTACCATACACTGGTACTTTCTACCAAGACAACTAATTTATAATACATACCTACCAAACACACAAAGAGATTCAATCCATTTCTTTCAATTTTGAAAAAAACAATCCTTCATATAATCAATTGAACCATTTACTTACTAATTTTTTTTTACAACCAACCACCTGATTATCCATAAGAAACCTATTTTTTTGAACAACCACATAGTTTAATGCCAATTATATCAATTGGAAGGCAAAAGAATGTATCAATCAGACTACTTTACCTCTGAGAATATAATACTATCTTTCATAGCAACTTATCTTGTTTGGTCATTAACATGGTATATCATTTATATCACATTTGGTATTCATCTAAAATCAATTAGTATAAATAATGGATTACTGCTTAACAAAATAACAATACGAAATAAGAATTATAAAGTAATAATACGATCATTAAGATTTAAATTATGGGGAAATAATCGAATGATTATCATCGATGACCTAGAGATTAAACGATACTCAAAGACAACCAAAACACCTTCAAAAAGAAAACAACAACATCATCCGGACACGGCAAACTCCAATTCATTTGTAAACATATTTCCCGTGAAAAGAATACCTAGAACAATTGTCAGCATACTTATTCGACATATACCTTCAATTGATATCGAATTCAGACATGTACTTTTCTTATCTACAAATGATCATAGTACAAGAATAGAATATATGAGATTCAACCTTGAATCCAGATATAGTAAAAGATTCAATGATGAAGTGAAATATAAAATGTCAGTTTCTATTAATGATCTACTACATGAAACTAACACCAATAATGGGATTATAATCCAACCATTTTCTTTGGCCGGATTCAGAGTCGAATTTAAATTCCTGGTGAATTTCTATTCTGGTGTAATGGATAAATTGACCCTGAAGATGAATATAAGTGAAAGTGATATCCTGATATTTAACGCAATGAAATATTACATCTTTGCCGAATGTGATGAAGAGAAAGAAAGAGTTGAAGCCACAATTACAAAACCTAATGAAGAATTCAAAGGAGAAGCTACTAGATCAGTACCGCCAATTGAAAGATATTATAGAACAGTGTATTCATTAGTCTCAGATATCACAGTACATCTTGAAAATTGCAAGATTTCTGAAATTCCTATTGCAACCATTGATCACAATATTGACATGAAAGAATATTTCAGTGCCACCAAACCACAAACCTATCTTGAAGTTACTACAAAGTCAGTATCGTTTAATTTTGCAAGATTATATAAAGAAGCAGCGGGATTTGAAGTCTTATTTGACCCTGAAAAGGATAAACCATTTCATTTGACTTGCTCAGTTCAATTACTTAAGGTTTCCTTTGCACAAATGATCCAACGAGAAAATGGAACCAATTCGAAAAGCATGGATGAGATTTTAAATATACCAAACTTTGCATTGACTTACAAAACAAATGTCTTAGATCAATTAGTAAAGGCAAAAGGGTTTAAAAATTGTATAATTGAAGTTTATTTTTCAGCAAGTACTCCAATTCTTGATATGAACACTAGACAATTAAGTGCTGTCCTTTATAACATTGTATTAATTCAGAAATATTCAAAACTAAAGAGGATAAGACGAGCATTAGCAGATTGGGCTATTGAAAAGGAACAGCAACATGTGGAATCAGACGATGGTATAGATGAAGATACTCCCCAGGAACTTGATATATCATTCAGACAAATGACAGCCAAACATGAATCATTAAAAGCGAGAATATGGCGACATGTGAATGAAATTTATCCGCATTTAGATATGAAAGTAGTTATTGAACAACCGAGGTTGGTTCTTCGTCATTATGAACAAAGCAAGAATACCCAAATCTTAACATTTTCTTATTCATTGTTCAATTTTAGTTTATCAACCACAGAATCAAGAGATTATCAATCAAGTTGTCAAATATTATATCCAAAACTCATCTATCAAGAGAAGTCCTGCATTTCTTCCCATGAAGACAATAATGAAATTATTAGAAAACAAGTAAGTGGATTAAGTTATTTTGATTTAAAATTTAATCTTTATAAGAACTTGAAATTGAGATGTTCAATGGATCTTAGTGATTTAGCATTTGATTTGACAAATATTGATATTTTTAATGGGATTAATTCTTTGTTGTTGGATATAACTAAAATTGCCGAGACTGATCTTCAGATTGGTGTTATAAATGTTGCATTTAATGAAGAATTAGCTAGACTTCGAACAAGATTATTGAATAGAAATGATATTTATGATGCTGATTTTCTGCCCGCTATTAAGAAATCATTAGAAGATTCATTATTTAGATATTTACCAAGATGGCTCATAGATATGGAATTCAAATTATCGAGATTGAATATATTATTAGGATCTAGATCAGTATTAATTCCCAAGGAACAATTATCAAGAATGAAAGGAGAAGATTTCACTTCAGATTTCAATCATGAACATGAATTACGGGCCTCAAATTTAAAAATTGAGACACTTGATATCAAGCTTGTGAATAATAGAATACATCGGAATGACTATGTTTCAATTGAGACTGCACCATTTATATCGTCATCACTGGAAACTTTGGCTTCATTGGAAGATGATATATCCTATTGGACAATGACCTCGAATATTGAACAATTGGCGGTGGAGACAAGAAGTAATTTGGAATTAAAGCTATCATCATCTTCCTCATTTGAGAATTTATTAACCATACCTTCATTTAAAGCAACTGTGTCAGCCATATGTGATAGTAATCTCGAGAATAAATTAGTGGTTGATTTTGATTGTGGGAAAATTAAATTTGAATATGATAAATATAAGATATTCACCTTGATTGGATCAATTTATTTAATTGATGAATATATCGTGGGGCCACTTCAATTTGTTCGTAAGAAGATGAAGAGAGAAATGGTCAAGTTTAACAATCCGTTATTTTCACCTCGAGAACAAGAAAGTAAAAGAACAATATTGGATTATTTAATAATGGATATGAAATTGGAAGGAATAGATATGTTGTTACATTTAGGAAGTGATTTCAATCTGAAATTTGAATTTATGAAAGTTATGGCCAATATCAATGAAAAACAATTTAGTTTATCTGTAGGTCTTCTGAGACTTTTGGCTGATTCTCCAACAGTTGTGAAAATGTGGTGTCGTATACTTTGTTTAGATAATTTGGCAGTATCTTTCCGGTTACCTCATTTATTACGTGATTTAAAGATTGATATAACTACTGAAGCAATTCGACTTTTCCAACCCCATGATTTTGTGGTTTATAAATTATTTGATCATATTTCAGTTGCTTGGAAACTTAATAAGCATTTATTTAAACAATTAAAGAATCAAGACCCAACCAAATCAGATCTGAAAGTCGTACATCCAAAACTCCAGAATGCGGTCCGACTTCCTCTTATTAAAGTTAGATCCAAATATCTCAAGTTTATGATGGAAGATGATCCTTTTGAAGCGGAATTAGGAATGATTTATCAATTGGGAAGAGTTGAACAACGGAAAAGAATGGAATTGTATTCTTTGTTTGAAACTAAAGCCGATGAGGAAGATTATAATGGTGATGCATATTTTGATAAACTCCATAGGTTGAATACGACGATTTCTTCATCTTGGATTAGGAAAGTGAAAGTTTACAAAGCGAAATTGAAAGATGAAATAATAGATAATAGGAAATATTTGTTTGGATGTGAAGCAGGGAATGTTGATGAGAGGTTAAATGAAGATGTTGTACCGTATTCTTGCAATGCTCCCTTGTTTAGTATATATATGGAGAATGTTGATTTGGATCTTGCGGCACCGAAATTTGATTTACATGATCTTCCGAATTTTATTCATGCTGTTGGTCAAGGAGTTCCAAAGAGTACATTATATTCATTATTGATCCCAATGTATTTGAATCTTGAATTAAGTGAATTAAGAATGCATTTACGTGATTATCCAATTCCATTATTACATGCTCCTCGAAATAAAGATAAATCGAATCCAAGTGTTAAGTTAAGAGGTCATTTGATAATCACAGATCAACTTCTACTGGCAATGGAGAATATTAGAAAGATAAATGTCCAATTAACACCCCAGCTAACGAAACATAATCAAGTGTCTCATAAGTTTGATTCCATTATAATTGAAAAAGTATTATCATCAGTTAAATTATATACCGATCTAGCATGTCATTTTGATTCAGATTATCCTACTAGATTCATATGGTGTACATCATATAATTTTGCCATTCAACAACTTATGCTTAATTTTGATCAATTTTCCAAACCACCAATAGATCCATCCAGAAAGCTTGGATTTTGGGATAAGATAAAATTAATCCTTCATGGGAAATGTGTCATTAAAACCAGACAGAGTTTAGAAATCGGATTCAAGGGTTCAAGAGATCCATATGATTTATTCAATATTGCAACTGGGTTTGTATTATCATTTAGAAAGAATGTTGTGTGGACAATTAATAAAGATGATGATCCAACTAGTCTTTTTGATATTAATTCTGATAAAGTGTCTTGGTATATTCCAAACTATCTTGGCGCACCATTGTTATCATGGACAAGAAAGAGTAGCAAATCGGTATATATGCCCGATTCACCGAATTTTATAAGTAGTTGTTTTGCATATTATTTAGAACCTACCAATAATGTGAAGAAGGTGGATTTAGATTATGCGAGAAGGGTATTTGCCAAGGATGTTATTAATCTTAGTGGAGGAGTTCATTTCCGATTAGGGTTTTTGTTTCAGCGGAAAGATAAATCAGGTGAAAGAACTGATCAATTCAAGCCTCATTATGAAGTTTCATTATATCATCCTGATTATTGTGAACCGGGTCATGATTCTTATGAAGGTTTCCGGAGTGAATATATTCACATGTCGTATTCATTGGATGCTAGTAGTGAACAAAGTTATAACACAATTCACTTAACTCCAGGTGTTTTTACTCAATATTTCAGTTGGTGGGATTTATTTTCAAGTAATATGTTGATTCCAGTTAGAAGAGGACCTATGTTTGGAGAAACAAAACAATCAATTAAATTCTCGCTGCATTTATGTACAAATAAGTTTTCATTTTATTTGAAGTCATTATTTATTTCTCATGTCTATCGTGATGAAATTATTGATTATAATGATGATAAAGTTGAATGTATTGGTATTCGGGCCAAGATGGATTTATTTTCAGTTGATTTACATCAAAGAAAAGAACCAAGAATTGTATTTCATGAAGGATTATCAAAGAATGAAAATATAACGAGAATGAATTTTAATGTTGGTGAAGTCCATTTATGTGAATTTGATTTACGAGTTATGAATGCAACATTTATTCAAAATTTACTTTCACAACAACAAAATGAATATGATGATTCGAAATCGAAATATGATATTTTTGATAATGATAAACATTGGTTTGATATTAATGATTACGAAGAAGCTTGTCTTCCATCCATAAAGAATTGTGATAGGACGGTGAAAGTTATTCCATTGATGTATTGTCGAAGGTTTTCATATGAAAGAGACACCCATTCTAGTTCAAATACAAGATTATTAAACCATTATGATCAATTTGGAGATGAAGTTATTCATGAATGTCGATTAGGAAAATTGGATCCATTTCAACCACAAGTTGAAGTTTTGAGATATAGAGTTGGGGTATTGCTGAAACAATTAAAGAGAAATCAAAAGAAAGGTAAAGATTCCCGAGAATTGATGGAAAGAATTAAATATCTTAATTCTGAGATTAAAGATTTGAATGATGAATGGCATGGAACTTGTCGGCGACAATCCACGTTATCACAATTGGACAGACTTGAACGGTATAATAATAAATTTACCTTGTTTAGTATGTTGTTGAAATGGAATTTTAATTGTAGGAATCTTGCATTGAAATATATCCATTTTGTACAATTGAAAGCATCAGTTAGGAAATTTGCATCACATGAATCAATATCCATGTTGGAAAAGATTATTGATAAGAGTAATCAAATATTAGAAATGGAAAGTGCGTCACTTGCATCAGATGCCATCAGTAGATTGGCTAAAGCAGGTAGGTCATCCGATCAATCAAGAAAGAAAGAATCCACTTCTAAAGAACGATTAGAGAATTTTGATAATATATTAAGAGAAAAGAGAACAACTGAGGATATTTCAGAAGATTATTTAATTGAACTTATATCCCCACAAATCCAATTAGAAAGTACCGATTGTCCAGATTCTGTTGTTTTGATATCTGCTCCTTCAATTGATAGCAAGATTGTATCCATTATTGATAAATACACCACATCTGAAGTATTAGAAGAAAGAATTGGGGTCCTTTTCCGTGATGCTAGTATCTTCGTATTGAATAAAACTGATGTTCTCAATGCTGATAATATCATAACTTCGGAAACTTGCTATGGAGCAAAAGGGAAATGGCCACCTTGGTTAGGTTCTGAAATCACCAAGAATGCAAAATGGGCAGGTGCAAACCAATTATTAGTTGAACAGCTATCAGTTTCACTCTTTTATACCGAAGTTCAAATACTAGGAAATCGATTGGCTCAGATTAATGATGTAACCTCACATTTGTCAGTATTGGATCAGGGAAACACAATTGATGCTCATGAAGATATAGAAGCACCCAAGAAACTTAGAATTGATGCACCTTCTGTGATTGTCTCATCTACGGCAAGTCAATATTTCACATTGTATGTGATTATCCTTAGTTTGTTGTTCTATAATGAACCAATGAGTAAAGTGATAGCTAAGAAGTTGGAGAAGTTACATTTTTCAATTGATTTTCTGGATTTGACTTCAATGAGTGAGAAATTGATCCAATTGCAGGATTATTATAAGATGTTGAATTTGCTTTCTCATAATTTTAGTTTTAGACAAGGAGAACTTAATAATGAAGGGTTGAATGATTATTTACTGCTTAATGCTCAAAGAAGAGAAGTGGCTAGTGATATCTATTTGCTATTGAGGACTTTGTTAACTGGTGAGTATGCTAATGATTCATCGAAGGCATTACAACGTTATTGGTTAGTTAGAGCTGATGAAGTTATTTTACATATTTTAGAAGATGATAGAACTCCAATTATTGATTTAGCATTGGCAAGAGGAACTTACAAGAGGAAAGAACTTGAAGATGGTTCAAATATCAATAAACTTGAGATTGGTATTGTGCAAGGGTTTAATCTTATACCAAAGGCAAGATATCCAGATTTCATTCTGCCATTTAAATTTGAAGAATCTTTAGGAAGTTTGATAGAAGTTGAATGGACTATGAGAAGATCAGTTGGTGGGATTAAAGTTATCCAAAATATTGAAATTAACTCCTTACCGTTAAATATCAAATTAGATGAAACAACTGGTGAGAAGTTGATGAATTTTATATTTGGATCAAAGGAAAGTCCAATACTTGAGATTACGCACGATTCAAGATCAAAGGCATTACAGGAAGACAAAGATGTTGCTGAAGGAGAAGATGATGATATATTTGGATTTGTTCATCAGAATAAAGATAGTGATAAATCTGTTACAATTGATTCTAAGGGTAGTAAGAAAAATAGTGGATTAGGATCAGCTTCTCAATCAACAGATACTGGCAGTGGTACTACTAATGGTGATCAAATTCGGAATGATCAGATTGATACAATGATTGAGAGATCTAAGAAATTCTTTTCCGTGGTTTCTTTATTAGTCCGGGCTACTTCATTACAAATATCACTTAAACTTAATAAAGGATATAAGAGAATATTAAACGTTCAAGATTTACAATTAGATTTACGTGAGATTCGTATTCAACATCAAATATTATCATTTTTAGAAATGTCCAAATTAATTCAAAAGGAAATCGTCAAGACTTTATTAAATCATACTGGGAAACTATTATCTAATAAACTTAGTGTAACTAAACGACTGTCAAAGGAAATATTAGCTTTACAAATAAAACCATTAAAGAAATATGCTAGATTCACCAAAATATCAGAATTACTTGACAGTGGCAATGAAAGTCAATAAAGAATTATAATTTATATTTATTAACTAATTTTATATTATTATTACACACCAATTAATTATCTTTAATATACATATTTGTAACATTATAAACTCTACTGGTTAATGTTATATATGCTGTCTCTTTGTTTCTACTCCATTCTGGACCTTCTTCTTACGCTTATTCTTCTTAGATCCATATTCATCATTCTCCGACATATCATCCCCTCTCATCAACATTTGTTGATCATTAATTGCTAAATCAACCGTATTAAATCCAGGAATCCCATTTATAGGAGTTTTCTCAAATTTTAAAGCTCTATTCAATAATTCTGGATCTAATTGTTTTATTATATCTGGATTTTGTCCAACATTAGGATCTAATAATCCTGGTGGGATTGGTTTCAGACTTGATATTTGATGTTTTCCGGGTAGGTCTTGGATATGATTTTTGTATGATTTTCTTAATTTAACGCCCTTGGATCCATCGGGGTTTGTTCTGGCTAGGGATTTTGCAATCGGCTCTAATCCATATATCGATAGCAAGTTATCTATGGGTGTAGGTTTTGGAGGTTGATAAATATCTAAAGGTTACATTGGTTAGTATTTATTGAAAACATGATTGATGTTGAATGGGGTGTAACGTACGTTTTGAATCTATTAGATAATAACTGTCTATTCCTTCTGCTACGTTATTCGGCGCTTCTGACATCCTTCTTCTATATATCTGTTCTATTATTCTTCTTCCTACAAAGGAGGTTTGATAACTTGTGTGTAATGAATTTCACCAACTGATTCTCCCCTCCAATTATATTTTTTTCGTTGGGGGGGCGTATTGAGAGGGTTTTTTCAATTTTTTGTAAATGACTGACTAACTGACTTTTCAGTTTATGTTACAATTTTTGATTAGCTTCTACGCTTTTAAACGTAATAGATGTTAAATTGGTAGCAATTACCCAGAAGTACCAAGGAGACATAGAAGAGAGCCTATTAGTAATCGAATAGTAAGTGTAACAGTACATAATTTATTATTAAAAAAAAGTTTACCTAAAATTAAATACATAAACCCCATGTTGGTAGAAAGATTAAAAAAAGACTAAAAAGAAGAAAATTTAGAGTATCTATAAAACACATTCTCTCATTCAAATAACAATAAAAGAAACAATCAGTTATGGCAGTTGTAGTAGTGGTAGTAATACAAGTAGTGAACAACATCTACTTACGAACAACTTCCCAGCCATCATCATTAGATTCACCAACAGATAATTTAGAAGTAGCAGATTCTAATTGTTCAACCTCCTTGTCTTCTTCCTTGCTTGGTACAGTTTCTTCTTCTTCATCTTCAGAGTCATCATCACCTTCAAGAGCAGCTAAAACACTATATGAAGATTTTTGTGGACCAGCTGGAGCTTCCTTCTTTTCTTTAGCAGGAGTAACAGGAGAAGCTGCAGCCTTTGATTGTCTAGGTGGTAAAGCTTGACCTCTACTCCAATCAAATTCTGGTTCAGCTCTGTTTGATTTTGATCTATATGGTTTATGTTCTTGAGCTGGTGCTCTTGTCCAATCCAATTCTTTTTCTTCTCTGTTTGATTTTGATCTATATGGTCTTTCATGATGTGGTTTATCTTCTCTTGGAGGTAATGCAGCACGAGTGGATCTAGCAGCACCCCAATCTAAATCTGGTTCTTGTTTTCTTGGTGGTCTTTCACTTCTTTCACCTCTTTCAAATTCACCTCTGTCACTACGTTCTCTTGGTGGTAAAGTGGCATGACTGTGTCTAGCACTACCCCAATCTAAATCTGGTTCTTCTCTTCTTGGCGGCCTTTCGGATCTTTCACCTCTTTCAAATCCACCTCTGTCACCACGTTCTCTTGGTGGTAAAATAGCTTGAGAATGTCTAGCAGCACCCCAATCCAAATCTACTTCTTCTCTTCTAGGTTTCATAGGACCTCTTCCTCCAGATCTCCAATCACCATCAAATGCATCATTTCTAGGTGGAGCAGCAACACTAACGAAAATCTTTCTACCCAAAAATTCACTATAATTCAACTTTAATGCTTCTTCTAATAATCCACGTTCAGTAAAAGTAATAAATCCAAACCCTCTTAATTTCCCAGTTTCTTGATCTACAGGTAATCCAACATCGGTAATAATACCTTGAGCTTGCATTCTACTTTCAAAATGTCTTGTGATTTTTTCTTCATCAGCTTCCCAAGGTAAATTACCAATACGGGCTTTGTATGGAGGAACATCCGGAATTGGGAATTCTTTTCTTTCTGGTCTGTTGGAACGGAATCCACCTTCATCATTACCACCCCATTTTGAGGTAGAAGAATCACCTTCACCCCATCCGCTACCACCGGCTGCAATGTTACCGATAGGTGCTTCGGTGGTGAGACCTACACCGACGCTGCCCATGTCGATTTCGGTGTCTGCCCAGGATCCTCCGAAGGAATCATCGGCTAAGAATTCACCTAAATCCATCTTCTTACTTTTTTGCTTTGGAGCCATCTTGGAAATTGATTGTTGCTTTGAGATATACTTTTTCAGAAATTAAAAATATAATTATGTATTGTTTGGTAATTTGTATATATACGATTTATATGAAATGGAGTATATACACAACTAGATTAGATAGTTAACACAGTTGTTGTTCTTGGTAATAAGCAGTGTGGTAATTAAACGTCTCATCAATTTTTTTTTTAGTTTGGAAAATTTTTTTTTGTTCTTTTTTCAGACAGACAGACAAAAAAAATTAAAATTCTCGCGTTTCCACATGCAGGTCATCCGCATTTAGATTTAGAACTCCGAAATAGTTACTATTACCAGTGCCCATACATACTTCTGAATAGATACTTTACCAAACGATATGTAACGATTAGTAGTATTAATAATAATAAAACTATACATGCAGAAAGAACTAAAAATGAAAATACCTAAATACAAATTTCAAAAAACAATGAGAGAGAACTAAATATAAAACCAATAAAAGATGCCACAGGATCCACCACACATATAACCACTAAATCACACTCTATTTTCAACTATAGAACGCCTATCAGCTTCGACAATATCCATTTCAACCATTTCTGGGGTCGAAGCAGTCGTGTTGCCATTAACAACATCTCCTTCCTCATTATTTCCGTTCTCTCTTTCATTCTGGGGTTGGGCAGCTTCTTGATCCTCATTGGTAGTAGTAGCATCAGCCGGAGCTTCAGGATGATCTTGACGATATTGCTGGAATAAAGTCAACACCGCCCAATTAAATAAATCCTCTTTTGATATTCCCATTAGTCTCCACCAAATCAATTTCGGAAATCCTCCATATTTCTTACTTGACATCGCTCTTGCATCTTCTTCGAAATTCAATTGGGAATATTCCGGATTTTCCAAAATCATCCGCACGCGTTCTGAAGGGGGGATTAACTCCGCCAACATGGTTTGAAATGCTGGGTCATTACGTATTTCCTCAAGATCAAAACTGAATGCATCATCATCATCGTCATTATTCTCATTATTATTTTCATTGGAATTGGCATCTTCATTGTTGTTGTCGCTGGCTGTGTCATTGCCTCCAACACGATCTCTTTTGAAGAGATAGTCACGTTTACACATAGGACAACATGCACGTCTTTTCGTCAACCATGGATCTAAACATTCTGCATGGAATACATGACCACAAATCAATCCACGCACAATTTCATCATCTTCAATTTGATCAAGACATATAGCACACGTTCCTGACGTGAAATGTAATTCTTCTTTAGTGGTGTCATTGTTACTGCTGACATTGGTGACATGATCAGTTGTAGCTAGATCTTGTTCCAAATTGGTTTGAATATGGTCTATTTCGGCTTTGGAGGAGTTTGCTGGCGTAGTATCATTTCTTGTGATAGTGATTGTGCTATGCATGCTATGAGTGTCTTCATCATCAACTGCGGCAGTTGTATCTACATCATTATGGTCATTGACTCTAGTGGTTTGTTGATTTTCTTCCAATGAATCCTCTTCCCCTTCTTCTACATCTGCATCCACCAATGTTCCTTCTTCTTTCAACATATCTTCACGTTGTTCAGAATCCCGTTCTTGACCACCATGCAACCAATCATAATAACTCTTTCTAGGAAACAAAATCTCAACTTCTTCTTCACTCAATTTCTTCCTCTTTGCATAACCTCTTCTTCTCCTTCTTAATCTTCTTCTTCTTCGCCGTATTTCATCCTGACTCATCCGACTTTCCATGGCAATATTTCTTAAAAATTGATTTCCACGAATATAATCCAATTGTTCAGCTAATAAATGAATACTTGTCAATGAAGCCCTTGAACCATCCGGTAGGATCACGACTCCATTCTGGATCCCAAACCGACTTCCACTTCCATCGGTATCATCTCCTCCACTATTGTTGCCACCTACACTTGCTCCGGATGTCATCCGGGCAAATGAATAGGCAGTTAAACCATATTTTGACCTCACGAAATATCGAAGGGTGAAATATACAAAGAATAAGGCAATGACTGCTCCAACTGAGATTGCAACAAAGAATAGCACAGTGGAGGGAACTGCCCCGAAGGTGTTGCTTGAAGATAGGGTGCTATTGGTTGGAGATCCACTAGTAGAAGTAGTAATGGTAGGGAGGCCACTAAGTTCTGGGTCTGCAGATGCTGCTCCGGCCGCAGCGGCAGCGTCCATGGTGTCAAAGACGGTGGTTGTTGTTGTTGTGGGTGTGGACATGCTTTGTTGTAGAATTGATCTGGCTGTGGAAATGGGATATTCTGATAATTGTTGTAATAAAGTTGTTCTCTCCAGAGCCATGGAGGGGGGGGCCTTGTATAATTTGTAATAATTATTGCTAAAGCAAAAGTAGGCTTATTTTAAGCAATAGGATACGGATCCGAAAAACGGTTAGTTTAGCAAAATCAATTTGTTCTTATTCAAAGACTTGTGGTCGATTCTTCTTGTTCTTATTCTTATTCTTCTTCTCGGATAAATTCTTATAAGGGAAAAAGGTACAAAGTCGAATTGACAATTTGCTTGTATTTTCTTATCTCTAAATAATCTCTTACTCTCTTTTTTTTCTTCCTTGCTAAAGGGGGTTGGCAATTAAGGGATATTTTACTAAGACCTTCCTTAATTGATGGATTAAATATATTATATTTCTTAATGACTTTTTGCTATGAGTCCTTAAAATGAATTGAAATCCAATCAAATGAAAGAATGAAGAGAAAGAGAAAGGATAAACTTTTAAATATTAAATAAAATTAAATTAAGAAACAGGAGATTTAAAGATTATTATTTTTGTGGGGGGGGGGAATAATAATAGAAGAACCAAAAAGTTTAAAATAAAAAGGGATATAACGGAACTAAAATTTATAATTACACAAAAACTACTTACCAATACGCTACAAGAAAATTGCAACCACCATAGAAAAGCTTAACGTTGGAAGGAGATCATCAATTATTTATGAAATATGTAATGATCCCTTATTCGTAATTAAGGAATATAACCAAAATTCATATTCCGTAATTCCTCAATGAAATTTCCATTCCATTCGGAACAAGAGAGATGACTCCTGCAGGAGAATAATGAGAGTCACTTGATTAGAACCCATTGTTAAAGACTTTGTTCCCGGTTATTCCATTATATAATTACATTGCAGGTGCATATCAAGCCGTGTCTATCCCACGGCAATATATTGTACAACGATCATGATCATTCGTTTAGAAGGTTTTCCTCGGATTAAACAATGAAATTAATATAAGCAAACTAAGTACGATGAGATCAATTGAATGACACTATTAACATGGCTTTGATTAATTTTAAAAAGAAAAGGATTGCAAAATATTTAATCCTTACTAAAAAAAAAAAAAATAAGGACTAACTAAGTAAACAACCAATTGATGATTGAAATAAAAAATTAAATTAAACTTTTAACAACAGAGTCATTAGTTTAAACATATCGTTGACATACAATCCCCTAGTAAACGTATATATCTGTTTACATTTATATGTAACGGTATCCTCCCAAAAAAATAGGGGAGAGAGTTGTCAGTTACAACTATAAATATCCTTAATTTCTTGTTTATACATTTTTGCTTGGTACTTGTCGATGAAATCACCCTTACTCTTAGGCCATATCTTATAAACATTCTCAACTGCTGTCCAGGGACAAGATTCTGTCATAATTTGACTAGAGCCTTGTTGAGAAATTGCAAAAATTATAAGAAAACCTACATGGGTCATCTGGCGCATTCAGCTTGATTCTATAATTTACTTCCTAATTACGCCGAGCGTTCCTGGAACATACCACACCAAAAGTAATTTAATATGACTCCTCAGCGAGGATGCGGAAGGAGAGGATGAAGAAGAGAAAGGCGATCCACTTTCCAATGGCAGTGGAAGTGTGGATAATGAGATGACGATGAACAATCTTGCTAAACATGGTAATAACACAAAAAAAACAGCCAATAAGGCTAGTAATACCACCCCAGATGACTATTTAAGTAAACTTTATGAATCAATAGTAGATTGTGAATCGATTGTGAATCGATTGTGGATGATTTAGAACCTGAAATAAGTTTTTTTCAAATAAATGAACGAATGAACAAATTTATTGAAATCGAAAGCAAAAGTCTTCAAAATACAATCATATCTACTCGAAAAGAAACCAAGCATTCATTAATTAAAAAATGGAATTATGATGACTATGACGATTTCGATATTGATGAATTCAATCATGATCAAGACTGTTCATTAATCGACTATTGAAAAGTCAATCTTTTCTCCGTGGTTGAAAAACTCACATTCTTGTCAGGAACAGACATGTATTAGTGGTCAGGAGTCTACGACATGAGTTTCGCGGTGGAGTAAGACAATGTAGTAATTTGGAATGCGGGAAATGGGAAAAATATCCTCGTGAATTCCTGAAATGTCGAAGTTGTAGACGTACGAAATATTGTTCTCGTGATTGTCAGATGGGTGCTTGGCATTCACATCGAAATTGGTGTATTCCAAGCACATCAAGTGCCACCAGTAATACAGTGTCTTCGAATCATACCAGGAAGTGGAGGAGCAGGACCAGGACCAGGTCTGGGGATAGGTGGAAACGAGGTAGGACATCCTCCCAGTCAATCCGCAGAGAGTAATGACGAGCAAGACAATGCACATGATATAGAGCTGTCATAAATAGTGTATATTATGGAGAGGTAACATATGTCAATAAAAGGTAATGATTTTTTTGGGATTAGTATTCCCTCCTTCAATAAGATTTGAATCAATTAGTTTCAATTGGAATAAAAATATGTCATACGTCTGTATTTAAGCTTCCTGAATATACTCCTTTGAATTCAACTTTGTTTTCTACATTTGAAAGTTTATTCTTCAATAGATCAGTATCAGAAATCACCACTCAACAATTAGAAGAGATTCAAACAACATCAGAACAATACATCAATTACATAGTAGCCAATAAACATCTCAGATTCGATGTGTCAGTAGTTTCCCTGTTTGCCGACAGTTTGGCAAATGTCATGAAATCAGCTTGTGAGGTAAAACGACCTCAACAATCCGAAATATCCCCGATTTAGAGAAAATTACTAATAACCATGAAGATCGGTTGACTTTAGATAGATTGTGTATATATCAAGATTTAGATGCCAGTTCTAATTTCCCAGAAATTATCAAGAATGAATATAATGCATTACCAAATATTGAAGATTCTCCTGAATTTAAAGAAATGCTCAAAAAGAATATTTATTACAAATACTTGAAAGATGTGGCATTTGTCATCTTACATCCGGAAGAAGCAATCCCTGATGAGAATGAGGATGACGATTTGAAAGTCTCAGGAGGGAAAATATCCTTAAAAGATTCAATTTCTTTAAATTACTTTTCTGAACCGGTCAGCTCAATAGAATGTAAGCATACTTACGAGAAACTGAGTATTATGGACCAAATAGGCACTAATGGAATAATAGACTGTCCTCTTATTGGATGCCATGCTAAAGTGAAGAAAGCTAGTTTGGAAAAGGATCTGTTGATGGCGATTCGAATTGGGGCATTTACGAGAACTAACAAACATGAAAATAGACAATTAGACACAGTTATATAGGCTTTAATGAAGTATGCAAGGAAATATTATTAATCTAATTTATTTGTAGAAATTAGTTCATAATGGATCGCGGTTTGAATGATTTCAAAGAGATGTTTCAACCTTATTCATATAACGGAAGATTTATGTATTTTTTAGAGAGCCTTTTGGTACGACTAGACAGCTTGAGGGATCCATGGTCAAACCTGTGTATCAGTCATCAGGCATACTCTGACAAATCTTCGATTTATAAATGGCACATATAATTCTAAATGAGGCCAGCCATTAGAGGGTGTAATGTTCTTAATAATGAGACTGTCTACAGTCGATTAGTTGGCCACTTGAGAATGAATCTGTTCTTTTAGGCGTGCAAAGCTTATGCTAACAGGATTTATCAAAGGACTATGGAGAGAGCAAAAACCCATTTACTTGGAGTTTCTTGTGACAAAGTTGTTGAATTTACCTGGTACTCACACGTAGACATATGTTTCTTGTAATAGCAATAAGTGTTAAGTCTCTATGCTTTGTAGTTTTCTAGAAACTGTTTCCCACAACCACCGCAAGAAAATAATTCTTAGTGACATATTATCGAAAGCATAATCTTTCTAAAAATAATCGTAAATCATCAGAAAAGCATTTCTTTTTCAAAAAGTTTTGGGGAGCATTTGCCAACCATCAAAAACATACAAAAAGGAATCAGAATATAACATGTAGAAACAGAAGGATAGATTTCACTAGGTATTATTCAATGAAAGTTAATACAAAATACGTGTACTTCTCTGACTACACCGATACCAGTATTACAACATCAACATCTTTGTCCAATTTCTACAAACTTTGACAAATTAGATTTGATGAATTGGACGGCATGCGCAGAAATTTGCCCATACCCATTGACACATTTCTTCCATAGCTCATCGCAAATATTAGAATCCTGCGCCATTTTTCCAAGAAATTGATAATAGAACAGGCGGGATTTATCCATGGATAATTGAATAAATTCAATGATGACCCCCGCAAGGAAAGTAATTGACGAATTGGAACATTCATTTAGCGCAACCCAAGTCGCGTACGTACCATAAAATTTTTACAGAAGTTTTTGAGAACGGTTTTTTGAAAAAATATTCGTAATTGTAAAAAACAAGAACATTCCATTGAAAATCTAGAAACAATTTGCAGTTATTTTTTTATGCAGAAGAACTTTTTTAAGGAGATTAACAAGAGAGTAGAACCACAAAAGGCTTCAACTGTTAATGATATTTATAAGTCTGGCAAAAAAGAACAAAGGGAAGAATGGATGAAGAAACTTGCATATACGGAGAATTAAGTTTAATTAGTTATTTCAGAGAACTGTCATTAAAATATAGCCAGAATTGTTTTTGTACCCAAATGCTGCATGAACGGAGAAACACCACCCAAGGAATAATTTGACTCCTCGGAAAAGAACAGATTCGGATAAGAAGAATGGAGTATCACAACTTTTGCGAATGTTGATTGGCTCAAGTTAATAAAGACTTGCTCTTCCTTAGAAATGAATGGCTTCTATAATGCTTTACTAAGCAAGTGTGTTTGACAAAAAGGAAACGAAGTAATATTCCCAATGAGAGAGAATAAACAAAATTCTTGATTGTATTGATGGATGATTGTAAAGAAAACCCACAAATACGCACATTTATCCAAGTATGTCCATTCGAAATAACCAGAGGGCTAAACAAACAATACCAT